ATAATTTATTTTGTGAGAACGCAAAAAATATTTTCAGAAGTGAGAGCCATGACGTTTCATTGAATATTGGCTGAAAAAAAGCGTTATCGTGAAACAAAGCTTACGCGTGAGATTACCGGTCGCCGCAGGCTGGCAGCGCACTAGCAACTCCTCTGGTGTAGCTTGTGTCAATGGGAGGTGTCGATTTTTTACCATCGAATTCACCAGATGATTTGTTCTGTCATCGTTTGCTGCTGAACCTAAAATCTGAATATAGTATACAAAGAAAAATTACATGATTAAATTATTTATGAATACTAGTAGTAACGTAAACTAAGCTAACGAATCCGGAAATCTAGTATTGAGATCATCTGTTATGAAAGGTTAGATTTTTTACTATTTCAGAGCTAAAATGTCTGCCTTAATATGTTTTTTACATTAAAAAGTGTATGTACTTGGTTTTTGTTTCTATATAACAGTAGCAACAACTTGCAAGTCCTAGTTACTAAGTTATTTCAATTTTAAATCGACTCAATTAATATTTATTCAATACCACAGACCGTAAAATCCAATAACAATTTTACCAGACCGATTAATATTGTCAACATATTTGTTTTATAATTTTAATTAGTTATTACTATAACTAATATAAAGCCAGTAGGCTTTATCACTTGTCTATAAATGAATGAATCCAAATATATGCCTTCTTTCAGAAATAGCTAATTTCATAAGTACAGTATAATTTTCAGATATCGTCATCATCTGTCCTACCTACATTTTTACCATAAACCGTTAGTTATTTGTACTTAATACTTAATAATCTCTTTTTTGTAGGACAAGCCCAACATAACCTCCCAAAACCGCTGCAACTCCTGTAAACCAGGATCTACAGTAGATACAACCATGAAAACACCGGAACACTGAAGTCCGGCGCGTGTGAGACATGAATAACTGATTTAGTTCATCATCAGCCCGTATTCGTCCACTGCTGGACTCTCATGGGCCTAGGATGGGATAGGCCTCTCCAATGGCACGCCACTGAGCTCGGTCTTCAGCTCTTCTCATCCAACCACCTTGCGGATGTCGTCACTCCACCTAGCTGGAGGGCGCCCTACACTGCGTTTGCCTAGACGCGGTCTCCACTCTAGAACACGTTTACCCCAGCGGTTATTGGTTCTTTGACAAATGTGACCGGCCCACTGCCACTTAGCAGCTTACTGATCCTTTGGGCTATGTCGATAACTTTGGTTCTCTGTCGGATCACTTCATTTCGGATTCGATCCTTCAAAGAGACTCTGAGCATAGCCCTCTCCATAGGTCGTTGCGCGACCTTAAATTGGTGGACCAGTCGCACTGTCAGTGTCCACGTCTCGGCTCCGTATGGCATTACTGGAAGGACGCACACATTGAAGACTTTTGTCTTCAGGCTTTGCGGTATCTGTGACGAGAAGACCTGATTAAGTTTTCTATATGCTGCCCAGCCAAGCTGTATTCTTCTACAGGCCTCCTTCTCGAAGTTGTTCCTACCAAGCTGCAGAGTTTGTCCTGGTTTAGTTCCCGCAATGCAATAAATTAGAAGATATTATAAGAAGAGAATAAAAAAACAAAAGATTCCGCTTTCCTCGATGAATTACTGCAGTAAACCGAATTAATTAGGTCTAAGGGCAAAAACAGAAACTGCACAACTGAGAGAAGCCCAGTGCCAAGGAATATGGAAAATTTGACTAACATCTTAAAGTTTCCTATGTGTGAATAGTTTGTCTACTTATTGTTTGTCGAAATAGATGTAGATTTTTACTTTTTTAATTATTATATACTCGTTAACACAGACGAACTAAACAAAGAACATCCGATAAAAATAACGTAACTTAATCGGACACATCTTTATAGTTACGTAAGATGCGTAACGCTCTGCTGAATAACAAATGCAAAAAATGACCTGTGAAACATTCCGTGAAGTGTTTACATTTATTGTTTATGTTATTACAAACAATTCCGTTTAGACACGCTACAACACTTTATTTTAACGACCCTAAAATATATTTGTCCGTAAAGTTCACTGTCCAATATGAATTAATCCCAGATTGCGTTGCCACATGCGGTTTTGCTTTGCATTGAGAAGTGGGTGCACTCGAACATAACTTTAAGTTAAATACACTATACATATATACATTGGGTTACCGAACAAGACATTGAAAAGCTGGTTCCAAATACTAGGCCACATAGCGAATCTATATCGATTCAGTTTATAAATGAACTTGTAATTGTGGATGTACACTTTGTTAGATGTATGTATGTAATTAAAATATGCTGCGTCATTGGTGCTATGGTTTATATTGCGACTGCTGAGCACGAGATCAGGTATCAGTACAACACATGTATTGATTGAATCCTTATAGGTCGATACCTATTACTAGTGCTGACTGATATCAGTACAGCACAGATTTAAAATAAAAGTCTTAAAGTCTGAACAACAATTAGGATACAATAAACAAACTTGTTTGTAGATATTGCTTTATTTAATAAAATTATAGCCAAGAGAAGTTCAACCTCCAGATTTAGTTTGAGCTAGAACACGTATAAAATTATTAATAGTCACAAATCACAGGAAGTAGGTAATATCACTATAGAGAAAGAAAATAAAATCATCTTTCTACATACACCTAAATACGAATTACAGTAATAATATCACCACTGAGATACCTACATTGTACTCTAAATATGTATCTATATGATGACGTCCTGTGAAGACAACTATTTAATTACGCCCTAGTTGATAATTTACACTCTAATACAAAAGTACACAATTAATACTTAGGCTAAGAAGATACTCTAGGCGAATCATGAAAGCACAGTTGTAATGATGTTACATTATTATATTATTACTAATACATAAGTAGTACACAATATCTACTCTTATTTGGTTTCATACCGCAACTGACGCGTTCGTCTATTTGAGATTCAAGCGACACTGATACTAACGTCCTAAGTTCCTAACAATCAATATCACAATATAGCTACTTAAATACATGAAGATTCAAAGATGAGGCAACACCAACTATATAAAATTTACTGCAAAAACGGTGTTACATAACTGTGAAACTCGTATTGCTCATGCAGGTATGATTGTGAATCATTATTTGTTTCAGATTATTGCAATATGCTTATTCATCTATCATAAAAATGTGTAAAACCCAAAATACCAACTTGGTGCTACTAATAAAAGCGATGTAAGAAATACGTACAACACAATGATGCAATGGAACAGAGCTAAAACTTAATATGTACCTATATCAGGCACAAATATATCGTGGGAAAACGTTATGTTCATGGAAACCTTTCTTTAATTAATGGTAGGTCATATGATAATAATCGAGAATGTATAGTAAACTGTGTTCATTGATACCATTTGATTCTTAAATATATCACAAATATAATATAATTAGTTACGCAGTGTTAAAGCGCTAAATAGACTTAAAAGCCAGTTAGACTACATTTTAACATAAAGGATACCATTTGCTTGACTGGTTCATTTCTGTTCATTGAGTTAACAATTATTCAAACAAAAATTTATAACATTGGGACTTTTGACTACCTGCGTGAGTGTCGACGTGAGGTCAGATCATCACATTGTTACACCTGCAATATGCCTAGCAGGAGAACAGTCAAAAGCTAACTCATTGTGTTAGGTGACAAATGATTATATTTTAATGATTTTACTGTAATTAACGTTTTTCATTCATGACGTAAATGTAATTATGAACCTCAATCCGTCCTAACAAATACACATTTTCAGTAAAGTGTATTGCCATTTTTGGTAACTACTAGATTTTAATGATTTCGGGATTGATAATAATAATTACCCTGAATTATAATTTAAAATTTAATTTATTATTGCTACTCTTCTTATTACGTATTGAACAAACAAGACATGATGTCTTATTGCTTGATCGTGGAACCAATTACTCCAGACCTTAGGGCATCTTTTACCTTTTAAATTAAAAAATATCAACGTGATCAAATCACATTACACCGTAATATTTTTTCAAAGTAAACCTCTTAAACAACACCTTAAGCTAATGTTTATTATTTCATTCTAGTTGGAATTAAAAAGAATTGTATATTATTTCCAGTTACACATGGATTATTCAATATTATATAGATATGGATAAATGCGATTAGACATGAATGTCACAGGCTTAATAAACATTAATATTAAACTTACGTAACAACCATTAGACAGCACTCACTTTCTCATTATTATCAACCAAAAGATAATGGGCAACTAGCAATTAAAATGCCTCGGTAGTAACATTCAAGCACGCGGTTCCAAAGAAAAGTTTCGTAGAATTTTAGTACGAGTAGATACTCAATATTTACTCCTGTTATTACACAATAATAATAAACAGCTAATTCCTATTTTTGTAGTTCAATGCACGTTAAACCGGATACAGAAATTGGTTTGAAATCAATGGATACAATGTAAAATCCATTCATTACTTAAAGTACATAGGTATAGTCTTATAATAACTTATTTGTGTATTTTTAACTCATCTGCAACGATTCTTTATCAATCATACGAGCAATTTTGTCTTTTGATCGGCACACCAAAGACAAGAAGGACACTTTAAAAAAGAGATAGTACCTACAAACAACGTTTTGTACTGATTTACCAATCATTATGAAACTACTGAAGAACTGCGGCTATGATGTGCTTGGTTTATGACCATGTTGAATAGAAACACTCGCTATATGAATGCATTCACATACATTTATAAACCTACATATTCCAACGAATCCGAACACTGACACAACTCGAAAGGACCAATTATTGGTGCCGAGCAATTAATAGCAAGTTGATAAACAACATGTGGACAACATCACGATCTTTGTGGTGTTTTCTGTTTGGAGTTATGTCATTGTTGCCTAACGTGCACAAAGTAATCTTTCATCTATGAATGTAATGTAGTGATTATGTTTAATTGTATATAGTTTTGTAACATGGAATGCGAGGACAGCGCTTATGCTGGCAGTAGAGGGTGCTCAGCACCGGTGCCGGAGCGCGGCGGGTCACTGCCCTCGGCAGCACCATTGGACAACAGTGCGTCTCTCGCGTCGGGCTCAGGCACCGGCGGCTCCACCTGTAACGCAGTGCGAGATTGTACAATACTTTAAGCATAGTAACAATACGGAACGAGGAAAGGATTAAAAATACTGGCAATCGTTACGGTGATGTGTTTCAGACCAATTAAATAATACTAATAACACCATCATGAATAAGCATACCATATATTTGTTTACTTAATGATAAGTTAAGGACAATGTGAACAATTAAAAATCATACACATAGATTAAAAGAAGGCGGCATACAAATAGAAAAGTTTTTGTTTAGTTGCATCAGATTAGGTCGAAGGTGAATGATCTTAAACGAATAGGTTACTTGTATATGGCGTAAGCTAGACGAGTAAGTAAAGAATGTACAAGTGAATAAGTGATTACAAATGGCCGTTATCAAGATGACAAGAGATGATAAAAATAAGTTCCGCAATCAATAATTTCCTCAAGACCTTACAACTAGTATGAACATTATATGAAATAGTGACATTAGCATACACAGAAATCCGTTGTTAGCAGCTGGTGTGCGGCAGAGATGATGACGCTTGTGAGGAGGGCGGCCTGCCCGTCCAGTGCGACATATAGTAGTCGGCCTGTCCGGGTAGACTGTCCCCCGCGCAGCGATTTTCAAATTCCCCTTCCATAGTTCCTCCAGTGCTAGTGTCCCCAGCAGCACCACGCCTCCGACACTCCGTCAACAATCCATTATGAAGGCAAAACTCGCCGTAATTGTGTCATAACATCCGTCATCGGTTACGTTGTCACAATTGACCGCTATTATGTCTTAGAAATATTTTTACATGAACACATAACATTTACCTCGTGATGTAGAAGTCCATGGTCATACAGTGGGGTCAATGTATTTGGTCAAGTAGGCATTCATGTGATGGAACAGCTGATGATTTGTTTACTTATGAAACTTGTTATGCGTGCACAATGATAAGTAACTATCCTAACAATTTGACTACATATAAATCTGGTGATCTTAGAAAAATATTGGAGGAATAAATGATTTTTAAACTGGAAATGGTTATTGTAGGTAACCCAATCCCACAAATAGATGTAAGTATTGCGGAGGTCAGTTTTTTAGATCAAGTGCAGCTCGTTCGTACTTGGCAGTGCATGGTGCAATTAACATAAACATTTGGTAGCTTATTAGATAGAATGTATTCTATGTTCACATTTGGTAATACTGACAGTGTGTTTGTCCGTCGGGCCGGTGGGCGTGTCACGCTTGCCCTGCAGGTAGTAGGTCATGAGCTGGCCCTTGCCCTTGACCGCAACCAGCCCGCGCTGTTCGAAGTAATAGCCGAAACTCTGCAGAATCTCGCAAGTCTCTTCCGTAACCTGCGGCAGACGACAGAATTACATCACTATTATTGTCAGTATCAGTGACTTCAATAGACGGTAAGATGCTATTGAACTTTTTATGACTTTAGGAGAGGTTACAAAATCGTTCATCGTTTATCAGTTCCATTATTTATAACGAAACGACCTTAGGTTCGTACCTGAATACATCCCGCTTTGCCTGTACTTTCCATTCGCGAAGCAACGTTGACGGTGTTTCCCCATATATCGTAGTGCGGCTTGCGCGCGCCGATGACGCCGGCGGTGATGGGTCCGTGGTTGACGCCCATGCGCAGCACGAAATGGTTGAAGGACTGTTCGTTGATCGCAGCTAGAACACGCTGGAGTTCCAGCGCAAATTCGACCAAACAGGCCAGGTGCGCCCAGCGAACCAATACGCCGTCTGACGGCTGCAGTAAAAAAATTGTAACTCATGAGGAAGAACCTCTCTGTGGTTTCGTTTTAGTAGAGCTTCACTCAGTATATTTACGTGAGTAACCCGCGATTTTTATTAAATTTACCATATCTCAAGATAGTTATTATAAAAACTCATCAATTCTCCGTATAAATATAAAAATATTCTATAAATTGCGTACACTCGCTGAATTATAAACCCAATATGTAGTAAACAATATTATACGGAACATGACACATTAATCTCGTTAACACCAGTAGCAATACAAGTTTTACGGAAGAAATTAATGCTTGCGATAAGAAGGTTAAGTATTGACGCTTATAAAAACCTTGTTGCATTCTGTTTTAATCATAGGTTGACTTGATTCAATAGTATGGCAATTCTTGTTACTCACACTAGGCTTCGGCTTATATGTATGTACCCTTAGGTCTTTTATGCACAAAGTATAATAAATATTGTAATCTCAATTCAGAAGAACATCAACAGAACAGAAGTATCCTCACATCTATCTTGATAACGATTTTGTTCCCAAAATTATTTTCAGCTTACCTGCATTTGTCGTGTTGGGTTTAGGCCTGATGCAGCCATGTACGTAGAGCTGATCGTTTTTATTTTGATTATGTCTTTACTGAATTTTGAATCTTCCAATAACTGAAACATCACAAACATAAGTCATCTAATTATGATAATAACCATATTTTTTTACAGAAATAAACACAAAGTGAAACGTCCAAATCCTAATTTAAAAATGTAATAGCCTACGCCGTAGCTGTCGGCTACAGCAGAGCTACCCCATCGAGTGACTACGCGCTACGACATTGGGCTACGCCGTAGCCGCATTCTTGGGGTAGTTTACGTTGAGTTTATTTATGATTGATACGTAAATTAACATCAACCTAATGAAGTTATTATACCGTGAGCTAACGTTAGAGAACTATTGATAACGTTGCCCGTCAGTTACCTTTTACAATAAAGTAAAGTTGAAAAACATCCTATAACATCCGTAATTTATTACGGTTTTTCCTATCTTAAGATAGAAAAATAATCGTTATCTTCAAAATCTCGAATGGTAAAATTGTTTATTTTGATTGAAACAATAATTTGGAGTCTGCATTTTGCGATTTTGGCGTGTAAGCCATGTGGCTTACATATTCTACTTATGTAGGTAGAATATGTGATACCGTTGGCATATGAATCTTTCCGTAGTTATTAATTTAGTAAGTATTAGTCTTTGACTCCATCTAGTAGAAGATAATATTAATTATTTGTTTATACAGATTATAAATGACTTTGGACCTGGTTGGTGATCTTAATACTGGGCAAGTTCCACGTGTGAGGCAACAGATCAAAAGTTACACACATAGTGTGTTGGCTCTTGTATTCGAAATATGTAGTAACAGTCTTATACGTGCAGACGCGACACACGGAACTATTATGTGTGTTAGGTGAAATGTTTGTAAAACTAACAATTACCTACCAAATCGAAGTCTGATATAACTTCGTTGAGAAACCGTAAACATTCTAGGCCTTGGTTATTAACTGTTTCTTCCGAGTAGAACTCTGTAACAAACAAATTAATATACTTACCTCACTGATTGTATTTTCCATAATATTTCATCAAAATCAACATTCATTCATTACCATAAACCATTCTAGTAACTACATGCATAATGAATTATTGAAATAGAAATATTAATATAAACAAAATAAAAAACCAATAAACGTGTTCATTAATATCTTAAAACAAAAAAAAATCAAGGTAAACAACGAGAACGAAACGACATTTTTATAACAGTGTAGAAGATGCATGTATTAGAAACATGTTACATGACCTTTAAGAATTAGGTATATTATCATAACTGTTAACGATTTCTATTGGAATATGTTTTGATTGATGTGGACAAGTTGTTATTTAATTGGATATAATAAAAGTTGAATTGTTCTGGCTATTTGTAGTGGTTGTACCTGAAAAGTTGGGCATGGAAGCGAAGAGCACGCCGACCTCGGCGTAGCTCTGGCTGTAGAGGTCGCGGTGGTGGTGGCGCGCGCCCATGAAGTGGCGTGCCACGTGCGGCGGCAGCACGTTGTGGATGAGCGCCTGGTTGCGGCGCCGCAGGTCTCCCGCCTGCTCCGCCTGCGCCCGCATGCGCTCCCCGCGCGAGTGGCGTGCGCGCTCCAGAGACTCCACCTGCACCATACGACATGAACAGCCACAGTTCACAGGTTGCAGTGCTGTATATCTGCGTTTATGTGGTAATTCTTAGCAAAACACGCAAGACGGCACCACATAATTTTCAATAGGTATTAATTAATTTCGAATTGTGTTGTGTATGATGAAGGCAAAAGTTGCCTTAAATAAACGAAAATTAAATAATAACATTCCCCTGTAACTTCGTAGAACGTGAGGACCATAGAAGAGAATATGTTTAGTTAAATATTTATTGATGGGTAATTAATTTCTTTCTAGTTAATACTTGTGTAAAGATAATAGATACATAAAAATAATACATACATATCTGTTGAAAATAAGCAACGCCACCACTATGAAAAACAGCATTATTATGTTACGTCCACCATGGATGCGAGCCCTGTAAGTTAATACTTTATTTACATTTCTGTGTAGTGATGGAAACATCTAAAAGAAATTCACCATATAGTGAAAGTAAAGATTGTTACGAGCCTCGAGCAAAATGGAACTCCACTTAACCAAACCACTGATAATATCGTATTTATTGTAAAACTAAAACTTCTGTAACAAATCCGATACAGGACAATTAGTAGTAGACGTTACTACGGGCTTCGCACACGCTTAATGTGCCAGTGCAGTGGTTTGAAGATATATGGGAAGAAATATATACCTTAAAATAAAAAAAAATCTGAATTAAAAGTCAGTAGTGAGTTTAACTCACAGAATAGCGAGCAGATCTTCATCATAATCAGTGGTAGCGTTGAAGCGGACGCGGTAGGGGTCGCGGTCGAGGCTGGGTCGCGAGAGCAGCAGTGCGGGGTGCAGCAGCGCGGGCACCGCGTGCACGGCCGCCACCAGCGCCAGGAGCACGCTGCGCGCGCACACACCCAGCGGCGACACCCACAGCGCGCCGCACGCCGCGCCCGCGCCCACCTGACACCGGCACACACTCATTTACCTAATTTGTTGACAAGGCAAACTGATGCCTATCTGATAAGTCCATTATGAAACACGAAATCCGAAGAGACATTACTTGACGTCCATTATTGCACACACGACGAAAATACTAATTTGATTTATGATGATGTTTTTGTGTGATGAAATAATATTGTCAACCAATTATGGAAATTAAAGGATACTTTTCGAGTTGATTTGAAAAATTATAAAAGTATTGTCGAAACGTTTAGCTATTAGCTATCATGAAAGTTTTACTAAATTATTATTACGTAATAATTATTATAGTAATTATTCATAAATACTATAATAACCTAACTATAACCTACTTATTACTTACCTATATTATAACCTACTTATATGTTAGGTATACACAAAATGATAATTAATATATTTGTAATTTATAACTGTGCACGAACGAAAAAGTTAAATTATCGTCAGCTGTTGTCTTCCCACGGTGCGAGATTAAAAAGTCGAACGAGGGAAATAGGTTACTACGATGTTTGTACAAGCGACACCGCACCGATGAGAAACCTGTCACCAGTTTAACGATTTTGTTTTGTTGCATTCATTTACATTTAACCTAAAGAACTTAGGTACATACGTAGGTGTAAGTAACAGTGACTATTTACGACTATATGGTGAGAAAGCTAGGACGTTTGAAAGGTCAACTAAGTTATACAACACATCGCTGAAAATATAAGTAATCTTTTTGATAGATATGTAGATTGTTTATATAATACCTACAGCTACACTCATCTGCTAGCGTTTATAATATTAACATACAACCGAAACTCAATTCCTGCACGGTACATAATGAAATATAGCGTTTAAGTACAACGAAATAAAATATTTTGAATCTTACAATATTTGCAAAATGAAATATTATGCGTTGATTGCTACAACGTTTGAATACTGATGAAATAATGATGTAAGAGTCTAGTCCAGTGCTCATTTTCACATGTTTCTGTTAATTTCTTAAAACTGTTCAGAATAAGAAGTGTCCATTCGTAATATTTATCAGACATCAAAATGTGAAAGTAGAAAAGGTACTTCACATGGTAGTAATAAGAAGGATGTATGCAGCGCCTTGCGCCGCTGTGCGCTGGCGCATCGTCTCGCAGCCCGTCCTCAAGAAGCATCGTCTCGAAATTGCCGCAAATTATCTGAACAAACATAAAAACTTTTATGCATTCTTAGAAAGCAACAGAAAGTAATATTCAATAGATGTGTGTTAGGACACATATAACCTGCGTACTCGTAGAACCATAGCAGTTTCACTACTACATAATAGTGTTCTCCACAATAGCCTTTGAATGAAAGCGCGGCAAATATGTAAATATGTTAATTTTATAATGATGTGCGTAAAGTTCAACGAGTTCCCAGTGCGCGGTGATAGTGACAGTTGTAACGATAGCGATAGTGGTCGTGACTCGCGAGTCGCGACAGAACCGCGGCCGCGGTGCAAGTAGAAACACAAGCGTGATAGTGAGAGTGGCGCGTGGTGGCGACAGTGAAGATAGCGCTCGCCGAGAGTATTACACCGCACTCACCAATGGCGCAATGTTCGCGGCCACGAACATCGCGATGTTGAACGTTCCGCAAGTCAGCTTCCAATAGGGACTCACTGTCTTTTTCTGAAACATTTATAAAAATGGATATTGACATTAATCTCAATACGAGTGACATACCCAAAAATAAATAATTGTGCTGACCTTATACTGGGAGTATCGGTAGCACGTGTAATAAACCACATTGATTAGGCCGGTTTCTAGCACGAGGGCGAGGTAGACGGCGTGCAGTGACCAGGTCGGGGGCACCGCGAAGCTGGCGAGCGCGACCACGGCAGGCAGCAGCATCAGCGGCGGCGCGGCGATGGCCAGCGGGCAGGGGTCCGTACGCCGCGCGTACACATCCTCCGCGCCCGAGGCTTTGAACGTCAGGCACAATGTCGTGCCATCTGCTAGTTCCCTGATACCACATGCTAGTATTTTACCGATTCCATATATTTATCTACGATATTTTAATAATAACAAATAATAAATTTGTAACGCTGTTAATGTTCGCAATTGTAAAGAATATTATGTGCATGTATACACTGAGCGTTGGAATGGCACCTAAATGTGTTTATTGACATGGTTCCATCAAATGCGCCTAAAATAGCATATTGTAACTATTTGCGATAGACGTTACTGCTGTATCCGAGCAGATCGATCTTCATTCGCGTAACACTCAAAGTGATAATGGTAGCATATTATATAGTACCTAAAGCTGTGTAAATGCACATCATTAGATCCTTTCTAGTAGTATTAGTAGTTACAATTTTATTTAAATTTACCCTTCGGGCTTCGATATACTGAATTCATATTGATAAATAAATGATACAGAGCAAATTTAGTTAATTTATATTTGCAGATGTTAGTCATCAAACAATTTGTAGTTTCTACTCAAACAGGATAGTAGTCTTTAGATATTAATACTCTAATTTAGTTTGTTTATATTTTTAAGCAATTGTACTATATTATAGGAAGCAATATGTATCAAATTGTTTATTGATCCCTAATAAATAAAATAACTAAAGAACTCGTGTCGATTCTAAGAAGTTCTGATTATATGAATAGCAAGAAGTCGGTTAATTAAAGGAATTTTTTTATATCCCTAAAATGCAACATGCTCCGATAAAAATACTTCGTAGATAATCTACAAACATATTGAACGACAGAATAACCAGAGAACAAACTAATCGTATGGCCCTTCGCGAACATTTTGCCAACAGCACACGGGTGAGTGTAAACACGGGTTCTACATAAAATAGAACTGAATTACTAGAAAATCGAACATGCGAAACAGAGTTGACCATTTAAACGATGCTATCAATTATACTCGAGATGGCTTTGCCCTTCACATTCCAACGAACGAGTTAAAAGAAACAAACATTATGATTCACTATTTCACAAAGAACATGTAAACAAATAAATTAAATTTAACTTACACATTTACTGGCAGGCAGATTAGATGATAAAACCAAAATGAAATTACAACAGAACATAATAGCAATTGCTCAGTACCGAATGGCTTTAAAAGTTTCTGTGATCTTAAAGAAAAGCAACACAACTCAGAACGGAAATACTTATTACAGAAAATTATTAAATGCACGCTATGAAGAACACTTTTTAGTTAGTACCATAATATGCAAATGAACGTAAAGTTAATCGAAATGAACAGCATTTGGGTTCACTTGGCATTGGCACCTACTTCAAAAACAAAACAACTATTTCTGTATTTTTACAATGTAGTAGAATTCACAATGCAGCAGTAGCTACATTTAAAAGTTGGGTTATTTTAAACTAATCTTGTTCTATTGATAGATAAACACAAGGTAGTACTGGGTACAAGGGAAACAAAGAACCAAAAATGTTCACGTTACCAATACAACATAAACAATACTCGTAATATTGTGCAATTCCTGTGAACTTACTTGTCGTCGTCTCTATTCACCAGTTCTTCTTGCAACATGCTAAGTATTTTCTGTTCTTCGTTGTCCTTGCTCTCGTCTTGTGGCGACAGTACCTACGAATAATGTACGAAGCATGTCTATGTAATTGACAAGCAAAAAATCAATATGAGAGCGACATGATGGGCGTACTTTTATCATAAATATTCAAAATCTGTCGGAATATAATGAACGATCGATTCGAGTGAGATTATTTTAACCTCCTACGTTAGCTAAACTAGGAACTATCTAGCTGAGGCCGCCTAGTGCCCTAGTGTCCTATTTATTTAGGCGGTAGCGAGGGAGCGGCGAGGGGGCCGGGGAAGCGCAGTAGTGCACTCACCGAGTCCTCGTCATCGTCTCGGAGGTCGGAGAGCGTGTCGGCCGCGTCGCCACCCTCCGCGGCCTCGCCCTCCACTGCACTCTTCTCCTCGCCTCCTTGAAACTGTATGCCACAATCACAGATACGATGAATCTTACTCACAAATCGTTACACCAGATAGCTAAAAGGTTTATATCTCATCGTTGGCCCAATATGGGTCCCAAAATGGTGCATATTATTATCTGCTAAGTTTTGTTAATTTATTAAGGCGTTCGCAAGTAAGTCATGTAATAAATTGTTGAGCTAAATAAAGCAATGCGTTATATTGATAAGTATACTCAGTAGCTAATATTCAAACTCAACGTAAGTAGTAGTTTTAAATCAAAAGGATAAAAATAACATATAAGCATAATCATCCAACTTTTCTAATGGTTAGGTACTAAAGCCAAGTAAAGCAAAAAATAAAATATTCTACATTTTTCATTTTACTTCGTTCGCATTTTCTGCTTTGTCGACCCAATTCGTTTCGTCCGCTCTATGTAACATAGATAAGTTAAATAAGGTTTTATGTACCCGACACCCGTGCTCACAATACTAGCCTGGCCACATAAATAACTTATTAAGACGGTGTACTTCATTTTCATCGTTCAGTATTCTGTATTATTTCGGAAACATAATTTTCACTGGCTATTAACTAAACACTAGATAAGATTTTAAAAATGTAGACGCGTAAATTATATTTTCGGTTACTTCTGACCTGTAAATATTTAATATACTTCTTACAAGCTGTCGGGGTTTTGAGGTCATCTATACATAAAACAGCTTTTAATGAAATGGCGGTCGAATTGATTTTTTTTATTTATAACAATCTGTATTTCCTAGTTGAACGGAAGTGAAATATGTATAACCTACAATTTATTAAAATACTGAGAAAAATATTTATATTTGTGATAAATAGTATGAGTTTAATATTTATATTGAAATGTTACATTACATTTAATATCCACTACATTATTATATTGACATAAGTATTGTGGTATTTATAAAATAGACGTAGCTCTGTACAATAAAAATCGATTGGTTTGTTGTTGTAACCATATTTTTATGTCAACGAGTCAAACGTCGATCAAACTGAAAACGTTTCAAATAATATGTTTGTTTTGTAAAAAAAATCAATAACTGTAAACTGAAAAAGGAACTATCGGATGATCAGCACAATGGTCACACACAAAATACTAAACTTGCTGTAACAATTTAACTGATTTTATTAGCAAAACAAAGGAATGGTGAACAATGGAATCATGATGTGTTATGTTAATATTAATCAAATTTATGTCAAATAAATTAGATTATATTAAAATAAATACACATCTGCCTCGTTGACCGGGCAACGTATTACTGGGTTTAATAAAATCTCAGTAGTAGCACGGAGTCTGGAAATGTCCCCGATATATGGCAATATCCTCACACCCTATTACATGGGACTCATAACATAAATAGTGAAAAGTGGTTGTTATTTCTGTGTGCACCTCTGCCTACCCCTTCGGGGATAAAAGGCGTGATGTTATGTTATGTTATATAATAACCCGAACAAGCTTGGGACTTGTAATCTTGTCATACTGTACAAGATACTTGTCTTGATTAGACATAACCGTCACAGGTTGCTAGCACGCCGACTTTGATCACTACGTACCTACTCATTAGCTAAACGGGATGTAATACTGAGCAGTTACGTCGAGACCTTGTTGAAGATAATGTCTGGAGAGCCCAAGGCCTAAGTACAAAAGATGCTCTTCAAAGGTCAAGTTAAAATATTTACACGCATTGTGTGCTTATTTGATAGCTGAACGTGTGAAAGGTAGATAAATTCCACTACAAGTTGTTGCAAGGCTCGGCTTTCATGGCAAGCAGCCGAAATCATTCATCTAGAAACCTAGAGATATGGCAAGTCTGGTAATATACCCCACACTAGATATCTACTTACTGACAAACATGATACACGCTGGTTCTTACATACATCATCTAATAAAAATCTGCACTCGTGCATATACTTGTTAAGCGCAGAATACATTTCAATACAAATAACATTAAAAAACCTTCAGTAACATTTAAACATATTTATATCCGTGTCTATATATTTATTCGACACGTAGAGAAATAAATTCAAGTCGTTTTTTTAAAGAAAATCAGTAATCATTATTGGCTACAGGAGCTTACTGCAAAGTGGATTGAAAAGCTTATGACTGTTTCTAAGAAATACGTAAGTCTACGTTTAGCGTAAATGTTTATTTCTCATTACACGGTTGTATGTGGAAACGTTCTCAGTGATGTAAACGCGTCGACATTACGCCTCCCCGTAAAACTACTGAAATATGACATACAAAAATATACAAGGAACAAGGTGCAAGTACCCAGGTGTGGCTACAACGAGTTACGATAAGGTTATCGCCCATATACAGATGTAATGCAGCATAAAATCATATGTATCTGTACTTGGTACGTTTTTGTATATAAACAAACAACTTACTGGTTTAAGAACTCGGACGATGAAGTATGTCTTGATGCCAGCCTGTCGAAGCATTTCTTCTCGACGTTCTCCGTGAGCGGGCTCCACCTCGAACTCGTTGTTGAGAAAACTCAGAGTTACTTCAGAAACATGTACGCGTCTGTAAACAAAACTTTTATAAATAGAATGTAACTACGTATACATAAATAGGAACAGCTAGTAAAGTCGTCGAATAAATAAATCTTTTAAACCAACAACTGAGAACAGATGAATAAACCTTATTTAGATGATGTTGTTTTATCTTTTATGCATTTGTGTAGAAATAACGTTCGTTTAGCAAACTAAACTAACTAGTTCGTGTCACAGAAGCTGACATAGCTGACCGAAAATAAATAAATGAAATATTTTTAATGTTGCAATTTAATCACAGGTCTTGAACTTTGAAGGTTATTTGGATGTTCTTCTACTGTAATACTACAATAATTTTCTAAACAAAGATACTAACCCCGCCATTCCACTGCTCTCCATCTTATTAGCAAGTTCCACATCTCGAGAGTAAACATCAAATTGCCACTGTCTCTGACCTAGCACTCCTGCAAGAACTGCACCTGTGTGGATACCCACGCGCATGTCCACTGGGGAGTTCGTCGTCTGCTGGACATACCTGACCAATACAAAATATCGTGTAAGTTTGGGCTATATTATCATATTCGTTATACGACAGTAACCCGCGCATACTTACTTGATAGCTTTAACCATAGACAGTCCCATGTGTACACAGAGCACGGCATGGTCCGGACGCTCAACAGGCGCTCCACTAATACAATAATAGCAGTCCCCCAGAATTTTGATGCGAAGCTGTTGATATTTCTGCAAATAAAAATAACAATTTACGGAAGCCCAGACTTGCGTATTAATTTACGGCGGACGAGACTTGGAGGCGAAATAATAAATTAAATTTTCTTTACCTCAGCAAGTCGATCAAAACGAGCAAACAACTCATTCAATATTGCGACCAGATCTTGCGCTGAATAAGTTGAAGAAATAGCCGTGAAGCCTACGATGTCGGCATACAAAATACTGGGGATGAACAAATAATATGTTAATATTACTTAAATTCGTTTATAAATTACGTAGTTGACGTTAACTGCGCGTACCTGACGTTTTCATGACGAGACATGTAAATTTTTTTGAACTGTGTGTCTATCAGTCCCAGTTCTTTCCGCATCTGAACGGCAACATGTTCTGGTAGCACCGACAGCAGGAGTCTCTCCTACAAATATTTTTGCTATGAGATATTGTTCTGATTATTATGAACTTATAGTTACATGTATACTGTGTCGGATTTATATCACAAAGAATAGAAAAATGCACAATTACGTACTAGACTAGTTTGATTATGAGTATTCCATTGAATTACAAACCTTCTTACCTAAATACTTGCGATTCTTTATCATAGAATACTTCATATTACTTAATTGCATACCAACGACATAATTAGACACGTAACTCGAGCATGTATTAATCTATTCCGCTAGTGCGTCCCTACTTCCGCAATTTCTCTTGTTTGAATGTAAACAAGAGAAATTGGTGTACCAAATTGCATGCGGAAGAAAATAAGTAAACATATTTACTCGTCTGATTTGTTTGTTTCTTCACTTGTGCCCTGTCATAGATGATGGAACTACGCATATTAGTGTGAGATGTGTCACCAACGCATCAGTGCGCTTGAAGCCAACTCACTGACGTTTCTCGTAATTTCATGGATCACGGGTGGTGAACGATTTGATTCTAGCTAGAGGCTCGTTATTATACGATATCATATTATACAGAATGATTCTGATCTTGATAATGGTCCAAACATATGGGTTGATATGACAAGTAGTCAATAACTTTTTTGATTTGTTTAATACTAGCTTGATTATGATTACCCAGTTCCAGAACTCTAGAAACTGCAGCCAAAAGGCAATGACCAAATTAGTATGGAGACTGGTGCTTTTAAATTTTGGATGGAAGTTGATAGGATGTGAAAAAATAAGCCGAATAATATTAAAACTAAAAAAATGAAAAGAACGGGATCTATTAATGGATCCCAATTTTATTATCTTCTAAATCAGAACCATTGAATTCATCTGTGCGAAATTTGTTTCAACGGTGATACTGTAAGATCTAAGCAAGGTCTTATGATAGTAACTAGTTGTTTAAATCCTGATTTCGATCCCAGAAGGCTTCGATTATAGCAATTTATTTATCGTGTTTTCTAAACTTGTGATATTCTAATTTCTAAAATTCTGTCTTGGATAACATTTTTGTCTCCATTGCTATGAGATGGATACTCCAGAATCTTCAGATAATCTGTTGCAAAATACTTAAAGTAACCAAGTATTGAAATATAGATATAAATACAGATAAACAGCTGTAGTGCGTACCTAACTACTCATGTAATGCTTCCTTTTAACGTTTCTTACTTTTCAAAGAACCTATTTCTTAGAAGACTTTAACGTTGCAATTAATTGATTGGAAACTGCTCTATAAGCTGCTTCCGCTGAAACATCGCTTGTGCAATAACCGTTATACCTATCTAGTACCTACAATTTCTTACATCACGTGGTCTCTAGGTATATGTGCTTGAGCCATCTTATAGTAAATATTATCTAGATAGACATCAAGGATCAACGAAACAAAACTAATTGTTACAAAGTTAACAAGTGGTTACGAATACTTAGAGGTTTAATTAACATTTTTTAATACAATAATAATCAACAAATTATAAATCAATAATATTTCTAAAGGCATGCTTGCATATCTCTTTAATTAAGTATAGTTACAGAAAAAATAGCTACATTAGTACCTAATAGCATTGCGGTATGCCAAAAACAATAGGAACATAAAATCGGAAACAATTACCTGTTCTTTACTCTGTTGTTCAATCGTCAGTTTGTCGCGCAAGCTTCGTTTCGTTTCTTGAAAGGAACTACGCTGTTGCTTTTCACTTATTGCATATGCAGTACCACCCAACATCGTTGCACCGAGCAACAAAGCGCCATTTGCAATTTGCTGCAGAACATTTGGAGATTAAAAATTTATCTATTTCAATATCTGAATCTAGATATAGACACTTATTGACAAGACTCACTTGAAAATAAAAGTCGTCAGCCAGTCTGCTCTCAGATGTAGAAGCGTTATAGTATTGCACCAGAAGATATCCAGTAAACGATATTGTGCTGTATAGGATGAGCAGCACGTGATGTAACGGGAGCGTAGCGAGGGTAAAATATTGAAGCACCACAGCCCACCCTAATAGCTCGTTGTACGAATCCCCCAGTCGCCGAGACGCACTCACCAACAGTTGGACCCAGAGCACCAACCACGCTATATGGTTAAGGAGAGTGCGCGCGGGCCGAACGCACAGGTACACGGATGCCAGGATCAAATTCGCTACCAGTGCTATTGCGACTGAAGCGTAAGCGAACGAGAGGTCTCGCTCTCCAGGCACAACAACTGCAAACGCCTGCAACAGTGCGCCGGTTGCCAACAGCCGAGGCACGGCTCTTTGCCGCTGTCGCTGTGTGTATGCCGAGTACAACTTTTCTTCTTCTCTGTCTGTGAATCCCCACGGCGGCACTAAACATATCCAGCATGGTGACTTGTTCAAAGTTCTCGCTTGTATTGGTTTCTCCATTGCTTCTAATATTTACTTTTGTACAACTTCACCAGTTTAAGCCATTTATTGCAAGAAATGCTCTCCATTATTGTCATGACTACTTTCAGAAAGACAATAAAACTGTAAAAATAAGTGAAGTAGGTCGTGCGTGTGATTTATGCGGAAGATAGGACAATGATTTATTGATTTTATCTGACCACTTTGAAAAGGAAATTATAAAATGCTTCCTGCTTATGTCTAGACGTCATTTAATGGTAGATCTTTTGAGAATTTTAGTATCAAAACTCTCTTTGCTGTGAAAAATATACGAAATGGCAGGACTCTTAAACACTAAATGATTTATTTCATATAATATATATTATGTAAGTGGCACGAGCATGACTCACGGACTGCTATTAAGTTAATAACAAAAGTAATATCATGTCCAGTATTCTTAAAGGGTCGTTAAGGAAGACTGTTTGTTATATTATGACTGAGTCATATTGTATACTTTACAAATATTGCAAATATCAATTACATGAAAATAACATTTTTAAATCGTACATATTTAAGAATCCAAGCTTTGTATGCAAACAAAATAGGATATTTCAATATTTTACAAATCACTAGCAAATTACGTGTAAGTGGCATCTTTTAAAAATAAGGTTAAATATTTGTAAACAATAGTTCGTTGCATAAATACAAAGAATCGTGAACTTGAACAACGTGTGTCACATCGTACGTATGAACGTCAGAGAGATCATCAGGCGGAGACTTTCCGTTAGCAAGACGGCTTGATCGAGGACGCCTGTGTAATGAATAAATTACACGCTAAAACATTGTTCCGATATTCATTCATTAACTGGGCCGTTTCAAGACATGTATCTACTTACCCATAGTTTCGTCGACTGATTTCAATATTGACAATCGTTACGATGGATGTTAGTGATGTGACCGTGAAACTTAACTCATAAGTTATTTGTTTCACTTATACGCTCATTGCCAACACTTACGACTTACTTAGTCACGGTTTATGTTTGTGTTGAAATTTCAGAAAATATGAATTGAATTTGACATATTATTCTATTTTCAAACAAATTTAATTTTGGTTGGTAACAATTGGGTAACACTGTATAAGTAAATGAATCGGGAAACAATCGAGATCATTTAGTAGTTTACTTAAAATTGTATTAAATTAGCATTAGTCAACCCGTTGAGTAAATACTTCTAAATATTCACTCTTAAATACTAACAGCCAAATGTCTGTTAATGTTCATGTCTCTGTTCTCATGAATATGGTCATCAATTAGGTAGCTATATACGTTGACAATGTGTCAACAAAATATGAAGACAGGTTGACAAATTGATTTCCGTTCCATTACATATTAAATGTGGTTATGATAATAAAACTGTTTAAGTAATTTAGTGCAAAATTACCAATTGTTACAGATAAAATATTAGTTCTTTCCCGTGGTTAAATCGTGTATTATCTTCCTGTTACAACATAATATTAGATAGACGAATGACCTTTGACAAGGATGCCTTTAATGTGTTGTAAAACTTTACCCAATTTTATTAAAATTAATATATGTTTAATACACAAATAAATTGAATTATCTACAGATGATACATTACATCCCTCTTCAGATTGATGTACGGGTAAGGTGTGTCTAATACAGATAACCTACCTACACACTGCTGTTAGAGAGATATAAACTAGTTTAACTAGGATTCATTTTCATTCCTGAAACAGTACAGGAAGAGCGGCATATAGATATGAGAATGACTTAGCGCTTAGAATGAGCTTCAATGAAATCTGAAAAACTGTATTAAAATTCCGTTAAAAATATTTTTCTGTGTAGTAGATACCTATAATTTGTGTTCGTAAGAGAGGAATTAACACGTATTGTCTAATTAATATTAATACCAAAATCACTGCGTTACTTTAGTATAGCTAATAGAGGTATCTAATTAAGTGCACAGAATACCAAAATAAGAAATTCACATTGAATATTGTCATTTCAGATATACAAATAAGTACACAGTTTAATCAAGACACTTTGGTCGGCACATCGTTATTGTCAACAAAGGGTTAGAATAGATTATGAATATAGGTAGGTCGGTACAACCACGTAATACCAGATGAGTGTACCTAATACTCTGTAAGAGTGGCGGTCGACCAAGTGCCGTTTAGTCTCTTTATAGGCTTGCAGTATTAAATGTAAAGTACGTTATAAAACCACAGATATGAAAGCAACATTTTATCATTTCCTTTTGTTATCGGGATCATAAAACGTTACAAAGTACTGTAGTCATTAATATATATATTTCTATTTCCCGCCTAAATTATGGTCCCGATGATGTAAGCAATCTCAGTAAAACTCTTACTATTGACCCATAAATATTTAAATCGCGAGAGGATGACCCGTATATTACAAGATCGCGAGTAATTCAAAAACGATGTTAACTGAAAACCGTCTTACGTAGATTATTACAGGAGGAATAGTAATCTTGTGGAAATATTGAGCGCGTTGGGTTGAGAGGGCGCGGGTGGCGCGGCGGGCACCGGACGCCGGCGGCTCGGGCGGCGCGAGGGCGGTGCGCGCACGTGCTGGCGTGCGACTGCCGCGCGCCCGGCCGCCGCCCGCCGCGCCCGCCGCGCCAGCCGCGCGCCACCCGGCACTCCAGCCACCCCACGCGGCACGCAACCCATTCCACTACACATTGATTCCACTCGCTGTGTTTTGTTAACACTATTACTGTGACTATTTTATTTTACTTTACTATTTAGCTGAAAGTTTGAATCGAGTGAGGGAATTACTGATAATTTACATTTCTGAATATTTTTTTTTAATCAATAGAATGTTCTCGTTTCTGGACTCTGTAGCTTTATTCCTGGTTGGTAACCTACTTTTAGCAATGTCACTACAAGAACATACATGATTCGAACCTGAGGAGTAATATTCTGGAACAGGAAGCTTAAAACTTAACTGAAATTTGTACATAATCTACTGTCAATCTACTACCATTATGAAAGCTCCTTGACCTTAATAAAATATTGACTAAAGTCAGGCTCACCTCCCTTCCAGCAAAGATACTATTCTTTAAAAAAACCCTATATTTTAGAACAGTAAGATAATCACAGTGCTACACAGTTACAATTTTCTTACATGCTATATTTAAAACCAAAGATAGCATCTTAAGACTATCGTGCCTATAAATAAATTATGCTGTTTGATGAAAGATTTCAGGACTACCTGTTATAATACTGCTTGAGTTGTTTGACCTTTGAGTAGAAGAAAGTATTACGCGGTACTTAGCTACTTACTAGATAATTTGATCAAACAATTTGTCCCACCAACGAGCCAAACGAGTACAAGGGCACTATTATTTTCTTTTCTAACTGATAAAGGCATCTATTGCATAATTATATATTATACTTGAAGTTATATTTCATATTCATTTATAAAATACACCGCCTGTGACCCTGATGACCATATAAAAAAAATTCATTTTAGATATTATCAGAATGCTTGAGGTACATCCTGAAGTCCTAAAAACTGAAAATGTAAGCTAGTATTCTAGTATGCTAGCACACAAACATCATAAAAACTTTGAAACAATGGAACCTCCGTTGAAACGAACTACGTGTTACAAGCTACGCACTGCCAGCCACACACTACCAGCTACGCAGTATGAGCTACAAACTACGAGTTATGTGCTACGACTACGCATTACGAGCTACGTTCGACGGAGTACGCGCTACGAACTACGGGCTACGAGTTACGCGGTACTGCAGCTGTAGTATTTCGCCGCACCCCATGAGTAAAATTGGGGTTCATAGATTTAGAACTGCGTATGTAGGGTTAGAAACTTGGAATTGGGATGATGATAGGGTATGAAAATGAAAAATCTAATTAGTCCATAAATTACTAATGAATAAATATTAGACACGTATTTTTTTATTTTATCGTATAATAAAACAATACTTAGATAAAACGGATCAAAGTTTAGGAGTGGGGCTTAAATGTAATTTCTACGATAAAATGTACATAGAAGTGACGTCACGCGACATTTCAAATCAATATATCGTCAAAAGTATTCGTTTCTGTGAGAAAAAAAAATACCTACGTGTCTAATGATTTAAAATAATCTACCAGACTGACATTAAAATAAAAATTAGGCATCTACTCTGTTATATGAGATTTAATTGCCTACTTTTTGACAGTGCGAGCTAAACGATTTTGTCGTGCAAAACTATCATGAAAATATTTCTGTGGTATAATCTTTTCTGAAACAACTAAAACTTGGATGTTAGTTTCCATTTAACACCGTTTCTATAGCCAACATTGCAAAGGCTCACTTTCCTTGTCCTAATTTCGTGTTTCCTTACTCTTTTGTTTGTATCTGTAATCTGTATAGTCGATAAGACAACCAGATAAACACATTTCTTATTTAAAACGTGGTTAAGATAAAGGTGTTATTCGTTTAAATGACAATAGAAAACGTATCAGTATTCATTAAGCTTATAACAATATCACGTAAAGTACAATAAATTTTCAATTAAAATATGCGAATAGGATATAAATGTATTAAATCTTCTTTAAGTTAAGGTAAATAACTTTCAGATTTAACAATTAATATGTAACAATTAAATTAAAAAAAAACATAGGTTTAAACTATCTTTCTTAGCATATCTACTTTAATAAAGTGAATACTAGAAATATTTAGGTTTGGATTAACAGGTTATAGGTACGTGTAAACCGTAATATACTAAAATAGCAGACATATTCAGTTTAATAAGCACCAAAGAAACAATGTCCTTGGTTCCTAATAAGGTTAATTGCTAAGAAAACCAACGCAAGGACTTGTTAATTAAAAGTTTGAATGTATAAAATTAGACACAAGTTTGTGGTTTTCTGTACATGTGTTTTCGGTACTCAGGAAATCTTTATGTCTTATATACCTTTATTTATCTACTTATGTTCTTAATATATTGATAAGTCGGGCTAATAAACCACACGTTTTCGTCATCGTTCATTCATTGTATAGCACCTACGAATTATAACCATTTTAAGAAAGTTATACCACGCTTTACTATGTGTAAATTACAAAGATGAAATTAAAAACTTAGTAGACTGACTAAACTTTATTTTTAGTTCTTATATTTTTTATTTTATTTAACACCTTTTGCACAAATGTATACAATGGCGGACTTAATCCCGAATGGCATTCTCTACCAGCAATCATACCATATATTATAACACTTAATGTTTAATAGAAAACCTCAGGAATTTTTTATTTCAAACTGAACATTAACTATAACACATTGAGTAGCTGCTGCCTGAAGAACGCGTCACCACACAACGGGCGGCGCCGCTGAGTGCCTCTACGCCGTAGGCGCTGCGTAGCACTGTCTACAAACTCAAGGCTTCTATTTCCTTTGTTAACATCAACGTTACTTTCATACAATTATATTATCAATTTCTTGATGAGCTCATGGCTAAGTTCATAACCTTGTAATCAATCAATCTCAAATATCAAAACGAAGGTGAATTAAGAGTGTTGTGGACCTATATGGATATGACCAATAGAGTGACTATACTTGATACCTTGAAAATGTCCAGTGAAGAGAAATAACATAAAATATCGGAAAGACTTCAAAACTAATGCACATCAGGAAGTTCTTAGGATCTTAAAGCACTCGTGGCTTGACTACAAATCCCTAAAATTCCATTAACTTATCCCAAAAAATACATTAAATAATAAAGAAATAAACATTCATACTAATATTAAAATTATTAAATGTTTGTGTGTGTGTGTGTGTCTGTTTGTTTGTTTGTTCGGTTTTCACAGTAAAATGAAGCGGAAAATCGAGGTGATTTTTTTAGTGTAGCGTTTACTGGAGATAGTTGATGGGATGGAATGTGACAGGCTATAAAACATCACGCTGCGATCAATAAGAACCAAGCACCGGATGAAACCGCGCGGGAGTAGACATACTTTTTTTTTGAGGGGGGAAAATCATCCTATGAATTCTCCTGCCCGGGTGAGGCGAGAGGGAGTGTCAGACTCTTACTAACTAAAAACCACCCCGTTCCTACTCCTGCACTTTGAGCCGGAGCCCTGGCAACCCGTTAAGCGCTACGCGGCTCCGTATCGGTATGTCGGTATGAGCCTTATTGGGCCCCATCTGTGGTGGTCTGCTGGCTCTTTGAGATTTTTTTTTCTATGGAATAGTAGGCAAACGAGCAGACGGATCACCTGATGGTAAGCGATCAGCGCCGCTCATGGACACCCAACACCAGAGGAGTCACAGGTGCGTTGCCGGCCTTTTAAAAAGGAATACGCTCTTTTCTTGAAGGTTTGAAATATAAAGATACAATAGTTGCAGTAACACCTGTATGTACGTACATATTTGTTAAGTACCTAGGTATTGCGACTCGACTACAACGTCGAATGTTTGTTCACATGGCGTTGTAATTATAAAAAGTACCTGCGTTGGGTTTTCCTGAAATACGACAATAAACTAAGTGCACGTAAATGTACAAGCATGTCCATTGAATGAAAACTCAAGACGGCAATATCAAGAGTGCCAATATTGGTGTAAAGTGGTTCATCAGTGATAAATAACCTAAATAACCTCGACGGTAGGTATTCTCAAATTGGTAGCTGGTCACAATATGCGTCCTGACTCAAAGATCTTTCATTTTCGTTCAATCTTAATTGTAATAACAATTTCAATTTTTTGTATTTTATCTATAATTTTATTTTAAAAAGATAGGTTTTTTCCTCTTTGAAAAAAAATGAAGAAATTACGTTACGGCTTAACTACCTAGATCGTTTACAGGTTGAAATGACTGACAGATAAAAAAAAGCCGACGGAGCAAATGAAACGAAATTCATATCTAAATGTATAATAGAACATTAACGTAGTATCAAATATCATGGACACGATTAAATTGTGCCATGGCGAAAAGTTTTGTCCTACTCCACAAATGTGGTAGATACACTAGCTACTCCCCCCGATTTTACCCGCTGTTCAGTTCCTGTTGGGCATACTTACTTAGCGTGATTTTCTTGTGGCCTTCGTCGATAAATGGACTATCTAACATGAAAAATTCAAAAGGATTATTTAATTCGAATCAGTAGTTCCGAATATTAGCGCTTTTAAATATACTCTTCAGTTATAAAATAATTAGCATATCATTAAAAAAAGCTAGTTTCAGTTGGGATGTAATATATTTTTCAAATAATAATAATAACTAGGAAGCTTTATAACTAGGAAGAGGATGTAATAATATCTGTGTTCATGTTCTTTTTAAAAAAAAATGTGGGGAAATTTTGGTTTTCAAAAAAAATCATATATTCATGAAGTAAATTATTTCGACTTAATATATTTTAACGGTTTATTATCAGCAATCTTACTATGCCATAGTGTTTAAAATTCAAGATTTACATTTTACTCAAGCTTTGTTCACTATGAGTCGATCTATCTGCGGTTTTCAATAGAGTTAGAGATAATAATGAATTATCTAATAAATAATGCCATCACCATCCGATGTTCGATTTCCATGAATAGCATTAGCATAGAAATCCTTACTAATATTATAAATGGGAAAGTGAGTTTGTTTGTTTCTTTGTTTGTTCCACTTTCACGCCTTAACTACTAAACCGATTGCTTTGAAATTTTGCAGACGTAAAGTTACAAGTCTAGATTAAATAATAGGGTACTTTTTATCCCAGAAAAATGTGATATTCCCGAGGGAAAACAAAAATATTAGTATAAATGGCGCTGTGTGTCTTCGTATAGATGGCGCTGTATGCCATTTAAAATAATTCAACGAATTACCTACTAATTGGAAATTTCACGTTTTAATCTATAGCGCTTATTTAGTGTTAATCTACACTTATTCGGTGCACTTTTCGACTCGTTTATTTTGTGACGCGAGCGAAGCCGCGGGTAAAAGCTAGTATTAAATAAAAATATTAGTATTATTTGGTTGTGGATGGCGTAGCGTATGGTAAATATAAAATGTCCAAAGACAAAGGGAATTTGTGACAATTGTCAGAATGAGTTCTCAGTACTGTCATCTGTCATACTGACGTTTCATGTTGAATGTATTTTTGGCCATTGTATTGTTGCTGGGTTTGAGATTCGTAAATCCTAAATATTTATTCATCATTCTGACCAATATTTGTATCCTTTTCAGTAATGTAATCACGTTACTGGCTAATTATTTACATCTTGATATTGATTATTAAGAAATCGTGTATCTCCAACATGGATATAAAATTTATGAAACCTATACAACCTAAGGTCTTCAAAGCAATCAAAGACCTGGATATTGAAGCTCTTAAGAATTTTACACAAGATGAAATGAGACCTATCATACCATGTTTGGTTCGAATGACACTTATTGCCCCACTCGACACTACCAGAGCTTGTGGAGAAGCTAAGAAAGACGTGCTCACGCTGCTCGCCGGTATAGACTTGGTTAATTTCATTGTATCCCTGTTATCTATTGAATTTAATGCATTAGAAAGTGACCTTAAGAAAGAGCAGCAAATGAGGTAATTTAGATATTTTATAATTTGTTTATTACTTACATACTTACTTAAACAAGATTTTAACTGTATCAAATCATATTACTGGTTTCCTTTTTAGATTGAAAAATGGATCACAGTGCACTGAAACATTTCTGATACAAAGTATAAATAATGGTATCACTAGTGACTTTGAACAGTCAGACTCTCCTCGGAAAGTTCGATTGGTTTTATCAGAGTTGTTACTGATGCAAGCACAGTTGGCTGAGTACAACCAAAACAAGAATTCCAATGTCGAATGTGGTGTAAAGCCATCAGAACTGTTTGACAATGATGTGTACCTGGAAGAAGTCACTGATGTTATCAACATCAGTCTTGCAGAACTGCCAAACTTACTCAATGTTATTGACATTGTTGAAGTGTTGCTTTATGTCAACAAAGGTCCTATTATAATATCATGGGTGCTGGCAAACATGCCTGATTCTGTACAAGAAGGTAATTAAGTAATTATCTATTTTTATTAGAAAAATTTCATTTTCTCATTAACAAAACCTTATTGTCTGCAATAATGTGAGTACTCCATTGCGACTTCACCCACTCTGCTTGGCTCCTATTGATCATAGAGTGATGTTTTATAGCCTATAACCTTCCTCGATAAATAGACTATCCAACACAAACAGAAATATTTGATTTGTATGAGTAGTTTCACAGAGTAGCACATTCAAACAAACAACCTCTTCAGTTTTATATGACATGGCCACTAGGCAATATAGTCTTGTAAAATATAACGAACTAACCTAAAATAAGCCTCGTTACCCTGTTAATAAAATACAATTTTCCATTCTGTCAACTTAAAACACCATTACTAAGGCTCCATATTTGTATCTATAGAATATATTTGAAGTTATTGTAGGTATATATAGGGAGCCTATTTCAATGAGAATTTAAAAATCTATAAATAATTCATAATATCTTGTCTATCGAAAAACTTCTATGACATACCTGAAAAATGTATGTTTTAGTTTGAGATTTTTCTTTTCAGTATGTAAAGTTGTGAATGTCAAATAGTTTGTAAATGCTACTACAACACGAGATAATCATAGTGTGGGAGCAATGTTTTTTAAACAAAAAAGTTTTAATATTAGAATGTGACTTAATGGGCGAAAGGCCATTACATTGATCTAATAATGGTTATTATTGATATTCACAAAAATACCTGGCCAAGATTCATCCTATTTGGTTTTCATACATTGTGCTATTCTCCTTTGTGTAATAGATTTAAAAGTACAAGTTTTAACTCGTCGAGTACCGTATTTATAGATACAACTAGCTTTTACCCGCGGCTTCGCTCGCGTCACAGAAGAATAAATAGTAGCCTATGTGACATATACCAATACACACAGCGCCATCTATACCAATACTTTTGTTTTTCCTCGGGAATATCAATATTTTCTGGGTTAAAAAGTACCCTATTATTTTTAATCCGGAATTCTAACTTTACGTCTGCAAAAATTCAAAGCAATCGGTTGAGTAGTTACGGCGTGAAGGTGGAACAAACAAACAAACTCACTCTCAGATTTATAATATTAGTAAGGATTAAAGAACAATAGTTTGCTGTCACCGGTGACCGCTTAGTGTTTGACAGTTCAAAGTCAAATAATTTTAAGGGCACTTATTTGTGACAAATATATATTAAATTATGACTGTTGGTCCATTACTAAACTAAGAAAAAATGGCAGAGTAAACAATCCTGTAACTATTTTGATTTCAGTGGCTGAATCACTTGTGATGAATGCTGATAGAAGTGAAGAAGGTGGTATTAGAGCTAAAACTCTAACCACTTTGTGTGCTGCCTGTCCACATTTGGCAGCAGCTGTTAGATCGAAAGCCGCATCAGCATCCCGGCTGCCTTCACTGGTCATCACACTTACCTTGACGCATCACCACGATGACTTGGTAAGATACTCAATCAGTTTTATTTAATTAATACATAAATATGTACATGTATTTTATATTGTTACTAGCTTTTACCCGCGGCTTCGCTCGCGTCACAAAAGGATAAAAAGTAACCTATATACATATACACACAGCGCCATCTATACCAATAATTTCGTTTTTCCTCGAGAATATCATTTTTCCGGGATAAAAAGTACCCTATTATTTAATCCAGACTTCTAACTGTACGTCTGCAAAAATTAAAAGCAATCGGTTTAGTAGTTACGGCGTGAAAGCGGAACAAACAAACAAACAAACAAACTCACTTTCCAATTTATAATATTATATATATATATATATATATATATAATATATATATATATTATATATATTAGTAAGGAGTAAGGATTTTGCTTTTTACTGCTGTTTTTCATTGTTTTTTAATGTTGGTTTTTCATTGTTATTTTATGTTTGTATATTTGGTGCGTCATGCCTAATGAGCTAATGCAAATATTCTTTTTCTTTCTTTCAAATATTATTGTTGATATGCTTGAAAAACATTGCTTACACATTTTGTCATTGTACTTATTTGTGCACAGGTTTCCTTTATGTCTGGGCTTCTACTTGGATCGGACCAAACAACAAGAGCTGGTTTGCGACATTCTTACGTAACTCCCACAAAAGAGGCAAGGGTGATGGGCATGCGGCATTAACAAAACTAAGGCAGGAATTACTGAACAGGCTGAAAGATGCCACTGCTGGTGTTGAGGCATCAGCTCTACTGCGACTTTACTGTGCTCTCAGGGGGATTGCAGGAATAAAGTTCCAAGACGATGAAGTAGCTGGACTATTGAGGCTTGTTACGCAAAAACCACCACCAACCCCAGCTGGAGTACGATTTGTGTCCTTAAGTCTCTGCATGATTCTTGCCTGTCCGTCTTTGATGGGTAAGTAATGAAAGAATTTTATAATCTGAAAAAAAATCGAATTTGTACTATAATATTATGTATGTAATGTTTCACACAAAAAGTACGTGACCGATTTCAAAAATACTACCATTAGAAAGCTGCATCTTTATTGGACAAAAAACTACCGAACAAACTAGGTCCACGCAACAAAGACACCAAAAACATGGACACCTACGGAATTTTAAACAATTTGCATATTAATGAACTGTTTTATTTTTTCTCAGCTGCTCCTGACCACGAGAAAAAGGCCATAGAATGGGTGCAATGGCTAGTTAAAGAAGAAGCTTATTTTGAAAGGTAAAACTAGCTTATATTCATTGATTTATTAGTAAATGTGAATTCAAATGTAACACAAGTTTTATTTTGTTACAGTAATTCTGGGGTAACAGCATCATTTGGTGAAATGCTGTTATTGATAGCTATACATTTCCACTCTGGTCAGTTGACAGCCGTCGGTGAACTAGTGTGCGCCACTCTTGGAATGCGCGTACCAGTTCGCCCTAATGGGTTAGCAAGAATCAAACAAGCATTTACTCAAGAAATCTTTACTGAACAGGTATGTGAAATTTTTGTCTAATACAATTCAATGTGCTCTACTCACCCATATCCATCTATCTGTTTTCTATATTTTCAGGTTGTAACAGCCCATGCCGTGAAAGTACCGGTAACAGCGAATCTTAATAGTAACATACCAGGTTATTTACCTGTTCATTGCATTCACCAACTCTTAAAATCTCGGGCATTTTCTAAACACAAAGTCCCCATCAAAAATTGGATTTATCGTCAAATATGCAACTGCACAGCACCCTTGCATCCCGTTATGCCAGCCTTAGTTGAAGTGTATGTCAATTCATACTTATTGTTAACAACAAAGGCACTAATGAATATGTCAACAAGCCCATAATGGAAGAAGAAATCAGGAAAGTGTTTAGAAATTCCATATTTGGTGCAAATTTTGATGTGCAGAGTAAACCATTTGCTCCAATGGAAATCGATAATGGAGAAACATCTACAGAAATTAACATAGAAAAACCAACTCTTGCATCACAGCTTCTCTTAATTTACTACCTACTATTGTATGAAGATGTACGACTAGCCAACACCGCGACACTCATGACAAATGGACGGAAAGTAAAGAGTTACTCAGCAGCTTTCCTATCTGAGCTACCAATAAAATATTTACTCCATCAGGCTCAAAAAGACCAGATGAGTTACGGTGGTTTATTCAGTCCCTTACTCGGCTGTTAGCTACGCACTTCCCACAACTGTCGCTGGTTGATGACTGGATGGACGATCAAGTTTTTGGAGATTCAAATCGCCACCAAGTAGATATAAATCTTTCAGAAACCGCTATAAACGATGCATTCCAAACAATCGAAGAAAACCCCTACAAGACTGGAAAGATTTTGAAAGCTATGCTTAACAAGAATCCTACAGACATATGGCCTTATGCTGAAACATTTGTAAAGTATTTCAAAAGTGTACTTGGGGATGAAGTTCCGCGACACATTCAAGAATTATATCATGAGGTATGGTTACGCCTCAATACAGTACTGCCGCGTTGCTTGTGGATAATGACAATCAACGCTTTACTCGATATCAATGGGGGTGTCAAGAATGTAACCATCACACAGGAGAACGTATTGGTAGACCCTTTACAAGTGTTACGCTGCGACATCAGAGTTTTCAGATGCGGGCCTATTTTAAAAATAATATTACGGATTCTCGAAGCAAGTTTAGCTGCTTCTAGAAGTCAACTTAGTCGACATTTATTAGACAAACCCTTGCTTGAAAAAAGTGGACAACTCAATTCAGATGCTGAAAGAGAAGAACTTAAGAATGCTTTGGTCGCAGCACAAGAAAGTGCTGCATTGCAAATATTATTGGAAGCATGTTTGGAGACAGCAGAGGACGAAGCCAAACCTGAGCTGATGTGGTCTCTTCGTGAAGTGAGAAGTATAATATGTTCTTTTCTTCATCAAATATTTATATCAGAGCCATCTCTAGCTAAATTGGTACACTTCCAAGGTACCCTCGGAAATTGCTGCCTGTGACAGTTCAAGGAATTCCTTCAATGCATATTTGTTTAGATTTCATACCAGAACTCCTTAGTCAAGCGTCACTCGAAAAACAAATATTTGCTGTAGACCTTGTATCACATTTGTCTATACAGTACGCCTTACCCAAAGCTATGTCTATTGCAAGATTATGCGTCAACACTTTGTCGACATTGCTATCGGTTCTCCCGAGTGACTTGCGATTGGAACTGTTCCAACCGGTGCTTAAATCTTTAGTAAGGATTTGTACCGCATTTCCGTCGCTACTAGAAGACATAACTTCGCTGCTACTACAACTTGGAAGAATTTGCGAGTCTCAGGCATCTCTAGGCCATTGCTGGAATGATACCAGTATACTTGGTGAAGGAGCCTATGTGCCTTCTGATGTGCAACCTGATACTAAAGTTTTGGTTGCCGAAGTTCTATGTAGGGATATCAAAGTAACAATGTCTGAAATTGTTGAAAAAGCATTATTAAATGATAAACTATATTAAATTTGTTCACTTTATTGTAAGTGGGTTTATTTTATCAATAAATAAATAAAAACATTTTCAGTAATTCTATGGAATTTTATTTACGAATGTGAAATACAGTTATCACGCAGTTTTACATACAGTTAAAACTATGTAAAAACGTGTTTGAATTTTTAACCAACCGCTTCGATGTTAACGTCGAGTTTTACAATGGCATCGTTTTAAAACTAGCATCATGCAAGTGCAACTAGTGGCGTCATACAAATGCGATGCGAAACTTGTGTTGCGGAATGTAAAGGCATAACGCTAGTCGGCGGAGCCATGGCACTACAAATGTGCTATTGATTACAGAATGTGTATTATAATTTTTAATAAAATGTTTGACAAGGGGTCTCGGTTTCGATTCCCGGGTTGGGCAAAGTATTACTGGATGTTTAAAAAAATCTCAGTAATAGCATGGAGTCAATTGTGCCGGGTATATGGCAATAGGCCGGCACAACGTTCCCCTATTAAATGGGACTCATAAATTGTGAAAAGTGGGTGTTGTATTGTACAGTGGTATTAAGATCGTTATGTGCGCCTACCCCTTCGAGGATAAAAAGGCGTGTGTTATGTAAAACACATTTCTAGCATTCTGAAAATATTGTGGTAAAATATTTCGTCACATCACGAATCTTTTATTGCAATGCCAATTTGGGTTAAGAAAATAAAAGTCCAGAATGCTTGTTAGTACATTTAATACATTACCAGCAATAAATTTGACGGTTCTACAGAATTTTGTAATTCTAATTGCCTATACATCCAAGCACATTGATTTCTTGCGGCGTGGTTACCAATGTCGTGGTACAGCTGTGCCTAAAATATTAAATGACAAAATAATTTATGACTCTTGTTTTAGGAATACATACAAATTATTCAGAACGATATAGAAATTAAGTTTACCTGTAAATACCATGTTTGAAGTAGTCTGAGATGCGCGCCGACTTTAGTAAAATTTTTTTTAACATTTTCTAAAGCTTCACAACACGACTGCAATACTTGCATCCGAGCCTCTCCGCATGGAGCTGCGGTCGCAATCCGACACTTCGTGTACAACAACATGGCTGAAATTTAAATTATATACTTCCTCAAGCTCTACTTTTAAATCAACAATTACACATTATGATTAAAAATGTCCTACTTTACCTCTACCCATATCATATGCACCACCGTCTGCCATTATAGTAGGCAAAGCTTTTCTCACAAGAGATAAAGCATTTTTTGCACATCCCATGCTTAGCTGGACATTAGCTAAATGCATTTCAGCTGATGCAGCTAAATAATGTAAATGATATTCTTTTGCAAGCCACAGGGCTTCATTGAGTTGCATTATATTTGTGGATTGTATATTACTGAAAGAATGTTGGACTTGAGACATCAATATCAAAGCTTTCACTCTCAGTGATATATAGTGCAAACTGTCATCCTCAGTCTTGCAGAAGTCGAGGATGTCATACAGAGACTCCAACGCTTCGGTCGCGTCCCCTTTCAGATAATACATCTCCGCTTTAAGGAGCTGACTCTCCCATCTGTTGGATGACGCCAACTGTCTTATACTTTGTTCTGCTTCTCCCATTTGCCTGAAACGGTTTAGAATCATTTAGGAGTGACCGTAAATAGCTGTCGGTGGCGTGCGGCAGTGTGTCTGTACCCTTGTGCAGCGCGCGCTCGGCGTGCAGGCGCGCGTGCGGCGCGGGCGGCGCGTGCTGCTGCAGCGCCAGCGCGGCCGGCAGCGCGCCGCGCCACGCCGCCACGTCGGCCGCGCCGCGCCAGCCCAGCCAGTGCGCCTCCGTCACGTGCCCCACCACGCCGCTGCCCACGTTGCACTCTGTCGACAATGTTACGCACTTCCCGTACTAAAGGTTTTTACAAGCTTTTATTAAGGCTCGAAATGGAATTTTGAGACTAATACCTTATCTTTAACGGATTGAGTTGAAATTTTGTATAATAATAATCATCATTTGCTTAGCTTAAAAGCTTGTCACAAGGTTTAGATATACTTAAGTTGATATATATGTCTATTAAATTACAAAATTAACATTTCAAAAATCTTTATTGCTTTTCTGAGTGTATGACATCTATACTTACTCGTGTTGAGATCGAGAAGAAGTTGACAGGCGACTGACGCCATTTCAGTTTTTCCGTACAAGGCCCATAATGCGGCTGTATTAGCAAGCCCTGCCATCGTGAGGTCCGTCATCGAGTGCAGGTAATTGATGGAATCTCCTCGCATAATGACCTTTAAATATTACAAATTATTGATTCATTATCGTATTCCGTTTATTACACATAGCTATATGGTGTTACAGTTTCACCCGCTGCCGGGCTCCTATAGATTGTAGCGTGATATTTTATAACTTATAATCTTCCTTGATAAATATGGACAAATTCTATATTTCGGTGATTTTAACAATCAACTCTTCAGGTTTATAATTTATATACATAGTACTATATTTTGCAAGCGGCTTGGCCGCGTTCCTGAGGACTAAAAAGTCTCACCTGAAAAATGTAGGCAGGCTTGGCCCCGTTAACGGCAGCGTGTTGAGCCAGTAGCTGTGCGGCAGCGGCAGTATAGCGCGGGTGCGAGGGCGCTGCGGCGGCCGGCGCGGCCAGCGGCGCGGCCGGCGCGCCCGGCGGCGGGTCGCGGGGCGCGCGCGTCAACAGCGCGGCCCGGCGCGCGCGCCCGCCCGCCAGCGCACCCCACGTAGCCGCGCCCACCAGCACGCGTAGTCCGCAGCCTCCTGCGCGCGGGCTAGAGCCTCACGCACTGCTTCCATCGCCACAGATCTGATCATATGACGATTTAAATTGCTGCTTTTTTAAGACTTCAAAAAAGAAGGCTTTTCGATATATATGCTTTTTAAAAGCTTGTTCGGTGATAATTTTGTTATAGTATCAGAAAATGTTTTGTAACACTTTGATAAAAGCAACATTACACATATAAACACGATTCTTCCTTACCGGTGACCGAAATGAGTGTGCATTGCGGCCCTATTCAATGCCGCATAACGGAAGTTCTTATTCCTATCGATGCCAGTGTTATTGCCTGATAGTAATATGGTACGGTCGAAAAAATTGTATAGAGAGTCCTGAGCACCACTGAACTCCTTTGTACGAATGCAGTTTAAAAAACTGAGGAAATGCTAAAACAATACAAATACCGTCTTAGACTAAGAATCATGTGAGACTTATTAAAATAATGCAATAAATACCTTTAACAATAGGGATGATGACAGCATGAAAATTCAATTCAAAAACAATTGAAGGCATCCACAGCCTTGTTGAGTATGAAATGTACTCAAATGTGATGCCATGCAATATTTCAAATGAATTGTAAGTTACAGGACTTTCATTCATAAAAAGAATTTTAGTCCTCATCTTTTTTAATACAAACCAATATATTTATGTACTTACAATATCTGCATATTCTGGTATATCATTCATTATTTGTAGAATTGTTTTCTGTAACTGTCTAGGTGGCATTGCCTTCTTTTCGTTTATTTGTAATAAATTTGCTTGTTGTGCTGTAAACAATTCTGCTTGCTTTCTTGACCATTGGCATTCTTCAAAACTGCTAAATAATAAATGCAATACATTTTGTCTTTCTCTAAATGATATAACTTGATAATTATCTAAAATATATTATAGTTCGATGTTGCACTTACTTGTCTCTGTCTACTATATTCATTCGCATTGACAGCTCCAAAGGTTTTGATTCCTCGGGTATAACGGGAGATGTGGTTGTGGCCTGCTGATCCATGTTGTTTAGTTTCTGCACAAAGTTTCAAACTAAATCAATTAGCAATTACAACATGATATAAATATTCATTACAATTATGTAATTGATTAAAAGTACCTCTTTACTTAATGATCTCATCATAAGACCAGGCCTGCCCCTCTGGTAATAAAGGCAGAATGACTTGTAAAGTGACACAACTTGCACAAAAGTTAGCTTATCTAGATGAAGTAATATTCTTCTTAAATACAATCCTGGAAGATGGAAATATAACTAATAAATCAATATTCTTACTACTTTTGAAAAAAAGCAAATAATTTTGTAATTTTGTTACCTAAAACACTGTATCTGGCCATAATACAAGGATTAGATTCAATCATCAGCTTGTCTATTGTTGAGGTGACACAGTCTGTCAGAGCACTAACTCCATTAACATAAATATTCTGAAGTCTAACACAAAAGTTCTGCAGATGAACACTAAGCAAATTATAACGACCATCTGTTAGCAAAGCCTCTAACTCCTTAAATTCCATATCTGGGCACTGAAAAACAAATTGTATGAATAAAAATGAATATAAGTTTAGTTCATCAAGAATTAACGGTAATTGGCTGGATTATTCCAGAATTATACATGCCATACATATTCCTGTCTTATTGGTCTTCTGTTCTGTTCTTGTTTTTTTTTCTTTTACTTTATGAAACCAGTTATACACCTCACTACTTTAATATAATAAATAAAAAAATAAAATGTTGCATTGTACAAACTAGCTACGTAATTATAGTTCAATATCAAGAAATTATTACCTGAATCAGTTTAAGAGCCAGCATACAGAAATCCTTTCTATATTTTGGTGCCACAGTACAATCCATCATTTTGTTTGCTGAAAAGATAAATCATGAATGATAGCCCCTCACATATAATACAAATAATAGAACAAAATTAGGACACTCACCTTCAATTTTCAGTAGACCATATTCTCGTATAAAAGCTACTACTGCTATTTTATGAGGTGTAATATTTTCAATATTACCTTTGACATTTATTAATTTTGTAAAATCTACATTTTCACCGCCTAGTTCCATCGTATCAGTAAAAATAAAGCGTTAACTCGTATTAGCAAATTATACCACAGTATAATATGAAATAATGTCTCGGGAGCGGACTGATGTTTATTTTGAAAACAAAATGTCAATTCAACAGTCACCTCTTTGACACTTGACAGCACCAGATGTCCCATAAATTCGTCCATCATGTCTTCTCATGGTCACAGCTTATGTCATCTTTTTTTTTATTCTTTTTATTCATAGGTTTTGTGGTAGTATTTTAATTTGTAAATATTTATGAACTCTCGTTATACTTACTGTTTACTCTAGTAATATTTATATATATATTAGTTTATTTAATAATTGATCGTAATAAATGTTTGTATAAAACTTAAAAAAAAATACTGAATTGCGGGGACGGTATTTAAATACTTCTTCGTAACCATTTCCTATCTATTTGCTAACTACATCAATTTATTTATTTTTTATTTTTTTTTTTTTTTTCTTTTTTGATTCATAACAATTTATATAACTACATAAATATTTACAACTTAAAATTAACTACAACTAAACTATTAAATAAAAAGAAAGTAAAAGAAAACAACAAAAATTATACCCTTAATTTAGGCGTCAAAGTATTCGTCCGCATCACTATCACAGGGGAAAGTTCCCAAAGACTGGCAGCATTGCCACGTTGAATGGCAATGCTTATTTTCTGTCCGAAGAAAAAGCCAGCCCTCTGGTCACGTGTAGAGTCGATAAGCCTACGGGCGATGTCTTTAAACACAGAGTGTGCACTGGGACCCCATGGCCCAAGTGTTTCGACCCCAAACGGCTCAAAACAGTAGTTACCCACTAGATTTGAATATTTACGCCGTTTGAGGGCCTCTGCCGCGGAAGCAGCTGCACCAACGCATGCAGCGGTGCTTAAAAGATGTGATGGCGCAAGGGTGTCTACACACGTCGCGTCCCACACCAAAGGCCTACCCATCTTCCAAGGCAGCAACGACATACCATCTGGTCTTTTGCCGTCATCACGTACCAAACCATTAGGTTCTAATACGGCTGGTACACCGGCTGAGGCAAGAGCACGACGAATGATGTCGTTGATGCTGGCATGGCGAGCTATGCGGCCTGCACTTCTGCAACAAGAAAGACCATGGTGTCCCAAGCCATCGACTCTTTCTCCACAGTGACAATAATGCGGAGAAACACAAGGAGCACCTAAACGTAGGCATACAGCTAGGCGGAACGTTATGTCATCCAACATAGTACCTATGAAGGGTGACGGGAGTGCCTGAAGCCACAATCCTGATTCCCATTCTCCCACAGCCAATAAGCGAGCTCGCTCTGCAGTATTAGGAGACGAGTTGATTAAAGACTCACGAATAACACTGCACAGCGGCACGTCCCACTGTCTCTGAGAAGATGGGTGAACAGGTAAATCCGTAAGTGGGCAAGCCATTTTCCACGCTTCCACTGCATCAGTCAAACACGGCACCTCAAAACTGGTCAGTGACGAAGAAAGAATTTTCCTGACTAATTCAGAGGTACTGTGGACCGAAGACAGAAAAGCTGGTAAACTAATACTTGAAATTTTGCGGACGCCGAGCCCTCCCATGCGAATAGGAAGAGTAGCTTGTTGCCAAGCTCGGTCATCCAAAGCCACATTAAGTATGGATGACAATGTGTGTCTGATAATTTTGTCTACGTTTTCTAAAATGTGTGAATGTTTCCATAGATGTGAAGCGCGGAGAATATAAGTAAATTTTGGTCCAAAACAACAGTACCGAATTAGGGTGAAAGCCGAATGTGTGTTGATTTTGTGTAATCTATCCGAAATGTGATTGAAATTTTGTATCTTGTCCTCGATGAATTTAGGAAAACATTCATCGAATATTGGTGAACCTAGGAGGTGAAGTGAGTACTTATCAATAATTTTGATATTTGGAGCTATTTGATTAAATTTTGCTAGAGTCGTTAGTCTGTCTGTAGAGTCTGTTATTTATTTATTGACTACATATGAGAGCACCAGAGAGAGAGAAATCAGAGACAATACTTGTCTTTTGTCTATGCTTGTACTCCATCGACACCGACGACAATGCATGTTGTTGTGATAACAATTTTCTAATTGATAATTATTTATTGTAACAATAATCGTACAGTTAACGAAAATGCGGAGACAAAGTCTTAATTACTTATAATTTGGAATGGAATATAAGTGCAGTTTTAAGTTATTATTTTTATTTTTTTAGTAATTTTACCAGTGGTAGCCATAGTAATGGATAAATGTAAGGTTGCGTTTATTATTCTAGTGTTAAACGTTTTTGTATCAGTTGAAACTTCAGGTGTTACTGTTTATCCTGGAGATACATTACCTCATCATGGTCGTTGCGAGCCTATTACTATTCAGTTTTGTACACAAATACGATATAATCAAACGATATTTCCCAACTTACTAAATCACGCTAAACAAGAAGATGCGGGGCCAGAAGTACACCAGTTTACACCTTTGATAAAAGTTAACTGTTCACCAGATCTAAAATTCTTTTTGTGTTCAGTTTACGCCCCCGTGTGCACAATATTAGACACAGCCATACCTCCTTGTCGACATTTATGTGAATCTGCAAAACAAAATTGTGATGAGATTATGATAACATTTGGATTTCATTGGCCTGAGTACTTGGAGTGCACCAAATTTCCTGTGGCTACTGACGAAAACGTGATATGTGTTGGTGATAACAATATAACTCATGAGTCTAGAAGACATACTGAAACAAAACTTCCTAAAGTGAACTTCAAAAATAATAACGAGAGAGACCCAACCAAACTACATGGAGCAAAAGACTATGGATTTGTGTGTCCTGTACAATTTAAAGTCCCCAAGAACTTGGATTTAGAATACTCACTGAAGGTTGGAGATAAAACAGAATATGATTGTGGGGCACCTTGCACTGGTATGTTTTTCAGTGAAGATGAGAAAAAGTTTGCTCGATTATGGATTGGCATATGGGCAACATTATGTACTGTAAGCTGTCTGTTCACTGTTTTGACTTTTCTAATAGACACAGATCGATTTAGATATCCAGAAAGACCTATAATTTTCCTATCTGTATGTTATCTCATGGTGGCTGCAGCATATGTTATGGGTTGGAGTGCAGGTGACAGTGTTAGCTGTCAAGGTCCCTTTCCAACAACTATAAGTGGTGCAAGACTGCCGAACATATCTGTAATTACACAGGGAACAAAACATGAACCTTGCACTATTCTCTTCATGGTGGTATATTTCTTCAGTATGGCTTCAAGTATTTGGTGGGTGATCTTAACATTGACATGGTTTCTGGCAGCTGGACTTAAGTGGGGCCATGAAGCAATTGAAGCAAATTCTCAGTACTTCCATCTAGCAGCATGGGCTGTCCCTGCTATCAAAACGATATCCATTTTGGCCATGGGAAAAGTGGATGGTGAGTTGTTTAACTTTATTTTTATCTCCTGCTATACTTCTTCTAATCAAGAACATATAAAAATATACCTTGTTTTTCCTAGATGAGTTATAATGGTTTATTATTGATTTAATTCAATTCTACTATAAATAGAGTTTGAGAGAATTAGATATTCTATTGATAACAATGAACCATTTAACTCGTCGAGTACCGTATTTATAGACACAATTAACTCGTCGAGTACCGGTTTTATAGACACAATTAAAGAACAATAGGTTGCGGTCACCGGTGACCGCTAGGTGTTTGACAGTTTAAAGAACAATAGGTTGCGGTCACCAGTGACCGCTTGGTGTTTGACAGTTTAATGGTATTCAGTAACTGGTAAAAAGTATGTATGTTCATAACTACATAAAGTATGTCACATATATATATATGTATATGGTTTGATTATATAAATGGTTTGAGTAACATAATATTTCAAAGGAGTATAAATAACAAAAATGTATATACAGGTGTCCCTGTTGGATGTGTGGTTCAAATCGAACAGGAGCTTAGAAGAAATTATTCCCTAACTTTTTGTTCTAGGAATGTTGGTCCAATTCTTATTTGGTTCAAAACTTGTATGAGTAATACAAATCATTTGTTCAGTAATTTTCTATTAGGTCAAAGAATTGATCACAAACAACAACTATTTATTTATTTAAGCTTTAATGTACACAGAAACAAGTAATGGTACATAAGGCAGACATTAATGCCATATAGCATTCTCTCCCAGTCAACCTTAGGGTTAAATTGAAAAACGGCGAAAAAATAGGCATGTGTAATTATAAGAAACAAATAACATAAACAGACTTTAATAAATATAGATAGGTACAAAAAATATTTAAAATGTACACTACAATATAAATACAACATAAATATATAGATATACAACATTTAATAAAAAACATGCTACTGTATTTTAACATAAAAAATTGATAAACCACTTATAATGGATATTCACAAGAAGTGTTGCTTCTTAATATGAAGAAACAACATTTAATGTTTATTTTTCCACAAACCTATTGTTTAACACAAAATTCTTATAATTCTGCCATCTAAACAAACCACAGACTATTTGACAATTTATAGTAATCAATTCAAAATTTAGGAAAACCTATTTTTTTTCATACTTTTAAATATTTTACCTCAAGTCACACATAATTTCTTCCTTTCAGGTGATGTTCTCTCCGGTGTGTGCTATGTTGGACTTTGGGATGCAGAGGCACTGCGTGGATTTGTTTTAGCTCCACTTTGTGTGTATCTGGTTCTTGGAACTATCTTCCTGCTTGCAGGCTTTGTTTCATTATTCCGAATTAGAACTGTAATGAAACATGATGGAACAAAAACAGACAAACTTGAGAAATTAATGATTCGTATTGGTGTCTTTGGTGTATTATACACAGTACCAGCATTAATAGTGATTGCTTGTCTTTTCTATGAACAAGCAAATTTTGACGACTGGATGGTAACTTGGCACCGTGACATGTGTTCTATACCTTTATATTCTATTCCTTGCCCATTTACACGGAAAGAAACTGACCGACCAAAATTTGAAATGTTCATGATAAAGTACTTAATGACTATGATAGTTGGAATAACTTCCAGTTTTTGGATTTGGTCTGGAAAAACATTAGTTTCCTGGCGCCAATTTTTCGATAAAATTAAGGGAAGAAGAGTGGAAGCTTATGTGTAAATTGCTTTGAAACTGAATCTAATTTGAAGCGTATACATAATACTAAAATAGAAGATTATTTCTCCCGCCGTTAATGAGGCAGCTAAATCGAATAAGGCAGCTATATACTTTTATCATGAGATTACTTTTATATTATTGAATCTCAAAATAAGGCTGAATTGTAAATAGTTTTCGTTTTCATATTATTGTGACTTAAATCTAAGATTATTTTTTACTTTTTTGTAATTATTTTTAAGAATAATTTGAATAAAATAATTGTATTTTTAATTTGCATTTGTTATTAAGTATATCTTTCTATTTATTTTTTAATGTTTGTCCATAATATATATTCTGATTACATATTTTACAAAATACACATCACATCACGACCTGAAACAACTATTGTGGATCACACAGTGGTTTTGTGCACGAATCGAATTGCGACACTCAATTATCCAGGCTGTAATCCCGCGGAAGTGTGGTGGTCGAAGCTTATTAATTGCTAAGACCCTTCACAACCGTGAGGTATGCAACCTCAGGGAATATTTCCTGAAAGTCAACGAGGGTATGCATCGAGAAGTAGCAGCGATGGACAATGGATTCACTCCACTATCCTTGGCAAAAGAGAACTGGCGCAAACGTGTGGCACTGAACGTCATGATCGCAAAGAGGTATGGCATAGCAAGGAGCTCCACAGACGCTTCTTCCGGGCCCTTCATGTAGATTTTCTAGCGTCCGTGTCTTAGCTACGATTCAGTATCTATTTGGGGAAACTGAAGGATTTGTCTGTGCAATAATGGACGAAGTTATCCTTACGAGTAACTACCGGAAATATTTATAATAATTAAGGATGGGACGGTGACATATGTCGGGCATGTCATAGTCCTGGTGAATCCAGTAAACATATTACCTATTTCTGGTTGTGGTCGTTTGGCTAACAGTGAATATTTGCATAGGCATAATCAAGTAGCCAAGATTATCCATCAGCAACTTGCTGTACACTATCGACTTGTTGAGTCTGAGGTACCGTACCTACTACAAGTATGTGCCCGACCCAGTTCTGGAAAATGACCATATTATATTGTATTGGGACCGGTCTATCATTACTGACAGGACTATTGTAGCTAATAAACCTGACATAGTGGTGATAGACCGACAAGTACGTTGCACGATGATAATCGATGTCACCATTCCCCATGAGGAGAACCTCGTGAAAGCTAAAAGATACCTAAACAAATAAAATATCTAGACTTAGCTCACGAGGTTGTCGACATGTGGAATGTGGATTCGACTATCATTGTGCCGAGAGTCGTGTCGGCCAATGGGTTAATCCCTAAAAGCTTCGACATTCGTCTCAGGACAGGAGGCTGGCGTTAAGTGGATGGATCAAGGGCCTGATAAAGAAGGCAGTTCTAGAAACGGCACGTATCGTGAGGAGGTTTCTGTCTCTGGAGCCCCAACCACCGGTAGCTTGGACCATGCTCCCGCTATTGGTCGGCTCCTATTTTTTATATTTTTAAATATAATTTTTGTACCTAAGTACTTAGTATTTAAAAATGTAATTTGTAGAGAATTTTAAATAAATATATGTGAATAATAATTTGAAAGAGGTATATAAGAATCATAGGAATTGCCGTTCCATAGTCTGCCTTTTTTGTGATGACGGGGGGACACTTTCAAAAGGCGCCTAGCTTTGTAGTGAGAAAACTAGGGAGTCTGGGATTCGTACCTCACTAAACCACCCCGGCGCCCCCACGGTGCAATACCTGTTACAGCACATCCCTACCATAGTCTCTGCCTCCCTCATGGGAGACAAGCGTGAGGTTATGTACGTATGTTCAAGTTTAGTGTTGTAATTATATTACTGGGTTAAGTATAGTGAAATAATGGTAATTATAGATGAAGACAGTGCATAATATTTATGTACATTACATTATGTCAAGGCAAGCCACATGGCTTGACTACAGAGCAGAATATATTTGTCACCAACTAATGGGTGTTGTTAAGAGTTGATTAATTTCATTGGGATGGGGCAGCAGTGTTCAAACCTAAACTTTTCAAACTTCTCCCAAATCCAGCCCACCTGCAAAGCCCTAGTGTTTGTGACTAGTTTAGCAGAAGAATGTCACAGACTGTTGTTGATGATAATTACTTCCGTTACTATCATAGATAGTATTCATGATCTTATTGTTTCTCTGTTAGTTCTGTCTGAGCATGATGTACAATTATCTGATGATCTTCTGTAGGCCTCTAGAATGGTGAAGAAATACCCAAATAAAATATTTCTTTTTCAGACGAAGTACATGGGTTTCATCAATTGATTATAAATCTTGATCCTTCTAAAATTATAAAACATTTAATGCATGGTCATGGACCCGGTGTGGTGGAAGGATCCAAGTAAAAAAGGTATTTTCTGTTGTTTCATATACCATCAGTTGAGTGGTTACTTTTCTCCACATCAATGAGTACTCAATCATTACTGTCATTTCATTTATATTGAGAGTATATTTATAAACATAAATGCTCAAAAGCCACAAATTAAATTCCTTAATATTTTCTTGTTAATGAATTTAATAAAAAGGGAATACAAAATAAAAGATATTCTAATGTATACAACTTATGTTTAATGTGTAATAGAATTAAATTACATAATTTAATAAAAATCATATCTTAACACCCAACTCCATACTCATTGCACTCCATTACTTTCACACTTACTCAGAACAGACATTTTATTAATTAATTGGAAAATTATGCCCTTGTGTATTTACCCCAAATGTGAAGCATAAACACTGATGCAATAAAGAGCAAAGACATCACTAACACTGGAACTGGACCTCTGCAAATAAAAACAAAAACAATGTTGTATATTTTCATGATAACAAAATCATTTGGAACATAAGCTCGTTAATTATTTCCAATCACTTTTAATTAATCTCTTTTATAATTATTCTAGTGTTCCTCTATAAACTGAATAGTAATGTTACAAAAATGTTTCTTTGATGTTAAAGTAGAATTGAATTGCTTGCAAGTAAAACCATCAATATTGACTGGATATTTAGTAAGTCATATGATTTTAGGTTTAGGTTAACCCGTAGAGATCCAAGCGGTCACCGGTGACCGCGCGTATGAAACGCGCCGTTCCGTCAAATACCAAGCGGTCACCGGTGACCGCTCTCACTCACTGCGTTAAATCATTTATCGGAACTTTGTTTAACTGATCTACAATGAGCAATTAACTATCGGGCAAACATTTATGATAGCTGAGGAAGACGTCAACGAAATATATAGGCAATCATATTATTATGGAACCATCAAATACACAGAAAACGCAGGAACTTACACTTTAACACCAGGAGAATCGTCAGTGTAGAATCGCCACATGCCACCAGATCCAGCCCCAGCTGTGCTGCGATTTCTAGCAGCAGTAGTAGTAGTTGTGGATTTGCGCTGACGAACAGTGCCACCACTGGATGATCGTGGTGCAGTTGTGGCTTTGCTTGGCGAGCGACCACCAGATCCTACAGATGTAGAGCTTGGAGAAGGAGGCTGAAAAAATAATACATAGGTAAGTCTAATTGAATATTCTGGACATTTTACATAATTTTAAAATAAAACAATATTAATATTTAGTTTCTATACATACCATATTTGTAATTTATGTGCTTCAATTCAGGATAACACAGTGATGACTGATAACTTTAGTAATTTACCTCTCGAAATTACAAAGTAGAACAACTGCAAGTGAGTGTGTCTGAATAGTGTTGGCAACTACCGTGCAACGCGTACAATCTCACTGACACGTTGACAAACAATGTTGCCAGAACTACCTACAATATTTTCTGTGGGTAATGATTTAGTCGATTTTTAAACGAGGAACGAAGTAATGCTTCTTTAATTTGAAACAAAAGAATTCTTCTCACAGGTATTTTCTCCTATGTCCTGGATGGCCCATAAATCCATTCAGCCATACACACGACATATTTATTTGTTTATTTTAACTCTTACATTACATGTACTTTTATATCATTAGGTACATCTACCCAACCGAGTAACTAACTTAAACACTTTTAACAAAAATTTAACACTAACACCATGTTTAAATGGGAGATTTTTCGGCTAAATACTCAAAATTGACACAAATTGAATACTGAGTAAATGCCCAATATCTATCCAAAAAAGTGCACCTACATCAACAACATACAACGCCAAATCGAGCATATAATAATATATGTGTGATCAGATCACCACACCAGCGTCCAGCACCAGTTAGCACAGATAAATCAGATAATATTGCGATGCAAGGATTATTCGCGCGCCTCATCATTATAGTTGAATAGTTTTCAATAAAAATCTTTTCACAAAAATATGCAAATTGACTTTTATTTCATTTCAAAATCCTAACTCTGCCGTGAGACGTGAGATGGGCTATTTAACGGATAATCTACTTAAAAATTAAAAATGAAATACTGAGTATTTATCCGTTCTCACAGGAGTCGCATGAATATGGATAGAATCTATAACAAATAGAGATAGACCATTTTTGGATAAATACTCAAAATAGATAAATATAGTATAATAGTACCTATTTATTTATTTTAAAAAGTCGTTAACTACAGTGATAACTACCCAGTATTTTTCTGATTTATTTAGTATTTAACATAGATTTAATAATATTTACCCATTCTGAGTATCTATCCAAAAATCACTTAGCTAAGAATTGTCAATTTAATTTGACAATGTAAGTCAGTCTCTGTCAGCTGTCAGTAGTCATTGTCAATTTGAGGTGTTTGAGGTTATTATAATAAGATTGTGTATCTAACAGTTCTAACACTCATCTCAATAAATTGAAGGAATTCTGGTATACCAGTTGTTAGAGGGCAGTATATTCATTGGTTTAAAGAAAATTTTATCTCAGTATTTGTTTCACACATTTACTCATTTTGGACGTTACAAAAAATTGATTACCCATATGGGCTATATGAAAATTATGTTAGGATTGGTTCATATTTAATATATTATGCTCTTTCGAATTGACAAGTTAATTACCAGACTATACTCGACAGTAACATTATCAAAAATCATGAATAACAATAAATGCTACTTCAGACAACAAGAAGATAAAGTAGACATCACATTCATGTTGGAAGTTAAGGGCTCTGCTCGGCAGTTTAATTTTAGCCGGAATTCAACTGAAAGCCTACAAGTTTTGCTTACTCGAATGAAAACCAACATTCAAAAAGCAATGGACAAGGGCAATAAAAAGAAAAAAGAAAGACAAGAAAGTAGTGGAGACATCAAATTAGAATTTTATGATTCCAATAATGTTATTATTAATGAAAGCAATACCTGCCATGACTTGTTCTCAATGGTTGGTCCTATAAAATTAAAAATGTCAGATAATTTCTATGAAGTTGTTTTTAATTCTCCATGGGTACTCAGTTTAAATCTGCCTCAGAGCATTTTAGCTGGCTTTCCAGTGTATCCAATTAATTTTGAGACCCAATATGCTAAGAGAGAAAAATGCATTTTTAACTGGTATAAAGGATTACCAATTAATGAGAAAGGAAACTTAGTTAGTGAGCAGCATATTCAGTGGGAACTGACCAGTAACAACTATATTTATACACCTTGTGCTCAAGAAGTTGGCATGAAATTGAAATTTGAATGTATACCAGGTTAGTATAATCAATCTAATTAACAGACTATAGTCTTGTTGTGTTAGGGTTTAAATGTATTTTTTTTTGTTTAGAGTTCGAATTTTCTTACCCTACAGCATTTAATTCCAAAAGAAAAATAACTAGTTGTAACTATCATTAAAATACTTTCAGGTAATGATGAGCTGGTGGGTCCTGCGGTAGAATCTATTTCTAAAAATCTTGTTGAAGCTGGGCCTGGCACATGTCCATTTGAAACCAGACACTTGTTTACAAAGCAAAAGTTAAAGCATAAAAGGTACCTAAGCTACCAACTTGAATGTTCTAACAATAAAAATTAAAAATAACTATTCACTTTTCTTTACAGCTTCAGATGTGTATCCTATAACATTTTAGCAGATCTCTACTGTGACTCAGATCATACTAGAACATTTTTATATCCATACTGTCCTGCTTATGCCTTACACATAGACTATAGGAAACAACTCATATTAAAAGAATTATTTGGTAAGTTTTTTTTTTAAATGTACATCTTTAGAAGTACACTAATTAACAAGATTTTTTAATAAGTTTGGAAGTAATTTCACTATATTCTTTCAGGATACAATAGTGATTTAATATGTCTACAAGAGGTTGATTCGAAAATATTTCAAAGTACCCTTCAACCACTCATGGACTCTGAAGGCCTAAATGGTTTATTTTACAAGAAGGGGAAACAAGTTGCTGAAGGATTATCTTGTTTCTATAGGAGAGATAGATTTGAGTGAGTTTACATACACATAATTTATTTATATACAGAGTGTAAACGGACTACTCCCACAAACTGACAATAAAAAGGTTTTGTAATCTTTTTTTATTTTCTTTTTCTTTAAAAAGTGTTTTTATTTATGTGTTGTTCATACAACATCAGCTTTGAGTAATTGATTACAACTATTATTACATAAAAGAAACATATTCCTTATTTTTATGAAAATAAGACTTGTTTTTACCATAACCTGTCAGCCTTTTTCAGGAGCTTTCTGTTTACACCCTGTATTTGTTCTACATATATGGTTATGTAAATTGTACTTACATATTTGTTATATCAACTTTATTATTTTGTTGTAAAGAAACATAGGATCTTTACAGTACATTATTATAATACAAAATTGATCCTGTTTTTTCACAGATTTTTAGGAGATGAATGCATAGTTCTATCTGATGCTTTAAAAAGTAAATCATGCCTCCAAACAATTTGGGAGAAGATAAGAGACAACAAACCACTAACAGACAGATTATTAGATAGGTCAACTGTGGCTAGTGCTACATTCTTACACTCCATTGACAATCCAAATGAGATTTTAATTGTTGGTAATACACATTTGTATTTCCATCCTGATGCTGACCACATTAGACTGCTACAAGGAGGTGCTGTCATCTACTGGTTAAAGGAAATTCTTGATAACATGAGATCTAAGGTGGGGTCAATGACTACTAAATCTTATATTATTATATTTTAATGCTAAAATGCTGTTTGTTTCAATGCATTAATCTCAGGATTATATTATATCTATACTAGCCTACTAGTACCTTTTCTACTACCTAGTAGAAAAGTATTTTTGTGTTGTATAGTGCATTTATCCAGGACGGCTATAGGCTATAAAACCGCTACAATCAATAGGAACTGAGCAGAGCGGGTGAAACCACACAGCAGCTAGTCTACTAATATAATTATGTTTTGTAATCAGAAGCAATGGTGTACATTGCTTATTCAATCAATATAACGTAAACAGTATGTATTTGCATTTCAGTATCCAGACAAAAGGATAAGTGTCATACTTTGTGGTGATTTCAATAGTGTTCCTTCATGTGGCATTTATCAGTTGTACACTACAGGTGCTTCGCCAAGTAGTTTGCCAGACTGGAAGTCTAGTGAGTATAATATTAATAAATTATTATTTATTATTTCATTATTTTTTTATTACATTGCACAGGTAAGTATTTAGTGATATACACTTTTTTGTAAGCCTATTTTTATATAGTAATAAATTAGTTTACACAAATAAATAAGGTGGACAAGACAAAATTACAATAATTTCATTTTAAAAAACCAGAATTTGAAACTAATCTTTTCTATGCCAATTTTCAGATATTAATGAAGCTGTTTATGATTTAAACCTGCAACAAAATATTCCTTTAGAAAGTGCATGTGGCACACCAGTATACACAAATTTTACTGCTGAATTTGCAGACTGTCTGGATTACATATTTTATGACAAAACTAACTTAGAAGTAGAACAGGTATCACCCTATTTAATAGATAATTATAAAAAAAAATTATAATTATGTATTCAGTCTGATTAAAAGATCCCTACTTTAGCATATTTTTTATAAATACTTGTCTTTTATTACAGGTAGTGCCTCTTCCGTCTGTCGACGAATTGAAATTACATACAGCATTGCCAAGTGTAGTTTTTCCTTCTGATCACATAGCTTTGGTTTCGGATTTACATTTTAAGTAGAATTAGGTATTTATGCACAATATTACTTTAAAGATGTGTTGTGTGTTGGTTAATATATAACTAATAAATTATTACCTAAATAAGGAAAAATTTATTAATCTATTATTTTATTTTCTAAATCCTGTGTTTTATTAGCTTTTTTTATTTTTATTAATTTTATTTCAAAAGCAGTCAAATTAGTTTTAGTGTTTCGTCGACTGTTCGTGGACTGTGTTGGTCTATGGTCTAACTACATAATAATATTAGTAGTTTTTCTGCTTGGAACCTATAGTCAGAATTTTAATTAGATTCCAGATTTGACAATAGCTACTGTCATTTTGTGAAATAATGATACCACATACAATAGTGTAGTGATGCACACAAAAATCGATAAACAATCAGTGTGTGTGTTTTATAATAAATGTTACAGAAAGTGACAGGATAGCGATAGCAATGACGGCGACAATTTATAAAATAACTTATTACCATAATACATCTATCTGTTTTATTTGTCATGTTCCTTCATGATTACATTTTTTTATTTATTTCACACACAATTATAAACGAAAAGTCTTAGATCGTTAATTAATCGTCAAAACTAAATTATCGGTTCAGAAATATTTAATTTACTGATATACTTAGTTTACGAGAGTAAAATTATAAACGAGAAGAATCGATCCAGAAATATTACTTTTCAATATCGAATAATTTCGCAACGTCACTATTTAGTACTTGTCATAACGTTGCAACACTGAAATTGTCAAATCTGGAATCGAATTAAAATTCCGAGTATACGTGACGTTATTATACTTTTATTATATACTTATACTCTTTGGTTCAACCTACTCCAATCTTTAAAAAATGTGTCTGTAAAACATAGTTGAAGACGTAATAGAGAAATTTGACAGAGAAGCATATGTAGGTTGACCTGCTGGTTTATTTAAACACAATTGCCTTTGCAATACAAATGTGCGTTATTTTTATGTGCTAAACGAATTTGGAATCATCTCGTTAGATCTCAAAAAAATATTTAATAATTATATAAAATTAAAGTAGGCATATAAAATTCACTTGCTTACTTCAAATTGTTTGTCGTTAAACGAATTTTAAAATAATATTATTTACAATAATGCAATATTATGATATTTTGATTTTCGTCAAAAAGGAAACAATTTGAGTCTTGCATTTATTCCTGAGGAAACACTGATTATTTTTGTCGCTGACAATAATTACTATCTGTCACCCTCCTGTCTGCCTCTGCTCACTGCTGTCTCTTGACAAGTTTGTCAATTTAGTTACGTGTATCATTTTTATAACGGGAAATTTCCACTTAGTTTTTATACTAAATAAGCTATCAAGTGTTTAGTCATATGTACTAAAATTTTCCAAAATGTATAAAATTTATATGAGGTCAAACAATTATTTTAGCAGTAAACAATATAATTTGGCAAATCCATTGTTTGGTAAGTAGTGTGACCTTGATGATTGTTTGTTCGATTTGTATACAAAGGAAAAACACCGGCTTTAACATATTTGTTGTTAATCTTTTCAGGAGGATTGTCCAATATCAATGCGCAGGACACTAATCGCATCCACGTCACTACAAGTCTTAAATTTCCCCCCGCAGCTGCATTGAAGTTGCCGACAAATGTCGTCGATATAAATGCATCAGAAACGGGTCGATTTTCGCCACTGAGGGAACGAGATATTTCTGGTCCAGTTATCAGTTCTTGTTACAAAAAACAAATTGACTTGGGGAAAATTGACATAACTGCGCAGTCAGATCCACACGTCAACAAATATGATTGCCGTGGAGCTGTCAGTTTGTCGTCTTCTATGCAAAGCAATGTTCCCAGCCCCTTCAGTGGAAACCATACCCATCTAAATATGCCAGGCTCACAGTGGGGCCAAGGGTACAAATATTTATCTGATCATCTTCATGGTGCTCATTACTTGACGCTAAGAAATGAGTATCGTTCCAGAATGACGAAAGACGGTATGTAGCCAATAGTATATTGGTATTATTGTGATAATGATGATAATTCAATAAAAATGCACTGACACACAACACACAGCTGGTTAGTTGTAACTGTAACAAACTTGCTGGTTGCAGTACTCTTTGATAAACCTGACCCTTATGAAGTGGGATTTCAAACCAGCTGGGCATTGTGGCACTCTCAACAATATGTAGAGGAGGCCTATAGTCTAGCTGTGGACTAACATGATCTGTTAGTGATGATGATAATATGTTGCCTGGGCGAAATGACTGTAAAACTAATACAAGTTTATATTTTATAATAACTACCTGATCAAGATATAGGAACTTATAAGCATATCAAAGGAATGTATTCTTCTTAAATGCTTCTTGCACTTGCAGTTTACTCTGCTCTTCTTTGCATCACCCAAGGGTCAGACAGGGAGAAATACCTATGGCATTAAGTCCACTCATGTGCTTGTTTCTTTGCATGATGCTTTATAAATTAAAATAATAACAATAATGAATAATTTATTTAACATTATAATCATAAATTATATTGGGCTTGATTTTAAGTTTACTATGTTTCCCATCGAACTAACCAACTCAACTCATACATTGCTTTTGTTTGATAGAAAATTATTTGTAGTCACAAAATGGTTTTGTAGTCACAGTTTTGAAGTAAAATTATCGATTTTGAAATAGTAACATAACAAATCTGTTGCATTGTAGTTGATTATTCAGTTGCACTTAAGTAGTGTGTAACTTTTAAGTAATAATGGTCTATTAATAAAATAGACTATAATAATTCCTGAATCTAAAAAATATCTTATTACCAATGTCGAATACCTATGTCAATATATACTTTTAATTAAATTTCATGATGTTAATATTCTGTTTACCTTTTTTCAAAGCATAGCTGTTGGCATAAAACATATGAGTACAGATTCAAAACCACCACTGAGTGCCAAAGAAAAGTTAAAACAAGCCATCAAAGAATATGGCTCAACAGTGATTGTATTTCATATTGGTATTTCCCTGATATCATTGGGGAGCTGCTATCTTCTAATATCTAGGTATGTTGTACTGCTTTAACAATCTCATTTAATTCACCATTCATTCATCTCATACATATATCCGTTTCGTAATAATTATAGAGATCTAAATAAATTATTTGTATGGTAATTGCTAATTAGCTATTTTGTTTTTTTTTTTCAGTGGCATCGACTTAGTTGCAGTTCTAAAATATTTAAACATAAGTGAGGGCACTATTTTGAAGGCAGCAGGATCAAATGCAGGCACATTTGTTATAGCATATACTGTTCACAAATTCTTTGCGCCATTTAGGATAGCTATAACACTCACTGCTACACCTTTTATTGTGCGATATCTCAGAAATGTAGGCGTTTTAAAGCGCAGTGTGACTACTGGTGGAGGGAAATAAATATGTATTAATCAAAACTCTTCGTTTTATTATTATCATTCAGTTAAATACATAAGTATGTTTTTTTATACTATTTTTTCCTAGCCATGATTGTACCACTGCTGGGCACTACCTATATTTTATGGTTTTTACCATGATGTCTTTGCAGAGAAAACTTTTTTATATTTTATTACATAATGCTAAAGTGTTTGTTTGTTTATAATCGCGCTAATCTCTGGTTCGAATTTGATAAATAATTAAGTTATAAGTAATAAGTAAGTTTCGTTATGATTATGACTTTATATGTTGGAGATTTCTCCTTCTCGGGGTTGACCCGGTGAAAATGGGCACCGCGTCCCGCGACCCGCAGGAAAAACGATGCTCATAGCCCCCTTCTAAATTTAGTTTCTATATCTCCTTCTTCCTCTTCTGCTGACTACTTGACTAATGACACTGTCTGTGTGTGGTTCTGAATTTTGTGTGGGTGTAGCTTGTATGCCAGTTGTGGATTGCGAGCTTTGTGTGATGGTTGATTGAGTGGTATGTGGTGTGTGTGCTTGAGATGGTTGTAATTGATCGGAATCTGGAATGTTTGTGACGAATACTGTGTCTCCTAATACTTTGCTAAGAATGGTTGTTGTGTGAATGGCGGCTTGCTTCTGAAGAATTGTAATGTCTATTGATGTTTCTAGTTTGTCTGTGTATCTGCTGAGGCTTTTGGCTACTACTCCTGTGGCTCCAATTACTATGGGAATAACATGTGTTTCAGTATTCCACAGGCGTCTTATCTCTGTCTTTAAAAGGTGGTATTTACTCAACTTCTCTATTTCTTTTGCTCCTATGTTGTAGTCACTTGGTACGGTTATGTCAATGAGGTATGTGGTGTTGGATGTTTTGTTTGTGTATATTATGTCCGGTCTATTGTGGGCAACTGTGATGTCTGTCTGAATTGGGATTTCCCACATTATTTTGCCTGTTTCATTTTCAACTACTTTGGGTTGGGTGAGAGTCTCTTTCCACCAAAGTTTGTCAACGTCCATGCTATGCTTACGAGCAAGACACCAGTAGACATACTGGACAAGATTATTATGCCGTTTGACATAATAGGTTCCTGCCAGTTTTTCGCAGCCAGATATTATATGCTGCGCAGTTTCATCCTTGACAGCGCACAGTCGGCACTTACCGTCTACTGGGTCTTTCAGGATGTCGCGTTGATGTTGTCGCGTCATAACCGCTTGGTCTTGTATCGCAAACACGGACGATTCTATTGATGGGGAGACCTGTTGCTTTTTAATCCACTTGAATGACTGCACTATATCTATATTCTCTTGCTCTAAAACTTTTTTTTTTTTTTTTTTTTTTTTTTTTTTATATATATTTTTGTGTTTTATAGTAGATTTATTGAATAAGCCTGTAGGCTGTGGTCGCAAGTTCGAATGTCGGGCAAGAGGTCTCTGGTTCTATTCCCGAGTTGGGCAGAAGTTTTATTACTAGGTCTTAAAAAAAATCTCAGTAATAGCACGGAGTCTGGAATTGTGCCTGGTATATAGTAATAGGCTTACCCCCAGTATTACAAGGGACTCATAACATAGATAGTGAAAAGTGGGTGTTACATTGTACAGTGGCATTAAGTGCACCTCTGTCTACCCCTTCGAGGATAAAAGGTGTGATGTTATGTTATTATAATTATATGTATTCATATTCAGCCCGTCCATTCTATTCACCTCGTTTTACTAATACTAAAACTTACTACCTATCTTACGAACTACCTCATAGTTAATTCTACGCTAGGTAGAGTACACACGCAGCGCAACAGCGAAACTATCAACTACTGTGCTAATTTGTAATTACAGTCTTTGTAATTTAGAAATCCAACAAAATATAAGTATAGATGTGAAAATCTACGTGCGCAAGTTCGACTCGCACTTGACTGGTTGTCCGTACTGGCACTTTTTCTTGATAAGACAAACAATGGCCTGTGTATAGATCAAACATGATACTTCATGATACCGCTGATTGATGTATCTACTACCTACTGTTCAATTTCGGAGCGACCGAGCCGAATCGACATAATTAAATTTCTTTTTTCTTTGTCAACCGAGTCTCCAATACTATGTTGTCGACTATACTGCCAGTGTCGGGTGGTATAATTAAATTTCTCACTGATTCATGCACATCTGCATAAATAGTATATATAATAACTTAATAGAAACATTATTGTCCGTATTCGAGTAGGTAGGTAACATTAGATTAGGTATCTTCTATCTCATCTTTTACGCATAATAATATTAATTAATCATCATATTCATCATACAATCCCAAATGATAGGTGGTTAGCATTTTGACATATTATGTGATATCATGCTGTTCTTAGTTCGCGCGCACGCCAGATGTGGATCAAGTAAAAAAATCCAAAAAGGAATCATAACAATTTTAGAAAAATACTATCAGTAAAGAATTAGGTACTGCGTATCGTAGTTTGCAAACTTGGAAAAGAACCTGAGACAGTGAGAACCCTTGCACGATAGTCAGTCGCATTCGACTACCGGGTTAATGACAAAGTAACGAGACTTCAACGAGTAGTTAGTGTTTATAAATACCTACATATACATTTTCATTCTACGAAACATTAAGATATGGCACGCTTATTGGCGTAAAATCAGAGTCAAGACTCTTAGACGTCAATAACATTATTAAAAGATAACAGTGTCAAATGTTCAATATTACTATATAAATTCATTTTGTTTATTCAAATTAATGTAATACCAGATAATTCGTACGAGTAGTTATTAGTAAGTATTTGATACGGTGTAGTTGAAGCAATAGCAGTTCAAATAATTTTTATTCGTAAAATTTAATTTAAAATGTTAAATGATAGAGTGATATGTATTTACTTATTTCTTTGTTTTGCACTATTTTATGGCGTATGTGATAACAGGTTAGTGAAATATTTAATTCATTTATTTAGGTATTGTTTCCAGATTAGATAAGTGAGCTATGAGGTTTGTTGGTAATCACAATATTATAATTCTTACCTGCCTAACTTTGGATCCAACTACAAGGCACTTTACTTTGGGTCCTGCTAGGTTTAGGTCGGTACCTACTTACTTCCTGCGAAGTTACTTGCAGGCCAGGCTATCCGTGGGCTGTGTCACAAGATAGGACTTGCTACTGGGTGTGTTTAATATTTTGAGTTTGAGATTCCTCCCGGGTGTGGGCGGAGTCAGTTGATGATTTTCTTTCTTCTTTTCCGAAAAGTAGGTAGGTACATAGGTACTTACCCACCTATTAGGTAATAAAATAGCATGACGTATCTTCCCTAATATACCTATCTAAAATGTATCCGTACAAGTCTTCTAAATAACAGAATATATGTTCTGTGTTGTAAACCTACCTACCTAAAAATTTTTTTTAATTCCTAGTCCTCCACAAAATTCAGTTTGTAGTGTGTTCGAAATTAAAAATCAATAAGTAGAAAGGTTAACAGTTATTAGTTGTTACGGAATTATGGGTAGGTTAGGAACCTAGGTATTTAATTAGGTACCTAGGTAAATGAACAGATTTCGTTATGACAAGATGGGCGATTTTTCGGATAACTAGGCACTCAAACCAAATGGACAAATGTCGAGTAGGTAAATACTAAGTATTTATCCGTTTTTAGTACCTTTTTATCCATTTTGCGAATGTATTTATCCGAAAAATCACTATATTGTAGGTAGGTAATGCATTAACAACAAGAAAATAATATCTTATCACAAACTAGGTACTCACCTACCTATCTAAGTACATATAGGTAGTTATCTTTGTTTTCAAAATCTCATTTTAAAGACACCTCTAGTTTTTATCGATTTTGAGGTTCATTACCAATGTTTATTTATTTTACATACAGATCAATACCCAAATGATATCCACCAGTGTATGTCAGTTAGAAAATTGTTCCATGTTTAAACTGTCAAACACCAAGCGGTCACCGGTGACCGCGACCTATTGTTCTTTAATTGTGTCTATAAAACCGGTACTCGACGAGTTAAAATACCTAAAAAAACGATAGGTAGGTAACGAGGTAACTCAAGAAAACTAGCTGTCAACCCGAATATGTACTTATTGTAATAAGTTACGCGTTCTAAATTAATATCAAAATGAGTCCACGCGCTTGATAGGCTAACCTCTGACTTTCAAAATGGCTGCTATCGAAAGTAACACGTGTGGAGTAAGTGAAATAGATCTAAACGACGCATCTGACAGTGAAAGTTAAGTACCTACCCACCTCTACCTTTAACAAATAATAAGTGTAGGCACTGAAAGTTTAATTATCTACTAATTTTTTCTGCTCCCCATTATAACTGCGCAGTGTTACTCCTATTTTATTAATTTTCGGTTTCAAAGTTAAGAATCTATCTATACCTACTTAAGTGCTTTAGTACGGTACATATACAGTACAGTATCTTTGCCAGCAGATATTACGCTATCAGTATAATATAGTTAATTATAGATATAATATTTTCTGTGAATATAATGGTATAATATTAGGTACCTGTATAATAGGAAGGTAAAAGGTGCCTAATGATTATTTATTTTAAATTTACAGCACAAGTCAACACGATGACGGGCAGTATTTATTTGATTTCACAAAGGATGGTGACGTAGACGTCTGGCAAGAACAATCGGATACCGTACGAGATGTCGGCATGTCCAAGGCCATCTTTGTTATTCACAAAAATGTTGGATTCAGACGAGCTATATTTTTTGCTCTTTTAAATCCTCAATTAAATGGAGCCGGTTTTGCCGGAATACGAGCTATTCAAACATACAATCTTACCGGTTACACAAAGCTACAAATCAAATGCAGAGGACAAGGGCAATTTAATGGATTCAAAGTTACTTTACGGCATAAAGGTTTAAATGACGAGCCCAACTATTCATTTGAGCAATATTTCCAGGTAATTTTCTTTTTATAAATTTCAAACTAGCTTGAGAATTTGCATTTAAAGTAGATAGGTAGGTAGAGGGGGGAAAATCATCAGGTACACATCGATTACCCTCCAGGCAGTTGCGGGGATCTTTATGTTCATGTATAGTCCTTACCTTCCTAGGCGTGATATGAAATAGGTCAAACACGGATCCCACGCAATAGGGCTAATAGGGGTGAAGAGATTTAATACTTTGCCCGACACAAGAATGAAATCCAGAGAAGAGCTTACCGAGCAAGCTCTCTCAATCGACAGTCGCGGCACCGACTGCAAGACCGAAGAGGTACCTAGTTCTTTTTTATTGGGGAACATACGAAACATGCACCATTAACTTTATATTTGTAGCTTGGTCGAGAATTCGGAAAACACAAACAGTAAAATTAACATTTTGAAAGAATTTTAAAATGTATGATTAGGTAGGCACCTAATTGGCTATTGTCATTAGTTGATTTCGGTTTTGAGACCTATCTTATGAAATTATGGAATACAATTAACTACTTAAGCATTATTGACAATGATTTTACAGAAATGAGGTTTAATTGGTTAAAAAAGAATACTTATCAGCGAATATTACCTAACTTTAAAAAAATTATCTAATTTACGTCATTGTTTGTTATTAGATCATTCCTGTGCGAATATACACACCAGCTTATCTACAAAGCTAACATAGTTTATTGTTCAGTGCCTAATTAATAACATCATGAATTAAGAACTTTCCAGGCTCTCATTTTTTACAAGATAGTTTCAGCCAATCTAATTTCGACCAGTAACATAACATTCGACAAACATAATTACTTGCGTTTGATACAGTAGTCGTGTCGGGGGATTGAGCCGCAAATTTTGTTTTTTAGTGTATACATTTTCTCGGGATTAAAAGTCCCTGTTTTATATGCATTAATTGTGATATATGCCTAAGATATTAAAAGTATAATTATACAAAGTTTAATCGGATCGGTAGCTTTTGCGGGTTGCTTGAATAACAAGACACACACAGACAAAAAAAAATTATAATCACATTTTTGGTTTAGGTGTATATTTTGTAACACTGCATCTTGTAAATATATTTATTTACAAGACTACACTACTATTAGCAAATTCATCATAAAATGCAGCCATTTCATTAAACTGAACGAATATACGATGTAACTACGACGTATATACCTAATACTGTGAATGAATGTGAATTTCTTTTTCAAATTTTCAGGCACCAAAAGATGACTTTGCCATTCGTAATCTCAAGTTCTCGGAGTTTAAAGCTTACTACAGAGGTAAAAGAGTAACTAACAATGAATTGTTAGATTTGTCACAAGTTTCAAGTATCGGTATACAAATGTACGGTGGAGTTTACCAACCTGTGAAGCAGAAGGGTCCCGCAACTTTGGAGATAGATTGGATAAGAGCAGTTTAAAATTACAATAATAAAATAAATTTTATCATTCTTATCACTGCTGTTTAAGTTCATTTAAATAGTGTCTGATATTCTACACCCAAGTTGTCTGTAACATGTTTTATTAACAAAATCGTATAGTGGCATTGTACATACATTTGTACTCTATATTAAGAGAAATGGAAATAATAGTCTCGTTAGTTTACATAATAATAACTTTATTATTACTAGAGTTAGGTCCTCACTAGATATTAAATTTATCAGTATACATTAAAGACCAAAATATTAAAATATAAATGCTTATTGCTGTGGTTTATCGTTGTCTTGTTGGCAACAACAGAGTAAGTGCAGTCATAGCATCAGGAAATAGAGAGTGGTAGTTCACAAGTGGCACGTAAGCCGCAGTGATGACGCGGCCGGCAAACCACCTGCCGTGTAACGTGTTGACTGAGGCCACCGCCGTCGCTATCGTTGGACATTTGCAGTAAACATTTCCTTGTGGAGATGCTTTGTCCACATATACGTGCAATACTCCTCCATGTTTATTACATTCACTTATAACATCATCTCTTATTTCTATGTCCCAGTTAGGATTTGTTTCCCTGAAACAACAAAAGAATTATTGTTAGTAGTCATCGCTTAAGGCCAGGGTTGATACATTTTTACAAAGGTACAGTGAAATCTATTGCAAAAGGAGTGTACATATTTGTTCCTTAAAATGCACACCCCATCCATTTGTAGTCCTCTTAACTTATAAATTATTTTTGTGCATAGTCTCCCCTTCCCAATGGGTTCCATCCTACTATTGCCTTTTTTGTTTTAGAAGGATTTAGTCTTGGTTAAATATTATCATTTATCATGTAGAAGCAGTTTTATAGGTATTTTTTATTTATTTCATGTGCTTTGTCTGATAAACTGAATTTTATAAGAATATTTGAAGTAAGAGTAATAATGATATAAAGTTCGTTCAGTATTGGGATGAAGCCCAAGAAATACATATTGCACTATGATTGTCTTTTGTAATATGAGACAAAAATGTTTTACACTGAGACTAATACAAGTTACGGAATCTTCAGTAATTCATTTTACTGCAGAAAAACATCCCTACAAATAACTTAAAATTAAAACAAAATCTACTTACGAGGCCGGATCGAACATATTATTGAGCATGAAACATTGTGTTGCAATGGGAGGTGCTACTTGAGGCTGTGGAGTAACAAGCGCTGAACCGGCGCCCATCAATACGGACGCAGCAGCAGGTGGTATCTGAAATCACAACCAGTTTACAATTAATTTTAAAGTTATATACACAGTTTTATCTTAGGGATCTCCTAAATACATTGGAGTTTCTTTCTTTTCTTTTTATACTATATAATAGAGTAAGAAAATCATCCAATAGTAATATCAATAAACACATGCAAGCTTACAAATGGTTATAGGGACAACTTTATCATACTACATTGTACCACTGTAAACAATAACATAAGCATTAAAACAAAAATAGCTGATAGTTTTAGCTGTGACTTTACACTCGTAACACAACAAGAGCTTGAGTGTCAGTAATATTCTTTAAAAAGAATCTTGTAGCATCAAATTGTCTACTGTGAGTCTAGAATAACAGCTGTTTATTACTTAGCAGTGCCAAAAATAAGTGTTAAAAAACACTGTCCTTTTCTGAAATTTGATTGCTGCTGTAAAACAAATGTATGTAGTATATGCCAAAATAAGTAGGTACATAATATTATTACGTGAAAACGAAAACACATTCAATGCGCATTATTTCCTGTTTACAGCTTTTTTGCATCAATTAGCATATTTAGTATGTCCAACAGTAATATTATCGCAAACAAAATAAAAAGTTCATACTACAAATAAAAATTATAAAATAAGTAGCCTGAGAAAATAATTAAGGGACTTTAATCAAGAATTAATACATACATTTATCATGTTTCTTCACTCTAACTCCAACGTGTGGAACTTGTAATGTGGATTGAAGTGGTTTCGCTTGTAATATGGGTTGGTTTTAATGACTAATACTGAGATGTTCTTGTAAATCCTAAGATTTCAGCAAAACACTGCCATATTAGTAACTGACAACTTTTTTCATGTGGTTTTTTGATTTAATTCATTAATTATATTTGTGCAAGTACTAACTTGAAATTGTTTAAACATAATTTTATAATACTGTACCAAGTTATAGATTATGTATAGGATTTACTAGAATATCTTGAAATGTGATTAGTCAATGACACAAAGATTGCAGTGTTGGCAAATTTGATCCAAGAATACAATAATTTCAACATTTTACCTGTAATCCAGTGCCTTCTGCAAGTTTAAACATTAATTGTAAGCGTCCTGTGGCACCTAGGTCAATACCGGCTCGGTCCAGTTCATCGGCGTCAAATCGAGTGCTGGAACCACCATCAGTTCGTTCTGTGACATTGCCGACTTTCATCGGTCTTCCAGCTAATTCGAACCCATTCAATTGCTCCATCGCCTTTTTAGCATCTGCAGCATGATGAAACTGAAATGTTATGTGGTAAATTAATTTCAATTTATTTTTTGGCATTCTCACAGCCAGTTTCACAGTTTGTCAAATCAATAACCAACTAGCTCATGTAATTTACAATGGTTATCATCACAAACAAACAAATTAACAAAAATAGAAAAATTTCTTCATTTCCATGCATCTTAATTATATAGAGACTTTATTGTTTTAATTGATCAATATTTTACAAAACTATCATTACTACAACTTGCTTTCTTATATACAAGTAAGTTATAAAATACGCATTACAAATGTACTTACAGTAAGAAATCCATATCCTTTACTTTTTCCTGATTCAGGGTCCGTCATAAGTTGAATATGATCGATTTTTCCAAAAGGTTCAAAAATGCCGCGTAGCATGTCTTCTGTAATGTTAAAATGCAATGAACCCACATATAGTCTCGTTGGTCCGTTACTGGTTTTTGGTGCTAAGTTTGGCAGTGTATTGCCTACCCTGTTCTTTTCTGCTTGTGTATGTTGTACTATAATAGGAACTCCAAGCAACTTTTGCCCCGTCAAACCTAGAGCCTGTAAATTTGTACGATAAATTAATTGAAAGAATTACTCTAATGGTAAAAATCTTAACAAAAAAAAAAAAATACAATACTTACCAAAGGTACTGATTCAGCATCTTTAAATTCAATATAAGCTATTCCTTTAAATCTTCTGGTTTTATTGCAAGTGATAAGCCTTACATCTCTAACTTTGCCAACTGAAGAGAAAAATTCTTCAAGATCTTTAGCTCGAATTCTTTGAGATAATTGCATACAGAAAACAGTGCGTAGATCTCGTTCTTCTGGAGGTAAGTCATCTAATTTAGGCTCGAGACCTCTAGATTTTGATCGATATTCTTTAGAAGGATCTCTTTCAATAGTCTTTTCCCTTTTGCTATTAGAGGTACGGTCGCGGCTGCTGCGGTCACGTTCTCGACTGCGTTCTTTGTCTCTGCTTCGTCTTTTATCTCTATCGCGTTCACGTTCTTTATCCTTGTCTCGTTCTTTATCTCTATGAGTGCGATCTCTGTCTTTATCCTTGTCCCGGTCACGTTCGCGTTCACGATCACGCTCACGGTCTCTATCTCCACGATCTCTTTCGCGATCACGGTCACGTTCGCCGCGGTCGCGATCGCGTTCGCTACGGTCGCCTCGATCACGTTCACGGTCGCGGTCACGATCACGCTCGCGGTCACGATCACGATCCTTACGATCTTTGTCCCGTTCACGATCTTTTTCTCTCCTATCATCTCTTTCTTTTGAACGGCGTGTGTCTCTTTCTTTTGATTTTCTTCTATCTCTCGACCGGCTACGTCTGTAAAATTGAGTAAGTAATTATTATTGATTGACCTATTAACTGCTATGTTATAATGGTATAGTATACCCAGTAATAAACAACCATAAATTAGTTGATATAAAAATTAAGTAAGTATAATAATTAAAGAAGTTATTTTAATTTATCGGGTTAGTCGAAATAATAATTATAATTTTTATAATGAATTGACTCAATAAGTTGAACTCAACTGAGCTTTGGCCTTATTTTGGCACTAATGGAGCCTCTGTTGCCAGGGACATTGGGACTTCTAACTGGTGAAAAGTGGGTTAAATTATATTATTATTATGTACACCTTTGACCACCTATCCCTATCGGGCATTCAAACGCATGACATTATATTATTTTCATGTAATGGAAGAGCGAAGGCATCGTCACTCTAAATTGATCTCCAAATAGAAGTGACGTAATTTGCAAGATAATTTAGCACCACAATCACTAAATCATACCTAGGTACTACCCACCAGCTGAAGACGCAATAAAATGTTTGTTAAAATATGTATTTTACTGATTTGAGCTTATTTATAATACAAATGATGACCATATTTAAAATACAAATGATGACTAAAATGGTTTTTAATGTCGATTTGATCAATTAGAAATATTGAGACACATTTTTTCATTCCCTTTATAATACGGTAAAGTAAAATATCGCGAGGAAACCTGGACTTCTCCTACTAATATTATAAATGCGAAAGTTTGTGAGGATGAGTGGATGAATGTGTGTTTGATCTTACTTTTTCATGAAAAAAATATTGATAGACGGCCGGTTAGCGAAGACGGCCATTAGTGTAAAATAACACATGGGCAACGCGGGCGAAGCCGCTAGCTAATGCCGCCATGTGGATGCGTGGTAATTTATGCTCAAACCTCAGGTGTGAGAAGAAACCTTTGCTCAGTAATTATAGCCTGCTCATGTGATTTTGTGTGTGATTTTCGGGTTATTTTGACCATAAAATGTGTATTTTTCACTAACAGTCTAAGTGATTCATTTTCTTATCTTGTCATCATTTCTATTAAAAGAAGGATGCAACACAAATATATATACTTATAACAATCTAATATTCAATAATGGAAAAGTTCATACCTTCGACTTCCATCCCGGTCTCTGTCTTTGTGCTTATCAGAATACTTGTCCGATCGATGCTTTGAAGAGGAAGTGTTATCCTGTCACACAAAGCACAAGGTAGAAGCAGCGCCACAGCAACACACGCCGAGTGAATAAATAAAAATTGCATTAGTTAATTGATAACAACAACATGGAGAACATTTGCAGCATTTCAACAATGTCATTAATAAAATGTCACTGATGAAACAACACAAATGCTGATGGTTTTACTTTGCCTAGGCTACTGTTGGCAGCTGGTTTATTAACCAACCAATGTTCATCCATGTCATGGTAGTCTCGTGTCCCTGTTCTACACTTACCGTTCGTATAACCACTGACAAAGGATGCACACAGCGCTAACATCACACAGGGATACTTCTGCAAAAGATTTATGACCCATCAGCTCATGGTCTTTTTTTAAAATTACGGTCTATGACATTCTTACTTTTTGACTTAAAAGGTGATTTACTTAACAATGTTAGGATTGTGTTGAATTTCAATTAATTAAAATTAGGTAAGTATAGTGGTGGATACCTCTTGCAGTCAGGTCGGTGAAGTATGCTCGACTATTACCACAAAGTTCTATAAATACAAGAAATGATTCTCAAATGTAATTTTGTTTTAAATTTCTTACCAGTTGCTGTTTAAAGATGTAATTAACTAGTAATTAACAAAATGTCAAAATGCTAATTTAGCAAAAACGTTAGTTTATAACATCTTTAAACAGTTAAAAGCCACATGACTTATTTGTTTACATCACAAATTTTACAATGCAAATATTTTAAAAGAAACATTTACATGATTCAAAATTAAATAACATGGATTTTTGTATCTTTGGTGAATAAATGATTGGAAGATACAATAGAAATAAAATTACACAGGGAGGCAAGAGATAAATTTAATTTGAGCATTGGAACTATTATTAGTCATTTATTGGTTGATTAAAAAACTAACATAATAATTATTCTTGTAACAATTGTTTACAGGACGATTGAAATGCTAGTATTATTGAGTGGGAATTGACGAGAGCTGTTCGATTGAATTAGATTTTGTTTTATAAGTACTTACCGATTTATTATTATAGGGCGCCTCCAACATAGCTTCTACATCTAAATCTTCAGCCATTCTAAAACAAATTTATAGGATTAGATTATTAATTTTTTCGTAATAAATAAAAGCTAGGCTAACTTGTAACTAGGACAACCTTGAAATTATGAAGATTACTTTTGATAGTGACTATAGATTCAATTTTGGAAACGTAATTTAAACCTTAACAGGTTAATAAATTTTATAGATGTTACATAAATAAAAATAACACTGCGGCAATGTGTTGGAAGTATTGTGCTACACACGAAGACAAAATGGCGTCTGGCAGCCAGGTATATTTTGTAATCGCAAATTAAAAGTTGGATAATTGACCTCCGTTATCAAAATGTGCTTTTCTATTAACTTACCTTATTTAAGTTATTTCGATAAACACAAAAGTGGATTTTTTATTGTTTCAAATCCAAAAACAACAGCACTTATCAGTTTTTACTAACTGAGGCAGATTAGTGTAGTGACCAACTGACCAATGAATGAGCAATGACCATAGCTTTAGCTAGTGAGTGACTCTTTTTTATTTTTACTCTTTGTTAGGCCTAGTGTAGTGACTAGAGCTGAGACAAAACTTGGCCAGTGTTGCCAAATTTATTTTCTACAGGTTCGTACAGGCTACATCACACTAGGAAAAATCATACTTTACCAAGAATTCTTGAAAATAAATCGTATATATTAAAGAATTTAATAAAAGAGCAGACATTTTTTTTAGATTCTGGCGAACGAAAGAAAAAATCTATTTAAACCGTACAGTTGGCAACACTGAATCTGGCTCGTTTACCACAGATCACTAAATACTTGATTACTTTACATAAGGATTTATTCAATAAAGTGGATAAATACACGAAACAACAAAGTATCGCGGGGCAGCTAGTTAAAATGCAAGGCTAGATAAATAATAAAAATTGATAGGAACCAATCAGAATCCTCCACAAATATAATAATTATAGTCAAAAAATATCGATTTATTTTCTACTCTTTCAAAAGCCATCCCTAGTCCCTAGATATAGCCATAGACACATCTTGAATATAAATTTGTCTATGGATTCAATCTAGAATCTATGGTACTTGTCTATAATGTAGCCTCTTCACTCTTCAGTGCTGTGGCGTGCCAGTGTGCTCATCAAAGAGTATAATAAGTATAGGGGTATAGTTTCTGAATGTTGGTACACTGAATGTTACGAACTCCATACAAAATAATGTTTGTTCTAAGTTTCACAAGACTGCTCATAATACAAGCGGTCGTCGTATCGTGAGCATCTCCAAAGTCTTAATCTCCAAAAAAATACCATAAAAGCCCACAAGCACACTATTTACTTTTGCTGCTCTGGTACTGCTTTCCTTTCTTTTCCTTTATAATTTGCAAAGAGTGTAACGTGTATGGAAAATAATTTGTGACAAATTAAGTGTTCGGTGTCAGTGCAGTGAGTCAAATATAACTTTACTATTAATCAGTAATTCTTATAGTTTTTCGAACTTAAACTTAGGTTATTCCTATATATTGAAAAATGACGACTGCAGCAAGACCAACATTTGATCCAGCACGGGGAGGAACCGGACGAGGTGAAAAAGATCTTAGTGCAATATCTCGTCAATATTCTAGTAGAGATCTTCCAGGCCACACTAAACTAAAATACAGGTACGTAACAGGAATATAATTTACCTTATTAGATGTGTTGTTCATAGTTTCTTTGATTATTTCATAGGCACCTAAATAATTTGTTTTGTTGTTTTCGTTATGATGACCATTATTAGGAAAGACATTCACTGTCGTAGTAGCATTCTCTAGTTGCTGATAGTTTGTGATTCCCGTCTTTCCTATATCTACGTGGTATTATTATATTTCGTAATACTGTGAAATGTACTTGAGTAAACAGTTAATTTTATTTTCAGAGAACAAGGTCAAGGTACTACAGATGAATTACGTTCAAGAGACTTCCGTAAGGAGTTAGATGAAAGGGAGAAGGAAGTGAAAAGTTCTAGTACAAGGAGACCTGTAGAGCCCCCTACTAAGAGACCTAAAGTAGACCAGGTTCCGGCAGCGAGCTTGGATGCTGATGATCCTCTTGAAGGAGACTCGTCTGACTCTGATGATTCCGATGATGACACTGCAGCTTTGTTAGCAGAGTTAAACAAAATTAAAAAAGAAAGGGCCATAGAACAGGCTAAGAAGGTAAATATATATTCATATTGGAATTGTTGAAATTATTTCTTTTTATATCTACTCGGTGGATTTAGTGTTATTTTGAAGTTTCTCAAAGTTATGAAGTACAAAACTTTTCATATTATGTTGTCTTCTAGAAAACAATCCCTTTATTTAAAGTCATAAGATATGGTCAAATCTTTATATTGGTATATTCTTCAAATGTAATGTATGTTGTAAATCTGTAATTTTTCCTTGATTTATTTTATATTAGGGAAGAAACAAAAAATAATGCAGTTCAAATAATAAAGTGATTTTTGTTTACAGGAAGCTGAACGCAAGCAGGAAGAAGAAAGGATTCGCATGGAAAATATTCTGTCTGGAAATCCATTATTGAATTATTCTTCAGCAGGACAGAAGAATGATATGAAGGTTATTTTCTATCTTTTAATGCAAATAGATTGATTGTTTTCTAATTTTTATCAGTGGTTGTTTTGTTTATAGGCTGGTCTTAACATAGCCATTAAAATTACTGGCATGGTCTTTATAAAAGAAAGCCCAAATAAATTCCAATTATACTTTGTTGACATGGGAAATGAACTATGAGATAATTTGCATGGCACTTGTGGTCGAAACCACTCGACTAACTGGGTAGTCGTAATTAATTATATTATTTTACCTGAATGATAAAATTCGTGTCTCTACTACTCTACTGTCTTGTGTTTGTCATGCTGTTTACAAAAATAATTTAAAATATGATTTTGTTTATTCCAGGTTAAACGACGCTGGGATGATGATGTTGTTTTCAAAAATTGTGCCCGTTCTGAACCTGAGAAGAAAGGCAACACTTTCATAAATGATTCTTTAAGATCAGAATTTCATAAGAAATTCATGGAAAAGTATGTTAAATAGTGATACCTAATTGTAATTAATTAAATTTAAGTTATTTTAGTAAGTTTAGATAAAGATGGACTGTAAAAACATTCTAAGACAAAAAGTTGTTTAGAATAAAATGTTAATTTCATTTTGGAACTTGTGGTGTAATTTCATTTAATGAATAATTAAACACAAATTAGCTAATGGTCCATTAGATAGATAATTAGTAAGAGTAGTCAATAAGTATGCTAAATGATTAGCTAATGTGGCACTAATGTGAATACTTCACATTAATTTTGAATGTTTAATTTTCTAATATTTAAGTACCTCCATAAGATAATGATGTAAAGTGTATACATAGACTATATCTTAAGAATTTGTTATACAATAAAGAGATACTTTTCCATTTAATTTTTTTTGTTTTTGCTCAAAGATTTGAATTTTCTGGTTTATGATTCGTCAATCCACTGGCGTGAACAGATTTTCCTTTACAGCTTAGTTCTGTGTAAGTTATTGACAAAATAAAAATTCGAGTAATAATAAAAATATTGTCACATTAAGAAAAATAAATAAATAAAACTTATTTTTGGTAAAGTTGTTAATACGCTGATCACCGCGATATTTGTGTACATACATACATTGTAACATCTACTTTACACCAGATAGATCTCCCATGCTCCAGCGGTCGTCACACTTTAGGTACTGGCCAAGTACTATATGCGAAGGCGTTTCAAGAGCTAAGGCTTATCTATAGTAGTCTATATTATTCATATAAATGCGAAAATGTACGTCTGTGTGTCTCTACTCGAAAACTACTAAACCAATTTAGGTACCTACATGATATTTGATACGGATTTAGTTTGAATAACTGGGAATATAATATTTATTCACAATCAGCTCATTTAATTATTCACTTCGCACTAGCTGTGCCCGCGGCGCCTCGTTGTTCTTGATTGATTGATGTCAAAAAAAGTACTCGTTTATATTGCTCATTACAATATTTATTAGAAAATTTAACTTTTTTTTTTTTATTATTTCTTGAATATTGGCTGCGCATGCCTATACCCGCAATCAATCGCCCGCGTATGTCTATATACATACCTAGTTACCTACGAGTGAGTGTGTGCAGCAGGCTATCGTATCGTTAGTAATCGTCTCCAGATTCGAACACAAAGTCGGATTTTGTTTTTTTTTTATGATTATGGCATAAGTATCGGTAGCATAGGTATACCTAAAGCACCTATGTAGTTGACTATTAATTAAAGAAATCTACTTTAACGCGGGCCGCAGTTTGACGACCACGGTACGACACGGTACAGGGTAAGCCATGTACCTCTATTATAATGAGCATTCTAATCTGTGCCAAAATTCAAAAGGGGTCTTTTAGAATTTTGGCACTAATAAATTTTTAATAATAGGTACGTTAGTTGACTTTAGAATTGAACCCGTGACGCTATGCTTGGCCGACAGTCATAATAAAAATAAAGTTATCCAAAAATAAAATTTAAGTAAATGGTACCTGAGCTTTTTTCCGAAAATGTTACTGTATTGCAGTGTATTTAATACCATATTTTTGACTGTTACATTTTATGTTTGGATTGGATTATGGTTTACTAAAACTAAGTTGAGTGTCGTGGTGGCCCGGAGGTTGAAGACACCTGCTTCTCATGCACGAGGGTGCAGGTTCGAAACTTACCAACGGCAAGTACCAATGTGACTTTTTCTGAGTTAAATGTACTTTCTAAGATTATTTAGACACCACTGACCAACGGTGAAGGAAAACATCGTGAGGAAACCTGGGCTTATAATTTCTAATTATAAGTTTGAAATAGCCAACCCGCATTGAGCAAGCGTGGTGATTATTGCTCTAACCTTCTCCATGTGAGAAGAGGCTTTGCTCAGCAGTGGCATTTATAAGCTGTTAATGATGATGATGAAAACTAAATTCAGTCGAAGTTTTTTTTTTAATTATCGCTCAAACCTTAACATTGTGGTATTTTTTTAATCATTCCTCAAACCCTGCATTATGGGATAGACACTCACATATACACTTGTATTGCGATATTATCACGAATATTATTAATTCAGCGTGAGAACGCCTCAATAACTTACAAAAATTTATTAACCAGACTAGACTGACTTACGTGGCTTACTCTTGAATCCAATTCCGATGGATCGACATTGGTTTTGCGAAATTTCGTACTCTTAAGTTGCAACACTAGCACTCATTGCATCCGCATTGCATGGATATTGAATGAACTAAATGGTATTGAGTTTGGCTTTATATTCCGTACTCTGAATGCTATTGTAACAGCTACGATTGTGGTTGTATAGTTTTGTCATTGAATAATTATTGAGATTTTATTGGATTGAAATTGCACTGACATTGAAATTGGTTTCAAGAGTAAGCACCCTGATTTCATGTAGAACCAAGTTTTTAACCCTTTCAGCCCAAAATCTATAAGCCCTAATTTTACACTTAAGTTGTGCCAAGATGGTACAGCTGTAGCGCGTAGTGCATAGGACGTAATGCGTAGCTCGTAGCGCGTACCTCGTACTGCGTAGCGCGTCGTGCGTAACTCGTAGTGCGTAGCTCGTACGTAATTCGTCGTACGTAGCTCGTAGTATTAGCGCGTAGTTCATGGCATGTAACAACGTTGGACCGCTATTTATCTTGTAGTGGTGTAATGGAATGCTTCAACTGGAATAGTTAATACCACGCGTTACGACGTACGTGCTACGAGTATTTCATCCTCAATGAAATACAGAATTGCAGTAATTCTCATGGCATAAAAACTTGGCTCTACATGAAATCGCATTGGTTTTTAATAGTAAAAGCGTTTTTTGGGGGCTATTATATACTTCATAGATGATTATACATATTTTATTACGTATATTTGTGCTTCAGCTTCATTAGATTTGTACGCTATTAGTGTAAGGTACGTATGGCAATGTAACATGAAGGGTGATATATAATTACTGACGGTTACAATTTTGCATCTATCGGTTTAGAGTCCCGCCCTGAGACAAGGGGAAGAAACACTGCCACATTTTCGAACTCTGAGCTATGATAAAAAATCATTTGCACTGGGTCTGAAATAAATTTTTCTATAGTCAAGTAAGTGGTCGCAAGTGGGTAAGATTCGTGAGTCGGGCAAATTATACATAGTTAGGGTGGTTTCAGATTTTCGAATTATAGTAGGTAATACTAGCTTTTACCCGCGGCTTAGCTCGCGTCACAAAAGGATAAAAAGTGGAACAAACAAACAAACTCACTTTCCAATTTATAATATTAGTAAGGATATAGCTAGTGAAAAGCGAGCGTTGCATTTTGCAAAGGTACATTAAACTTATTATGTGCACCTCTGCCTTCCTCTTTAAGTAAACGCCGTGACGTTATATTAAGTAAAGTAAAATATTTAAGCTTTACCATTTGGCAAGTTAGGATAATGGTAGGCTAACTAAGTTTGAACGAGGACGACGACAATAGAAATATATGTTGACACAGGGGTGGTTCGAGATTTTATTCTTGAAATCAACTTGGAATGACTCCCAAAAGGCCTAGACAGCTACCTGCTGACTGATGTGTATGATCTTATTTGCACCGCACAGTAAGGAATGCATTAAATGAAGTAGATAGTATAAATTATAAGCAGGCAGGCAGGCTGGACGTGTCCGGCTCAATGTTTAGTGTTTACAAACGTTATTAAAACGGACGATGTATGTAAGGCGATGGCGGGGAGGAATGCGGCAAGTGCGGCGCCGGCGGCGGCGGCGGCCCACCTTGAGTGGGCAGGTTCACCGGCTGATCCCGCCGCGCGCCTCTGCGCTCAGTTCTCGCCAGTCGAGTGAGCGCTCCGACTGCGAACATGGCTGGCCCGAAGACGATGTGCTTGTGCGCGTGTTTTATTTTGTTTACTGTAGCGGTCGAGGCCGCCCTCTCTGGATTGTATATCGACAATGGCGTGGATCAGACTGTCATACATCACTCGATGACAAGACACGAGCGGATGGTGGTAGAACATGAGATATTAGATCTTTTAGGTCTTGGGGAGAGGCCACGTCGAGCTCGAGCGCCTCCGCTGGACCGTTCGGCGCCCAGTTTCTTGTTAGACGTATACAAGCAGCTTGCCGAAGAACATGAGCAGGCTCGCCCGACCCGTAGCTCGGAGATGGCCCTCAGCGGTGATGAGCAGCACGCCATTGACGAGAGTGACCTCATCATGACCTTTCAGAGCAAGAGTGAGTTTAATTTACAAATACTTATCTATTTAAATTAGTACATTAAATAGCACGATGGTAAAGCTGGTACCTATTATCGAATTTTGTGGTACCCTTTATCCTGTTACCTACGTAGATTCATTTTTTAAATTAACTAACAAAAATGTTTATTATGATCCGTATGATAATTCCTTATATTATTTATTTAAAATCTCTCACACATATTGTAGACAATTTGACAAAACCTTATTTAGATAATGTACAGCAGAGGATATATAGTGCTATTCCAAGATCTCCAATTCACTTAAAAATATTTAACACCGAGTTAAACGGTTAACAAGGCAGTGCCGGTAAAATTAATCGTTAAACTTAATGACACATACTGTGTATGGGACCCTTTCATGTCCGTAAATCCTTTGTTTTTGAGAATGCATCTTAAGCATTCCATTACAACTACCTGGGAGGTTCAGGTAAGAAGTTGTAGACAAAAATGTTGAGTCACCGCTTTGGTAAACATTCCTGGTATTATGGATTCCATAATTATGTTTAATGGCATTTGATCTCAGCGGCGCCGGCGCCGAATTGTATTTGTTAAGGCATAAAGGTAGTAGAAAGGTTTACAACATGTTATCAGCAACCATATCTGTTTAATCTCTTTCTTAACTTCACAAAATACAAAATTCTGAATAGAAGCCTGGTTACAGAGTTTCAATTTGTGTACCACGTCTCGTTGTAGAAAAGCTACCGCACTCTGTATTGTCTTTACATTCTTATAATAACGTTTTTTAATTCAAGTATGAGATGTAAGTAAGTACAGTACCTATAATGAATGAATGAATGCTGTAACATAATATAATAATGTGTTTAACTGACTGCCGGTTCTTTCTAGACCGTATTGCATTGCTATCTATTCAAGGAAAATAATGAATGGTCCGCACATAAACAATAATGTTATAATATTTATAGGTCTGTCTATAAATACACATACCTATGTATATGGTCGTACATATTGTGCAAATGATTTATATATACCTAAGTATAACTAGATCGTACGTAACAATGTACCTATAGTGTTATTTATACACAAGTCTTATAGTTTTAGTTACATATAATTTGTTATGTTATCTAAAACGGTCAAAAGGCGAACCACATAATATTAGATGTCATACAAATAATAAACATTTTCCCAGCTTGCTCCAGCAAAACGCCACTATTTACTGTTGATAGATTTTTTAAAATTGTTACAATGGATACATAATTAATTTATTTACACAATGTAAACTTACGCCTTTAAAAGGTAAATAAGAATCGAAATAAACTTTTGTAACACCTTCTACGACCCAAATAGGCAATTGGCAAATAAATGATTTAAATTTTAGTAGCTAAAAACGATACAATTCTCCGGTATCCGATAGTTCTATTATTTATTGAGTTCATCTATACTTATAATAAATCTGTAGAGAGGTCAATTCTGTACATGAAATATATTTCCAAAATAATTATCAGGGGGTGATTAGTGATCGATTTTACTGCCAAAAATGCAATCAGTAAAATTATTTGTCTGTCTGTTTGTTTGTCTGTATGTTCCTTATAAAAATAAAAACTACTCGGTTATACGACTACGACTATTTTAACGAAACTTGGTACAATTATCCTTCATACTCCTGGGGAGGTTATAAGTAGTATACTTTCCATTACGCTACGACCAATAGGAGCTGAGCAGAGCGTGTGAAACGCGGAAGCAGCTAGTAATTAATAAAAATTTACATTATAACCTATTCAATAAAAAAAATATCATAGAAATCGGTATACGCTGTAACGTAGGGCCGATGGTTGAAATTAGCTTGAACTGATAATATAAATGTGAAAATGTGTAAGTTTATGTATTTGTGTGCATGTTTCTTACTCAGTAATATTAAAACAACTGAAGGGACCGGAATGAAATTCGGAACAGATTATGGTCTGAAGTAATACATAGGCATTTTACCCCTGGGATCACGGGCGAAGCCGCTGGCAGAAGCTAGTTGTTAATCAAATACTTTATGAACACTTCTTTTGAATTCCAAGTATAATTATAACCATGGGTTCCCACCATGGAAGAGGGTTCGCCCTCTATTACATCGAACTCATATCAAAAGATCTACCTACTATTAACGAATACAAATTTGTTAAAATATTAATATAGCGCCTTTTCTATCTGGGTCTCTTCAATTTATTTGTGTAGAGCAGACAGACTGGCGCGTCGTTGTGTCTCATTAATTAGATGTTGAGTTTAAGTAAACGCATAATATAATTGATTATGTAATACGTCGCCATCGCTGTAATCAAGCCAAGAAGGCTTATAGTTGCTAATGTGTAGCGGGATTCTCATTTGAAGTCAAGCGAGGATGCTGTGAGAACATTCTGTTAAGCAATATATTTGATATGGGAAGTATTTGCTTATAAACTATGAGTACCTATATTATATTAATGTCTAGGTTCTATTTACAAAATTATTTTGATTTACCTTGATTAAGTTAGTACTACGACGTAGTATCTACTTCGACGTCTATCTTATTGTGTACAGAATTACAGATCTATGTGGTTGGTCACATGAATAATCATTATTTTAAGACTACTTATGCATAATACATAATTCCATACTTTATTTTCAAGTTTAATATTTGTTATTTATTACGTACACCTGGAGTCGGAGTCAGATTACAACCGGATCGTTGGACACCTGTTCGCAATTCTTATTGCAAACTATATTGTGACGAATTGAACTAATTATAAAATGTTGTACCTGCGTGATGATTTCATACCTATACATAATTTAAATAATAGGTAATCTTAATATACAGTTATGTAGATATATGAAAAGTGTAGGAGAGCCATGCTTCGGCACGAATGGGCCGGCTCGACCGGAGTGCTACCTCGGCCTCACAGGAAACCGACGTGAAGCAACGCTTGCATTGTGTTTCATCGTGTGAGTGAGGTTACCGCAGGCCCAATTACCCTTCCCTTCCCCAATCTTCCCCAATCCCTGAATCCCCAACGATCCTCAAACTCCTTATCCCCATAAGGCCGGTAACGCACTTTTAACGCCTCTGGTGTTCCAGGTGTCCATGGGCGACGCCGATTGCTTACCATCAGGTGATCCGTCTGCTCGTTTACCGGCTTATGCCATAAAAAAAGGTCTTAAGTTAGTAGAACAACTTTTTAATCACATAGTGCTGCCAAGCAACAAGCGGCCATCCAAATGGTAAGCAATAGACGAAGCAATCTATAGACAAACGCAACACTAGACAAGTTACAAGTACGTTGCCGACTTTTTCGAGGAATTTAAGATGGTGGGATGACATTGAGCCTCAGGCGCCCTCACTACACATACACATCACATCCAGACACACAACAATAAAATTTGAGTATCACACAAAGATTTACCCACGCCAATTCTGCTATCAAACGTTTCTATGACACATGAGAAAATTCAAATTCAGACATTTTTTAAAACTACTTCGTTTCCATGTATTTATTTTTTATTTTATTTTAAAAGACTTCATGCACATACAATGTACAAGGTGGGCTTAATGCCTAGGGCATTCTCCTCCAGCCAGACCTTTGGGTGATGCAGAGACAAAAACAATGGTCGATGCAAGAAGCAAGCGTATTTAAGACACTACAGAAATGCATAAAAAAAGAGGATAGTATAGACTTACATAAAATAAATCCCTATATAAACTTACAGGTATATGACATAACAATAAACATACACAATAATATTACATATACTACTTAGACGTAACATAACTATACATAGTAGGTATATTGATAGTTACGACTCTGCCAATCTCTTCAAAAGTATTTTTAGTAAGTAGTTTTTTTTAATAAATGTACTTATTTATTAAAAAAAAACTATAAAATTGCACTTTTCAATACCTAGTACTTCAAAAATATAATCTATCATCATCATCAACAGCCTATAAATGCCCACTGCTGAGCAAAGCATCTTCTCACACGGAGAAGGTTTGAGCATTAATCACCACGCTTGCTCAATGCGGGTTGGCGATTACAAACTTATAATAAGAAATTATTAGCCCCGGTTTAGTCACGATGTTTTCCTTCACCGTTTGTCAGAGGTCTGTCTAGCTAGATAATCTTAAAAAGTACATATAACTCTGAAAACTCATATTGATACTAGCTACTACTAACCCGAACCCTCATGCATGAGCAGCGGGCGTCTAGAACCTCCGGGCCACCACAACATTTTTTACAACACGACAATATTTATAATTTTTATTTATAATATAATATTTAAAAAGAAAAGTAGGAGCCCAACAGTAGCGGGAGCATGGTTCAACAAAATGATTATTTATATAAGTAAGTAATCTATTAATTCCTTTCCGTTTTTTCAGGGCATCATTTGGGAGCATTACGTCATGGCCACGGCCGACACGTCTGGTTCGAGGTGACTGGAGCACCTGGCGATGCGTCTGCGCTTCTGTCAGCGGAACTGCGTTTACATCAAGCGCCTACGCACACCGAGGACCCAACCGCACTCTACACAGTCGTTGCTCACAGGGTCATTAGCGTTGACAATTTGGGGTATGCTATTGTTTACTTATGCAGAATTATATATTAATCTGGTAAAACAGGCTATAAAAAATAACAGGGTAATAACCTAACCTAACAATAATTTTTATTAAACTTTTAATACAGTAGGTATTGCAGCTGTCGTGGTATGCTTAGGTATTTGATTTGCAATTTCAACCGATTATTTTTATTTTTTTACTACCCAATCCATATTACTAAAATAATACCTACATTTGAAATAAAAAACTTAAAATCTACTTACAAAGAACATAATTTTAACAAAAAGTTATTTAGTTATTTTTTTACCCAACCGACCTATTTTTAAACAATATCAATTAATACTGGTGGAACTCGTTGAAATTTACTGCCAAAACCCATTTATTTATAAAGAAATAATAAAAAGACAAAATAGTAAATGGCGTCATATCTTTACTTTCGCAGCAAAAAACCAGAATCATTGATTTGATTAAAATAATAAAAAAAGAATTCATTAAAAAAAACAAAGAACCAACCTATTTGTTTACTTTATATTAAATACTCGCCGAAGTAGTTAAATATTCCAAAAAAACATTTATTATTAAAAGGAATATTAAATAAAAAAAAATAGTTAATGGCATCCTTTCAGTCATCATCAGTTGATTACTAGAAAAAGACGAAAACTTAAAACCTTTTTACTTTAGCTCGCTGACTAAATTAATACATTATTCAAGACTACGGCCCTTCAGGGCTTTGCCCGGTTGGTGCTGATGATGAGTATACATACTGTTTACTTTAGGTAGCCTTATAGGTACACATTTACGTTACATTATCTAGATATAAGACATTTGTAACATTACATACACTCAAGCAATATTTGCTATTTATTGCCTAATAGAATACTGATTAGGATAATATGTCCCAAATGCACAACTTCATACCTGATAACTTGCAGAGAATAACAATAATCTTTATATTTTGAATAACATGACATAATTTATGATTTTAGGAGCCTGCAAATGGAGCAGGTGGCCGCGGTGAACACGAGTGCTGGTGCCGAGGGATGGTTAGAGCTGAACGTGACTAGTGCGCTGGGGGCGTGGCTCTCATCACCGGCAGACAATCGAGGCTTCTTCATAACGTTGCATCCTCACTCGCAGCCTGGTAGGCATACAACTTATACCTATATGGCATTGCTGGAATGTTAAATGTCCAATAAGACTTTTTATGACTTCTAGAGCCATTTTGTAATTAATTTATCCCGATGCGGCCAGGTCACGGCTTTATTGAGGCTAAAGAAGATAAATTAAAAGAAAAAATAAAAATAAAAGGGAGTTAATAATAGTTAAGTATTAGTGACATTAAGGAGACTGCCAATTCCCTCAAATATTATATGGTACTTACATAACGTCACACCGTTTAAACCCCGAAGGGATATTTAGAAGTTATTTTATGGGTTCCATGTAATTACATTGGCATTGTAGTTTATTTTACAAGTAAAAGTTTTAATGTAGTTACCTACTGGCTACTTCCCGTACAATTTAATGGATAAATAAGCACTTCATCAAGTAACGGAATTTTATTTTTTAAATACATTTTTTGTTTTCTAGAACGTCACGTGAAACCTGAAGAGATTGGATTGGAGGAACCTCGTGGAGTTATAGTGGAGGGGAAGCAGCCGTTCGTAGTGGCCTTCTTCAAGAGTGGACCGAAACTGGCCGGCGCAGACGCAGGCGCCCGGAGGAAACGCGAAGCGAGGCGGTGGCGCACCCACGGATATTCCGAGAACTATCTTAGAAATCCTCTTACAGGTGTGTACGTTTGTTTGTATTTTTAAAATTCTTGTTATCATATTTTATTTAATGGGGTCCGTTAATGCGGTTTTATTCAGTGTTGTTTTATTGGGTGTATTTACAAACACGACTATAAGTGTAAAGGACTAATAAAATACCCCTTGTATTTAATTACATTTTATCAATTAGTTACTGTGCAATTGAGTATGATTTATAAGTAAACTTATTAAAGTTCCTCGAAGATACTCAGTGTAATATATGAGATTTTAACCAGTATCTACCGTTGAAAATGGGGCTGACGAGGTCTATTGGTTAAAAGCCACTAAAAATGAAAACTAATAAGAAACAGCCAAAGAAGTTTATTAAATAAAATAAATCTTTATCGCATTACAAGTTGAGCGTTAAATTGTAACTGGAGGGCGATTTAAAAGTAATAAAACAGATTTCGTCGCTGATTTCTGAATACTTGAGACCTATTGGTTCTTGGTCAATCAGCCTTTTGACTTTTTGCAAAATTTAAGAACTTTTGTCCATTCGAAGATATGATAAGAGTAAATGATCGAACGAACGAACGAGATATGACGGGGTAAACATTCAAGGGTTTAATATGGTCGTCACATTATGCATGACTAACGTTGTTATATCTGAATGATATTTTGTATTGTTATCATTAAGTACTCGAGATTTGTGCGTAACAATAGTATGATCGATGTGACTCATAAACAATAAGTGAAATTATATCTGAAACCTACGTAATAAGAATACCTTATACGGTAATATGTATAGATACCTAGGTACGTAAGTTTCTGATGGCATTTATAGTCAAAATTGCTAATTATTTTTGGTTTAGTTACCTGCAACTTGGTAACTAAACCATGGTGATTATGGACTTTTATCCGACCGAGTCGACTCAGCTGTATCACAGTTGTAGGTAATTTTCGTAGGTTATCCAACCTATTCATTTTATAAAGGAACCTAGTAAGTTAATGTATAAATATGAGTATGAGTGTCCGTGATAGAATTGAGTTAAACATCCTCTTGATAGATTTTTTTCACTGTCCTGAATTGATTTCTATCTTCGGCGGGCTACAGTCTCTCCTTGGCGTAAAACTGAAAGTAATATCTTTTTTCATATATATAATTACTTCATTTATGATGTTATTTCCATTTATTTTCATATTATTATGTTTGTTGCAGATACCTCTCATTGGACCACGAGAAGTTGTGAGATCCAGACTTTGTATGTCAGTTTTAAGGACTTAGAATGGCAGGTTAGTGTGAAACGCTGAACAACAGGAATCTGCTCATCTCAGCCGATTCGTGTTTGCATACATCAAGTAACTTTGATTTAAATTAATTCACAATAACCGAGCGCTGGTGGAGTTCCGTATATTATGTCATTGTTTTTGAAACTTCTTAATTTATATTTAAATAATATATATTTAAGTTATCTTACTGACATTGTAAATGGGAAAGTCTAGTTTGTTTGTTACGCCATCACGTCAAAGGGCTGAAGGGATCGAGATGAAATTTGGAACAGTGGTAGATTAAGCCACTTTTTGTCTCACGTAAAGGCGGGCGAAGCCGCTGGCAGAAGCTAGTATTGATTAAATATAAATACTGTAGATTTAACAGAACATGTCTTTTGACAGGACTGGATCATAGCTCCGGATGGTTACGGTGCGTTCTACTGTAGCGGCGAGTGCAACTTCCCTCTGAACGCGCACAAGAACGCTACCAACCACGCCATCGTACAAACTCTAGTACATCTACTTAATCCTACGAAGGTATAGTACCTATTACCTATATCTGCTAAATAACTACTACTACTACCTACTCTACATAATTTAGCTGTAAACAACTGATGGAAATAAAATATCAACTTCCTAGCTTTATTCATTGGGTTAGCCAGTTAAACGATCACCTGATGGTAAGCAATCGTACCCCAAGGCGTTATAAGTAAGCCTTTTGGAAATAATTGGAAGGAAACGAAACGCAAGAGTAGTTTCACGTCGGTTTTCTGTGAGGCCGTGGTATCAATCCGGTCTAGCCGGCCCATTCGTGCCGAAGCATGGCTCTTCCATATTAGCTTCGGCTATAAATAAGTTTCAAATTACAATTAAATAACTAGAAAAGATTACACCACATTTGCAAGAACTCCTATACCTTTATTACAAAAGGTATCACCATAGAAACGTGTTTCACATGGTTGAGTAATAGCTTCATGAAACGCAAATTCTTAAGTTAAATTTTTTTTTCTTTAGCTGGAAATCCAGTTTTCACATCTTGAATTTAAAGTTGAAAATTGATTGTAGGTTCCGAAGCCGTCGTGTGCGCCGATCAAGTTATCACCGATATCAGTGTTGTACTACACGGATGACTCCAACGTGATCTTGCGCAAGTACAAAAACATGGTCGTCAAGAGTTGTGGCTGCCATTGATTAAGAAAATATTGTATTCAACAAAACACTAGTCTCTTAATATTACGCTTCTAAGTAAATTTTAGTAGAAGCTGTAGTTTACTCAATAATTAGAATAAGTTTGTATATTATTTAAGTAAACGTTTCGATTTAAGAGAAAGAAATGAGTGTATTACAAACAGATGTACAATTTGCATGAGCCATTTCATAAACATGTCTTGAATGTAGAGTACCTAGCTAAGAGTAAATTTAAATATTCGTGACAAATATGATTTATTATCGTATTGGTGCTGTAGGGAACAGAGAGTATAGTTCCCTAAGATCGGAAAAGGAGGATCCTCCGACCAGGCGAGGTGATCGTGCCTGGCGGGCTTTCTGCCCAACAGTTGTTCGTTGGGATTTTCTATCCGTGTTTATTCGCTTGTAAACTTTGCATGTGCGATGTAGGATTCTTGTGACGTCATCCGTTGACATGTGGCATGCGTCGCCACATCACTCCCTCCCAAGACCGGAGGTCGATCCCGCTGAGACGGTTGTCGATGCTTGAGATGAGTGGCGCCAGAGCCAGTGTAGAACGTCCCTAGTTCCAGTGGGTCGGAACCGTGCCGCTGAGTGCCCAGTGAGTCGGGTCAGCGGTGCAGGGTGAAACTCCAGTGAGTCGGAGAGATGCGTTCGCAGTGTCCCACGGTGAGTCGGGGAAGAGATGCTGCGAGGGTAGGTGCGTAGTGGCCGGCATCTGCGTTGACGGGAGGAGATGTCCTTCAGAACCGTGTGCAGAAGTGCTGTGCCTAGACACTGGTGAGGCCGTAGGGAAGAACCAGGCTGCACAACTTCGTTGCAGGCGATGGTGGTCCCTGATGAGGCCGAGGATGCTGGTTGGCTGCGACTTGATTACCGCTCAGCGGAGAAGTGATGAATGAGAGGGATGGCGATACGGATGACGGTGCTAATCTGCTCCGTGAAGTGAAGGTTGTTTCCAATCACGTCGGGGTCACCACTGTAGGGAACAGAGAGTATAGTTCCCTAAGATCGGAAAAGGAGGATCCTCCGACCAGGCGAGGTGATCGTGCCTGGCGGGCTTTCTGCCCAACAGTTGTTCGTTGGGATTTTCTATCCGTGTTTATTCGCTTGTAAACTTTGCATGTGCGATGTAGGATTCTTGTGACGTCATCCGTTGACAATGAATCTACTTAAGTTCAAAAACCTATATAAAATAAATTCAATAACAATATTGTTGGCATCGTAAAATTGTAGTATTGATAAAACTTGTGATTTCTGAATAATTAATATGAACAATCAATTAATCATGATAAAGTCAGGCATAGTCTGTGTCATGCTATTTGTGTCACAGAAACAAGAAAAGAGTTTAATGTGCAATAAGATCTTATTGCTTGGATACAGAATTAGCATTTTTATAACTGAGATATTAATTCACTTGTGCGTCCGAAACGTCGGAACATTGTTTTGTATTCTGTTTTATTTCGAAACATTTCTCTACATTTAATGATTGTATTTTTATAATGTCTTTTAAATATGTACCTGTAAACGTTTTAATATAAAAGAACTGATGGTCATCTAGTGTTTTAGTGGTAAATAGATCTGTTATTGTCTTAAACAAATGTAATGAAATTAACTGTTTTACTTAGCGTCTATGTTATGTATGTATTACTTTTATTAACTTATGTTGCTTACGAACGAATATCAGTATGATTAAGATTTAACAAAAAGTGTAATCGTAATTGTAAATCACAAATGTCTACTTAACTTCCCGGAATTACAATGTCACCTTGTCCTATCGCTGTAATTGTTTGTTGTAAGTATAGGATCGTATAACAATTCCGTCCTTTTTCTTTCCAGTGGGATATTAACTCTTATTTTTATTATTTTTATATGCTTACATAATTTTATTGCTTGACTGTACTCATTTATAAAGGACAGTCGATGATAATTCGGATATTAAGGTGTTTACATAATTTATGAATTCGAAAAATCCGACATAAATCTGCTGCTGCTGTATTTGTTTTATTGAATTTTTTTTTAGTTTCGGATAAAAATCTAATTATTTACGAACTCGTTGTATTTATGTCCCAAATTATACACTAAATCAAAAACTACTTATTTTATTCCTAAAATGGTAAACACGCATTGATAATGTCCACATGTGTTGCTAAATAATGTAGGTCTACAATAGATAGAAAAAAATAAGTATGTATATGCACATATTATTATCTAATAAGTAGGTTCTGATATTAGAGGTCCTCAAAAATAAGGGATTTTTTTAAATATAAACTATTTCGTAATTACAATGCCATCTTTAGTTAAGCAAATCGGAACGATCTGTATTTTACTTTAGCTAAGTAATGGATGTGCCAATTCAATAAGCCAGTTTTTTTAACAAATATTTAAATGTCGTTTATATTGTTTGTACAATGAAAATAATGAATTTAAAATGTAAAATTTTGTAATAAAGGATTTTACTTTTTTAGAATCAGTATTTTTTATTTTTAAGCGTGTCCAATAATACCCAAGGAATAAGTAGGTACATACCTTGATATTATTTCTTAGATTCGATAGGTACCTACTTAATTAGAGTGTTGTATCTACTGGAATACAGATACAGTCTGTACTTGTAGTATATTTGTAGAGTGTAGTACTTCCCTGAACGCGTGAATATACCATACCTAGTTGCGATGAATAATATTGTAATATTTTAGAATGAGTAACAATTAATCATATAAGTCAATAACTGATCTTACATGCGACTTCTTGCCAGAGTCTGTATTTCCTGAAGGTTATAACCTGGGTGTCTTCAAGACCCAAGTGAATAGCTTGCTTATTCGACGTGCTCCATCGTAGGCCACATCATCGCTTACGACCACGCGAGATAGTGGTCAAACGTCAGTCCCATCTAGTATAAAAAATCATTCGTATTTGCAAATATACGATTTTCTTATGTTTTCCTATTGACTTGGGAATATTGAAAAATCAAAGGAATCTATACGTTTACGTCCAGAGGTTACTGCGCCTAGGAAACTGTTGACTTCAGACGTCATTCAGCAACGTAAGAGTATAAGTAAGATAGGTATTTATTTATTTTCATACATTCATTACACACTCACACAGTCCGCACAGGCGGACTTAGGTAATGCTATACGGCGGTCTGCGTATAACGTATAGGATACGCTTTATCTCTCAGTCTTCCTTAGGGCAGTATAGACAAGACAAGACCGTTTAATACATAAGCACACAGTATAATAGCAACTAGCAGAAATAATCATTCATCTCTAAGTTGTGTAGGTAACTTTTTTAGACTCATAGTGTAAGGTTTTTGGAAATAGTCGACTGTAGTGTAAATGAAGGTTAGGTTAGGCATAAGATGAATAACAAATGTATGAATAAACACGTTTATACGATTTATTTACATAAATATAATAATAAGGAAGGTTTACAGTAACAGTTACGTACCTATGTCTAGGCGGGACTGGGGTTTCTTCACTAGGTATACCTTCAGTGAATAATAAAAGTACTAAGACAATAAGAATGACAATTCACAGTAGGTACACGTATATTTAAGTTGTATTTTCCTTACTCATAGTAAATAGCTAACATTTTAAATAGTTTATACTAGATTCGTTATATACAGATTTATTTTTTCCGAGTTACACGAGCAGGTATTCAATACAGTAATAAATAGGTACTGTGTAGTCATCATTGGCATAATCATTAAGGCAAAGTTACCAAGTACTTAATTTGAAATAATAATAAAATAGGGTTGAATAAATATTTCACAGGGGAGAAGAAGAACAAGAGATACATAAAATAGAGAACAGAGTTAGATAGAGAACACGGCAATTAAAGTTCAATCCACCAACGGCTTATCACTTGACCTGTATTTAAAGATATGTTTCAAATTCCTGAGATACGCTGGTGTTCAATTAAGAGATATATATACCTAAGTATAAAGATAGACGAGAGTTACTTATGTTTTCGTTCATAAAAAGCTGTTACGGTCGCGTTACTTTGCAGAACTTATTTTTTTATGGAATATATTGGCAAACGAGCAAACTGATCACCCGGTGGTAAGGAATCGGTATCGCCCACATCGCTTATGGATGTCTGCAATTCCAGGGGACTTACAAGTGTGATGCTTACCTTTTGATGATTGGGGATGAGGATGATGGGAGGACTGGACTGAATTCCATTAGTGCCCAAGCATGGCTCTCTCTCTCTCTCTCTCTCTCTCTCTCTCTCTCTCTCTGTATATATCCTTCTGAACAAATTATTAAGGTTACATTAGAAAGCAATGCGATAATAATATAAAACACAGATAAAATTGTACCAGACCTTTTGATTATGTCAACTTATTTATGCAATAACACAAAATAATCGGTTTTAAGGTAACTGGCCTTAAATATAACCAATAAGGGTGTTTTTATACGATAATAATCACAGTGTCTGCCTAAACTACATCATAAATATGACTGTTATACTGTTAATACTTATATTGTGTTAGATAACGTTTTACATGATTATTATTTTGTCACATAGCGAACATATTATTATCTTTTATACTAAATGCACTGCGTTACTGCTACAGCTAAGTAATTCATTAATAGTCCGATGAGCCACTATGCATATGGAATTTAACATAAATGAAACCCATTCCGTATAAACAGGCATCATAATGTTTTGTACAATACAATTAGTCATTATACAACGTGCCACCACTCTGTGTCTCCCGTATTTGTTATTGCAATTTTTTCAGTAGAAATTAAATCAGTTATCGATATAATATCAATGCCACAAATAGTATATTTGTTTACACTTTAAATTCTAAGTATACAATCAGCCGTTTCATGTTTTTATCGGAAGATATCTGATAAACATGTGAGTCGTCTTTGTACAATACGTACGCATGACTCGCGACGCGCAGTCGTTATTTATTTCGAAGGGGTAGATACCGCCGATTTATTGACAATTATTATATTACATAAAGTGTTATTTTCGAATTCGTGTCAAAAAGCGTGAGTGAAGTGGTTAACGGGACAATCTGAGTGTAGGGCAGTTCCCTACAGACAAATCCGCAAGTGAGCAAAAAGGCAAAAAAATCCACGAGCGTAACAAAAGCTCAGCCGCGTCACCGACAGACAGCGGGCGGCTTCAAGGGCGCAGCAGCCTCCACCGACACCGGCCGGCACTGATCAGAGTGGAGCGAGCCGCGAAGCCGCATCATTGCGCCGTCGACGCTTTACCACAACACACGTTTCGCACAGACAGCTTCGAAAATAAACAATGCTCACCACGCCGATCGACACGTTCCAACTGTTGTAAGAAGTTGTATGCGGGTGTTGATGTCGGTGCCCGAAGTTTAAAATTTTAATAACAATGCATCTACTAATTGTTATGAGTGTAATTGTCTACGCTAGTGCCGATATCGTCCAGGGAGACAAAGTGTTTCGTAAGTGTTGTCCAAACAATCAAAGTTTAATGAAAGTGTTCGATGATGAATCCTTCAACTTTAGCTCTACTTATAAGTGTTTAGATCGTGAAAGTGCGCGGAATGACTACAACATTACCATAATTCCCTTTTTGTTGGTAAAAATCTCTCAGTGGAGTATGGAATACCTGAAATATGTGATGATTTTCCAATACAGGAGATATCTGTTATAGATTTAAACAGTGCAGTGGTTTTTAATGGCTGTTACGATAGGCTTGTGGCAGAATTACATAATGACACAGTAAAAACAATAATTCCTTTAATCGTAGGATTAAAAAGTTGTGTCGAAAATGAAGATAATAAGACATCTGCAAATGCTTTAACCATTCATAACTACCGGAAATGTTGTCCAAGAGGACAGAGCTACGACAGTAATTTTCATATATGTAGAGACACTGAAGTGAATAACTCTGAAGAATGGTTATTGAAGCGATTAAAAATGAAAGATAATTATATTTATGAGGTGGATACTGGCCTGCACTGTGAAACTGATGAGTATAGCATAGAGTTAAGGCAGAGGTTCTTTTCACTTCAAGTGGACGGAAGTACCTTAAAGATATTTAGTAAAAAAGGCGACGGTAGCGGCGATGCTGTGCCAGGACAGTGGTGTGTGGACCGGGAGTTCTCGAGTTCGGAGCTGGTGGCGCGCGTATGTTCTAGTGATTGTTCCAAGTACGGTGCGTTTTGTGTGAGGAAGTGTTGTCCCATCGGGTACCACTACAAGCCTCGGCGCTGTGGCAGCTTCGCGAGCAAGTGTGTGCCGAATGTGGATGATGTGTTATTTAATATATCAGACTATATGGAGCCATTGCAACATAAGAATCCGGAAATAACAGGTGAGCTTTTTATTTTAAGTACAATGTTTCTTTTATTTTTACGGATTGATGGTTGACATTTAAGTATCGCCTCTGTTACTACTTGGTCAATCAAGAAGTAAATGTGTAATGAGTATAAAGTAGTGGATACGGTGTAAACCGAGACTTTAAGTGCTAATTGGAAACGAAGACAAAGAAGCTGAAAATGTATAGAAAATGCATAATTGCAAAGACCAGACAATTTACAAAACTAAACATAAAAGTTCGTTTAATTTTTTGCAGAATTAATTGATTTCTAGCGTTGTAAATTAAAATTAAGTAATGTAATCAAATGTCAGTTTGGTATTTATTTCCAGCAAGACAATTTGCCGGTATTTTTAAAATTGGCAATTGATACAAATGTGATTTAGTAAATAAATCAGATTTGAACAACTAAATTAGCTAAAAATAGTAGTTTTATCGGTTTCCAAGTACCAACAAAAATACGAAGGTTATACTTATATATCAATGTTTACAAAATGCAATGTAATTCTTTAAATGCAGACAGAAATTAGTAAGTTATTGGAGCCTCTATCACTGTGCGTAGTTCGCGTTGAAGCCCGCGGAACTAATTTGCAATAATAATACACACATTATTTTCTATATCTTGAAAAATAGCGGATCTAACGAAAATGTAGCAAACAGATTTTGAAACATGTTTTTCAATACTAGGTATATCAAAATAGGGGAGTACATAAGTACTTTCAACCGAAAAAATACACTACGTATTAGGGAGAGAAAAGTGACTCTTTGAGGAACTTCGTTAAATTTTTTTTTTATACCACGACGCTGGCAAAAAGGCACACGGCCCACCTGTTGGTAAGCGTAAGATGGTAAGCCCACTTGGGGCATTACATGCGTCTTGCCGACCCTTAAAAAACCTATTCTCTGCCTCTTGAAGAACGTTAAAATATTTAGAAGATAACAATAAATAACCAAAATCAGTCATTTGATTTTTTCATATTTATTTTTGAGAATGTGTGAAAATAGTGTAAACACAATAGTTAAAGATTTTTGTATTATCTACAATTTTGCCATTAAACTTTTATCCAAATTCATCTAATCCTGATAAACTGTTTTGTTGCCTAAAACGAACACCCATTGTAATAGATCTGTCACAATTTTATAGCATATCTGTCATTTCCAGTGAGTTTAATTCTACTACTAATTACTTGCATTTCTTGAACTGCCTGAAATCTGTAAATAATTACCTTATCTACAACACCTGTCTGGTTAATTTCCTAATCAAACTAACGTATCGCTGGAATATCCATTTTTGTGACCCTGACTCACTTCTTTCCTAGAGTAGAATTGATGAAGATCGTACAATAATTTTCAGCTGGTTGTGAATGATTGTATCTTCGGATGTCTATTGACCGAACTATGATAGACACCTGTTGCTAAAAGGTTCCCAAATCTTTCTCCAATAAACTCAAAAAAAAAACCGTAGGTATCTGGTAACCTAATATAATTATGTTACTTGGTAGATGAATAAAGCTGGCGTGACGTAGGTGCTCGTGATCCCTGTGGTGTACGTGGCATTCACACACGATAACGGGATAAGTACGCACTCATAGCGTGGTTAAAATCATGTCAATGATATTTACGCTAAGCTATTATAAAAGTATTATTTGCCTTGTCAGATAGATGTGATTTCTTATGAAAATGTTTAAATTTATTCGGGAATAGAGATTTGAAATTCGAAATTAGGGGTGTCTTTGCAGTAAGGGCGATTTATAGCTCCCGTAGCGCTGCACTATAGGCTAACGTGCCCCTATTTTCAGTTAGTGAAATGTGAAACGTTAAAACCACATTTCGGTGTAGTCTATAAGAATCATCAGAATGAAGATAACATGAGTTATGTGACACTAGGTTACATTATCGATCATTGTTTTTCTAAAAATTCTGTCATTAGTAGGTACAACATAATATTTTGACTATCCATTAGGATAACACTAATTATAGTATAGTCAATAGTAACAATACTCAATTATTATGTAGATAAGTAATGTTAAGTATGTACCTAAAATGGAATTCCTAAATCCCCTATACTGAGTCCGTCGGAAAGTGAGAGGGTGGCCCTGAACTATGTCGATTCATGTAAAAGGCACAACTTAAGGATTTAAATAAAAACATTGATTGTACTAAAATAAATAGGTATATTGTGTTTGGATACTAAAATTTGAGCGTGTTGTTGCATTGAACTTGAGCGAAAACGATTCTGCCAAAGTAGGGTCTCGAGTTCGAGTGAAAGTATTATTGAGTTTATCCATTTTCGAAATTTTCTACAGCCTTTTGTAAAAGCTCTTTCTATACCTAACTTTAGTTAATTTGAGTATACAGGTATGTTAAGGATGCCTACTAATATTGGAAATTCATTTTTAGATGTAATGGGGTTTCGCATCGATTTGCACTGCAATGCCGGTCGTGTGGTGTTAAACAAGTCCGTGGAACGGGACCGACATCGGTTGAGATCTGATGGTCGCTGATTTCACCAATCAGTGTGGGCGATGGCTACTGTTTCGAGGCTTTTGATAGCCGCTTCTGTCCTGACGGTAACATCTTCATCACTGCGTCAACTGCTTCATAAAGGCTCCCGAAGTCGTGAAGAACTTTCAAGTATCATTCTTCGTAAGTAATTTTATAACAGCTATGTACATTTAATAGTTTAGACGTTTGAATGGACACACCAAAATATCTAAAAGGATCTTGATGATTGGCATACAGATAAATATAACCATGAATGTGAGCTTTTATGTCGATTTTTATAAAGCAAATAATACGTGTTATATATTTTTTCATTATCTAACTATTGATCTGATAAAATAAATAGATGTTTAAAGCTGTCATCGTCTCTATTAATGCAATTACTTGACTCTAACATCTTCAAAGAAATTATTGATGAAAGAATATAGAGTGTTAACATTATATGACGGAAATAAATGTTTTTGTGAATGCGTTACAAATTTTAAAGTTTGTTTAGATTGGTCAGCCAGTCAATAGATCACACGGATCAGATGGATTGATTCGTGTGCTAATAAACAAACTATCAGTGACTGAGAGTCTTCTGACGATTTCTTGAAATTACTTAACAATCCGTTATTACATTTTTATAAATAGAATAGAAGCTAACTGAAATCTTGTTATGTCCTTATTTAGGTCAGGGTGGACTGACTAGTCACAAGGATTTTAAGATCATTATTATGTTCTTACAAAGTCAACCAGTGTGAGAAATAGTCGGGAGAAAGTAGTAGGTAGAATTATTGATACCTTCTTCAAACCATACATTTTTGCATCAAAATAAACTTTTTCCTGATATTCTGAGTATTTCATGTTTAGGTTAATATCAGGGATTCAGGCCATGAGGGAACCATCATAATTATATCGAAACATAAACAAAGGAGGTGAGAATACAGCGCGTGACGTCACCGCACAGCGGGTAATCATAACCCTCCAGTTTATTCATTGTTCATACATTGTAACTTGAGGATTTAACAAATTGGTAATCCGTTAATATTATGTCAACACGTTGAAATACGATTGAATTACAAGTGACATCCTAATATCGACGGAATTTACATAATCTTGGTCATTTGGATCTAAAGCAAACAACCTTTGAAATCTGTTTATTAACGGAACTGGATAGTAATGGGTCATGAACTGAAGAGGTCGTTAGGGTGCCACCTCCATTGTTATAAAATTCCATTGTTATGAGATGAACTTTACAGAGTTTATTGCATGGCGGAACTAATTCTAATATCTTCTATAAAAAAAGGAAAATCTATTAACCAGCATGGGGTTTATGAAAACCAAACAGTTTGTTATCTTGAGATTCAATGAACAGCTATAATTACTTATTTTGTATGAAAGACGTGAAGTAATATAACGAATTATGAACTAAGAGATTATAGGTATTGTAGCTTGTAATCAGCATTTTGTATTGTTACAGTTGATCAGTATATCGAGCGTGTGCCTAGCGCTGACGCTGTTGGTGTATATATCACTTCCGGAGCTCCGGAATCTGCATGGACGTACCCTCATCTGCCATGTCAGTATGATGCTGCTCGCGTTTGGCTGCCTCGCGCGTGCCCAACACAGCCGAGTAGCTGACAACACTACCTGCACTCTTATTGGTAAGAAAGAAATTATATTTACTTGCTTTCATTCACTTGTCATTGTGTCAAACCAAGAAATTATAAAGAATTTGTAGCAATTCTTCATATTTTTTTATTAATGTTCGAAGAGCTTATGATTTATAGTTAGTATGACATATGACAGTATTTCTTAGACAAGTATTTGGTATTTCATTGCTAGTGACCAAAATATACATCGGCTTGCTAAGATGGGTCTAAAATGTATTTATATTGCGAGAATGGACGAAAGCTAAAAGTTTTTATGTTCATAAATCGGTCAAGTCTATGTATGTACTTAGATGACCTAACAGGACGCCATAAATATAAAAAATAGAAGGGGACCCAATTTGGATAATTGCGAAACACCTGATGTCGCAGGAAAGGGGACAGATTCATAACTGCTACTTGTTATTGTTACTAGCTGTGTTCGATAAAGTACCTACGCAGCGTTTTGTGCCTAGGCAAGGAGCCATTTTTGTTGAAGGCTGAGAATAATCTAACAATATCTTTAAGATTAAATCATCAGACTGCTATGAAAAAATCTAGTGCAAGGAGAGCTGTAAATTCAGTTATTATTAACAATATAATAATAATGTGAATGTACGATTAAATTCGCTTTGTGATTGTTGATAAGGGCGAACAAAACAATATATTGGATAAATAGGTTATTTGAGACCTTATGAAGTCATGACGAAATAAGTAGTAATCGTTTCTTGGTATAAATAAAAAGATTAGTGCAACTGAAAAAATCTTTTGCTAGCATAATTCAATTGTCAATTTCCTTACTGTCAAAACTTTGTATGTGAATGTGCACTTCCTGAAAACGTCTCTTGATGGCGCGAAAACATAATATTGGCGTGACAAAATATTGGATTTCGTTCAATAGCGTGGGATGATTTTATGAATATGCGGTAAAAGGAAACCAACAAACAAAATGATAACAGATATTACGTTTCGATGAATGATTGATATCCACGCAGTCTGTTTTCAATTGACTTTATCGAGTAAGTAGGTAGTTGATAACATCTGGTTGCAATAAAAATTGAAGATACAAGTGGTGACCTTATCTAAATCATATTGAAGCAGCTTATTAAATATACATCGCTGCAGACATAATGCACTTGCATGTTGTTAATAAATAAACAATAAATTGTATCGAAGTTACGTAAATACCTATATTTAATCCTAACTAGAGAATTGAAATGGTCAGATCGCACGTTGCTCAAATATTATGCAAATTAACTTCGTTTGATGTTTTAATTGGTGCTAATTTACATACAATACGATGATATACATATAATAATTCTTATATCTCCAATTAGTCGGTATTTCATATAGATATATTTCAATATTGTACTTTATGTTGGAGTATTCTATTTTAATATTTATCTGTTTTAAACTATTCGCAGAGCTATAATTAGAAGCTGTACCTACTTCATATCTGAATTACAATAGATTATTTTATCGTACATAAATAGGAATGCGGATAAGAAAGCTTATAAATATAATAGTTAAATAATTTACATTAGGAAATAAATTAAGTATCTAATACTTAATAATACAAAGCTATCAAACGATGCTGTTAGCTGGACATCATAAAATCAATGCCGTAACAAGCATGTTGACGTAAAACTGATATTAATCAGTGGGTGCTGATAATATTAATATAATCGTTGGAAACAGGTAGATATATACTTGTATATTACGCACATAATATAGAGTTAAAAGTTTAGCAGACCGTAAAAAGATTTATATCGCACAATAGGGTAGATGCATAATTTTTATTTTAATGTCCGTAGATTAAATTAAATCATTAGACACGTATTTTTATTTTCTTACAGAAATGAACACTTTCCACGATATATTGATTTGAAATGTCGCGTGACGTCACTTCTATGTACATTTTATACGTAGAAATGACGTTTTAGCCCCCACTCCTAAACTTTGATTTGTTTTAACTAAATATTATTTTGTTATACGACAAAATTATATTTTTCATTATCTAACTTACGGACTAATTATATTTTTAATTTTCATACCCTGTCATCATCCCAATTAGTGTAATCATCTATCTACAAAACCCGCATTGATTCTCATAGATCAAGTTATTTTTACGCTATTAATCTTACATTCGTATACGTACATAACATTACGCCTGTCTCCTAGGGGGTAGGCAGAGACTATGGAATGCTATTTGCTACGATTCTCAGTGTTAATAACAGTATTCTATCAAATGGAAGAGGCCAATGTGTCACAGGACACGCTGATCACTAATTAGGATAACTGATGTGTTAGTTTATAAGTTAGATAAGTGTTACTTAATGTCTAGTTTTCAGCAATAAGGCTTATTATTATTCTATCAAATGAAAATGACAAGTTACTCACGTAAATACTTATATTGAGAAAAGCTCTACTAGTTTCGAGTCACAGAGGGACTCTTCCTCATGCGAAGCGTGTGCGGTGCATGAATTCTAAGTCTCACGATTGTTGTTATAAAAACATATTTCTGTCAAATAAATAATTTTTATTTGGCCTAGAAGTCGACTGACATAATTTCACCAGATTCTAGCGAGTTCTGCTTCTGCTAAATCTCTTGTATACAGATTAGTGTTAATTATTAATGATTTGACCTAGTTAATGTAATATTTGAATTGAAAATATTGAAATCTCGGACTGTCATGATGAATCACTGAATTTGATTCACAGTTTGTTCACTAATCAATGACGATCATAAAATTTTACGATACTTACAGAATGCTATAAATTTATTTATAACCAAACAATTGTTCTCTATTTACGTAAATTCGTCGTAAACAGTGCAGTAACAACATTATGTAGGTAATAACTATCGTGAGACATACTAAATTAACTAAAAATCGCGGGTTACTCACGTGAACATACTGAGAAAAGCTCTACTAGTTTCGAACCACAGGGGTTCTCATAAGCAGCGTGCGCGTTCGCGGCTAAGAGTAGGCTGCGCGACATCGCCGCGACCTTTACCTTCGTTGAGCTTTTCTCATTATATTCACTCGAGTAACCCGCGATTTTTAGTTAACATTATGATATTTTAAAATTATTTAGACAACGAGTACCTAATTCATGTGTTGTCATTAAGTAAAGGAGGCGCCTAGTGAGATATGGGTTAAGACAGAAATACTTAAGATATCTCAAGTACCTACTATCCATCAGAAAGTATAGCTCTCTCTACCTCATAATGCAATTGAATTTGGTCAAGAAAAATATGTAGGTCACAGAAAGAAGAAAAATTATTACCTTAACAAATATCCTTCTAGTCAAAAGTTGGTGGAAGTCAGTCAGTCAGTCAGTCACTATATACTACTTACTAGGTGCCCACTTGTTGATTGCGGGTTGCCGGGGCTCCGGCTCGAAGTGCAGGAGTAGGAACGGGGTGGTTTTTAGTCAGTAAGAGTCTGACACTCCCTCCCGCCTCACCCAGGCGGGAGAAGTCATTGGATGATTTTCCCCCCTCAAAAAAAAAAAAGTTGCCCACTTGTTGATTTCATCCAAGGTTTAAGGTTTGTTACTATAGATTGTATAAACTATTACATAATTGCGAAAGCATTTAGTATGAGTTGTTGGAGTTTGAGCAAAGAGATTGTTTATGAAACAACAGCCATAAATTGTAATTACTAATCAGTTTACGTAGGTAGACTTCATTGTAAATCATACTTAATAAATCAAATAAATATGGAAATCTGCTGTTAACGTAGAAATGTTAAAGACAAGAAATATTAAAATAATTTTGTTGTATAATCTGTTTTAAAATTATCTGTGCTTTTTGTGAGTGAATCTTCACTTGTATTAAATCCTAGTAAATTATTCACGGTTCCAACATAGATGTAGCTGTAGCGGTGGTAGCACTGAAGTGGCCGCGATCGTGATTAATGACGTTAACGTAGCAGTGTGCAAGTGAGATTATTTGAGAATCAAAGTAAATCTGTAGGAACGCTCGCCACTCGCCATGCACTCACCAGTCATAGTTGATCCATTATACGATTGCTCATTGTTTGCGCAGGGTACGGGATCTACTTCGGCTTCGTGGCCGCGTTCGCCTGGCTCAACGTCATGTGCTTCGACATCTGGTGGACATTTGGGTAAGTTTTGTTAAGAATCAACACAAACATTTAGACTGGCTACAATGCAAATGACGTGTGAATTGAAGATTCATATATAAAATCTGTCTCATCGGGTCCCTCGGCACAACAGTTATGCACATTTACCGCGAACTCGTCCTTATTATACATATAATCGGCCATGTGCGTTGCGGTCATCACTTGTAGTGTGATCATACGCATCTGGAGTGCTATTACTATTGTAAAAATCAAACAAATAATTTCCTGCGATCAAAAATTTTAAACTTCTAATTTCAGATTGAGTACACGTCTAGGCTCAGCTAGCGAGTTTGTTTATATAATAACGTTTGTAGAAAATATTCGGACGAGTAATACGCCAGACACCGCGGTGCAACTAATTTTTCACTGTACAATACTATACTGAAATGTATCAAAGATAAAGAATCTAAGATTTCTTTTTGTTTTGTAACTAAACTGTAATTCATGCGCTGAAAGCTCATATTTTGTGAGATTGACAGAAAAATGAAATGAGAATTCAGATGAATGAAGTTGTTTACAGTGGAAATACTGATGTTATTCATTCGTGAAATGTGATTCTAAAAATAAGAGTTCATGAAATATTGAGTCGTGATAACAACTCAATCCATTCGCTTTAACAACGGATTTTGCGGATGTGTAATGTTGGTATCTGTGCACGCCGCGGTTTCAGTAGGAATACAAATGCTACATTGTATGACTAATAACTCCTTATAAGTTAAGACGTTACAGACTATTGTTACCGGGTATTTATGAATTTTAGTTTATATTTAATTCTTCTTTAGAAACGAAATGATTTGTTAGCACTTTAATGTCACCTTTGATTAAACAAATGCTACGAGTGTTGCCCGCAGTCGTTTGTCGCAATGTGGGTAAATGTTTGTTTGGTCTTTAGTTATCGATGAGTTTACACACCGGCTCTTTGATATTTGCACATGGCAAGAATCCCCGGGGCCACGTTAAGACGTTTAAAATAAATATACAAAATTAACAAATACCACAATGATCTAATGGAACTTAAACAATGTGCATATAATTATAGTAAATTATTTTTGTTTTCCTTGTCTATTAATCATTGGTACATATCAGTAACATTTTAGGTGATAAGCAGCACATTTTACGTAATCGGGTTTTAGGATGTGGATGATAAACGAGATAATACATTTATTATCACGAGAGGATGTGGAACATGAGTGAATCACACTTAAGTAATCTACTAATTTATGTTTATTCGAAGCACTAATATCAAAGTGCAGCTTAGCTCTAGGCTTTAGTTCTAGTGATCAGCTCCAGCTAAATTGCCTTTTAACGAAAAAAAATCTTTTTCGCAGAAATTATATTTTTGATGGAATTTTCTGATTAATCTAAAAATATATCTGAGCATACCTACCTAACTATAGATTACGCAATTAGGTAACAAACGCAAGATAATAATGGGGAAATCAAAGTGCTTACCAATTTTGTGGAGTCGCACGTGTATTGTTTTCATTATTTGATCACCAATCATCGAATGCTAGGAAATCCGTGACGTGTTCGTGTTTGCTTAAATAGTTCTGTTTTGGTCAACGTTTCTGAGTGTAGTTACTGATAGTGCGTGGGATGATAATGACATATCTAGGTAAAGTATACATTTTAGTTGCGTGATATCACCACCAGCCACCCCAGTATCCCACGCACTCGGGAGTCTGACCATGTCCGGGCGGGCACAAGATTAGAAATTATTCAGTGTTCCGAGATTGAGTACCTAGTTTACAGAAACCATTTTTTTGTGACGCTTTTGCAGTATCACCGAGTACATTTTAGCTAGGGCAAAAACTTGTTTCTTAATTTTTTGTGGTGTCTATTGTTCAATAATTAAATTGATCAGTATTTCCTAAGTGTACGTATTTATTATGTAGGTACCTAGTATTACTTGGAAAATAATTACCACCTTCGCTTAACATAATTCAAGATTAGTAAGATAGTATGAAACGAAATGACGTTTTCAATAAATATTGCAGTTTGCGTTTGTTATAAATTAATGTTTATCTGGCTTGTTGTTATGTATCGGAATGGCTGATTTATGAATACTTTATTTATTTAATAATTTATGTACACACAAACAGCACAGAGGATAACACATATACGAGTACACAAGTACATTATTGATAATTTGATGTATTGTACTTAATTGTACATACATTGTGCTGCAGCTAATTCAAATGATGAACAGACTTTAAATCAATAAAGGAATAATTTAATTACAGCTGATTTTGAGGCAATTCATAGATATTTTTAATCTTCTTTTATGAAGCGTCAATAATCAATTCTGAATAAATAAATATGGTGAGGTAAAACAATAGGTGCCGTAATTTTAGGCCTCCACTATTAAACGCTATACGGCTGGAATAAATATACACAGTGAGTAGGAAGCATAAACAATCTAAATGTTTATGAAATTGGCTTGATGATAACATTTACCAAATTGAAATAACCGTAAAAAATGTTACCAACCCAGCCACTCAGGTATTTGACAAAATGATTAGCGAATAACATCAAATTGTGTTTCGCGACAGAAGACATTAGTGACAGTCACGGTTATTTTTGCGAATTTCAACTAATTAGTGTTTATATAGGTGAAGTTAAAGCTTAATTTGATAGTTTCTAATGTGAGATTGAAAAGGTCGAGCGTGGAGGTTACGATTAGTACAATGTTAATGAAAACCGACAGGATAGGAAAACGCACTTTATGTGCGACCACTATGGGTAGGGCACTAATTAACGCGTCATCGACCACACCAACAAAATGCCATGAATTACAATATAACATACACTGAGCACTTTTTTCTTATTTGTTTTTCTGAAAGGGTAGGTAGATGTATTTAATACAATATATCATTTAAAAATTTTAAGATATGAGTTTAGTTACTTCGTTTGTCGAGGGTTTGCAAGCGCAACTCTCGAAAATGAGGTCTTAATTTTCATATTATTGAAATCATAAAAACTAAGTGCGTGCTGTGATGAGTCCCAAAAACCCTCGAAAGTCGAACCTATGGTTTATAGAAATTTTAGTACAAGACGGAATTATGTAGGTACAGTACAAACACAACAACACAGAAAGGTCGTGTCGCCCTTTTATTATTATCATCATTGAGCCGTATCATAATTACACTGAATAATCTCATGACGTCTTTTTTAAAAGATGCAAAGCTAGATAAGATTTACAGGAAAATCGTATGAAAACTGCGATTGTAATGTAACATAACATAACATCACGCTTTTTTATAAAAGCCATTAACATAGGTTCACATGTATTCGATGTACCTACTAATTATTTTTCACCAGTTTTCTTACGTGTCTAATGTAGATGAGATATATTGCCGTGATCTAACGTAACGGACACAACTACACGACCATAATACTTCAATGTTATTAGAATGAGCCCAATATTTATAGTTACATTATGACAACAAAACCAGAATGATTCAGTAACGGATCCCTCGATAAACGGTAGGTAGGTACACTTAACAATATTTTATTTAAAATATGCTCTGGCGAGATAACAATCATAAAGCATCCGTGTGGTAAATGTAACAACGCTTCCAGCATGTTTACAATTTCCTAGTTCAGTAGAAGTGTACATGATTACACGATTAGAACAAGCGTTATACACACATATAATGTGTCTGTACGCTATAATGAACTTATTATGTTCGAAGCTTCAGTTATCTCTGGATTAGTATTTATCTGCTGCTTATCGTATATTTTGTCACAGTACTTTGGCCTCGTGATTAGCTAGTCAATCCCCATGACCCAGCCGACTTAATGGGAGCAGTAAAAACCAATAAAGACCCCATAGGTACGTGTTATTAGCAACGTCACGTTCTATTACGACTACTATGTTTGCTGTAATAGCCATAAAAGTAATGGTAGGAACATTATTATTTTAACGACAAACTTTTTGTTTGTTCTTACTGATATAAACACAATTCAATGGCTTGTGCACTGAATTGTCGTAAGTGTGGCTACCGCTTAATATCTGAGGTTAGATTGACTATTCATTCAAAGCGATATTGGGTTTTCTTGAAATACGTAATTTCAAGATTTCCGATAATAGCATGGAGTATAAACCTTAGTAGACATTTCTTAAACACGGTTTATATTTAAAGTGGGATTTTTAAATGACTTCCTTGCCTACCCTTTCGAGGAATTACAGTCATGACGTTATATTTAAATTTTTCACTCACGATAATGTTGTAGCCGTTTAGTATATTGAAGTTCAAGTTCACAGAGATAAATAGTACCTACATATTAGAGTCAACTTCTCCGTAATGGATGTATGTCATTTTGAGAATCGTAAGATGTCACGTAAAAAGTATGATAATATTTGAAGAACTATTATATATATAAAGAACGTTGAATTATTATTTTTCGTGGAAATTAATTAATAGATTTTGTTGAGTAGAACTTAGGTACTACCTACTATAAAAACGTTTCACACCAAACAAGTAAATGTTAAAAACAAAATTTTGTTAACAAAATTAAACATTTGTCTGGTTAATTAACTTTAAAAAGAGATCATCATTTGTTGCCCTTGCCTTTGTTAAGTATATTGTTTACAATAATGATCTGTTGGTACCTTTGTATATGTTTTAATTGTCTATCTTTTGCCTTCTTTCTTCTTCATCCATCATTTCTTCAATTGTAAATACCTATCAATAATCCATTTAACTACACGTGTTTCATCACGAGATTATTGACGATATTTATTGGGTGTGTGTGATTTATATCGTTAAAAATAACACAGTATCTTGCAAACACGGCATTTTCCTTACACATCTTACCTCCTTATTGCAAAATTTTAAAATACATATTCTGTTTATTAGTAGTGTTTTGTTTATAATTTGTATTGATTTGTTTACCAGGAGTGTCCGCTCCGTTCAGCCGATGCGCAAAGCTAACACAGAGTTACGTCGGTTTCTCTGGTACTCCTTGTACGCGTGGAGTACAGCGGTCCTCCTCACTCTCGTCATGTTCATCTTCGACAAGTACCCGGTCTCCGACTACCTGGACGCCAACATGGGGGAAGGATTATGCTGGTTCGGAACTTGTAAGTAATCTTTCTCCAAATAAATGCTTGTTTCTAATGAATCGCCATGATTTCCGCGTCGGAATAGTTTATGAACCGGAAAATTATGACAGCTTTTACTCAGAAAAACGTACTGTTTCTATGGAAGCGAAAACAGGGCGGAATACATTGGTTGGTATCTATTAATTATAGTATTTTTAGGTCATCCAATAATATGCTTTGCTGTGGGTTATTGATCGCTATAATTGAGAACATAAAAATATTGGGGCAGTTGAAGTTCTAAGGAAACCTAAACAGATGATGAGCCAGGCCACCTGTATTTTAGACGAGTAATGACGTATTTCAAAATAAACACCTACATACCTCTGTAGTAAGTTTTAAGTAGGATGGACCGTACGTAACCAAAAAAATGTGTACTTTCCACCGATACACTACATTTCTTGTGAAATAAACAGAAATAACGTTTCGAAATTACATCTAATCTGCATACACTTGTTTCGCGTAATCCCAGTTTATTTTTGACTTGTTAGGTTTTACGTAATCACAATAACTAAAAATATCAAAGAACATCAATAAAATACAATAATATAACATTAGGTATGTACATCAGTGAAGTATAAATTTCATAATATCGACGCACGCTACGTACCAACATATTTTCCAACCAATATTAAACATTTGGTTAAGATTTACAAAGGCTCAAATAAAGATTTGTGGATGCAAAATTTATTTTTATGTGCCAAAAGTTATAGTTCATTGAGTAGTTATTTTATGTGAAATAATATCGTTCATCACGTCTGCAGACCACGAAAGGTGGCCCCGCGTGACTCACGTGGAATATTTAAGTACAAAATATTATGAACATTTCTTTCATAAGAACGTTTTGTTGCTGATGTATGTGTAGTTTCAGTAAACGCCCGCGCTTTTAAAGTAAACTGTCGGTCCAGTTCTGCGTACAATAAAAATAATAAACAAACCTATATCGTCATATTTTCTTCAAACTACACAGATTACACGGAATGCGTTTTTTAATTCATTCACCACCTTGATGTCTATATGAAAATTACAATTCTCATGCATTGTTTGAATCACTATCCGGAAGGATGCGATTGTTCTCAGTGTTATGACTACAATTTTCGTTTTATGAAAATCTAATGAAATAGTTGTGTATTTACTAATTCATTTCTCGATTTCCGAGTCGAACATTTTCAATGGCGCATGAATGAAGTTGTATACTTATTCTATTTCAATAGGCTAATGCTCCTTCCAGTGCATACGTTTTTAAAGTCATCTAAAAATTTATTTTTAACTTGCGTGTAAAGTATCCACTAGGTACTTATGCGTTTTAATTCTCGTGAATATTCGTGTGACATAAATGTCAATGTTCCACGTAACTTGCAGGCTAGGTCCACCGGCACCTACAGACACATTACAGTTCTAGTGATTTATGATTAACGCAGTTTTAATGGACAGCAAAGCTTTTTAGAAAATACCTTTTATTGTGAAAACTGTCTGGTATAGTTAATTTGTTTAATGCTAGTGACAAAACTACTTCAACTGAAGTAATGGACAAAATTTTTGTAGTTTTAAGTAATTAAAATTTCGTTAGGTAGTCATTTCATTATAATTTACGGTTCTTTGTTTCACTGTAGATAAGCTTTTATTGTCGAGTTATGATTAATAAAGTTATTTTTTAATTGAAATCACCAAAAGTGTTAAGACTTTTTCAGCAAGGAAAATAATTTTACATAATAGGCGCAAATATACATTACATTATGTTTAATGCATAAAACATTGTTACTTTTTAAAGGGACTTGAATTTTAAAGACAGAATTTCAACGATTTTATAACTCGACTGTAAGAAAGGTTTAGGTGTAGATTTTATATTAACGTAAACAAAATGTTTCTTCTGAAAGTAGGTATATTAAGACAATTCTCTCACTAGAACATATTTTCTATCTCTATCAATTTTCTCTACTGTTATAAATGATTGTATTTATTACAAATATTTGTACGCATAGAAATTGGGCCGACCAGACGACTTGCGACTAGTCTCGTCATAATTGGTACACGTATCTGTCTAATTGACAAGAGATGTATGTATGTAGGTAAGTAGGTGTTGAGTCATAGTCTCCGATATTGTTGGTCAGGGAACAACACGTTGGGGATCATTCATCTAGTCTAAGCTAAACTTTTAGTAATTGTTACCATTTCTACTAATATTATACATAACATCACGCCTTTTATCCCCGAAGGGGTAGGCAGAGGTGCACATTATGCCACTGTACAATGTAACACCCACTTTTCACTATTTATGTTATGAGTCCCATGTAATATTATTATAACTAATTATTATTAAAACTAATATTATAAAGAGACTTTTTTATTGTTTGTGTGTATTGCTCCGGCTCCGAAACTACTTGACTGATTTGAAAATTGATTTTTTTTTGGAAACTGTCTAATGTTAATAGGTATGTTACGGATAGAGTGGAAAGGTAGTTAAATATTGCAATGAAATATCTTTGCACGTTTTTATATTTAAATCAGAGCAAACGACGGGCCTGTTACATCATTATCTGCATAGATATTCGGGAAAAACCGGAGCAGTATTTATAGGCGACATCATGTATATATTACTTTGCTTCAGTTGAAACCATTCATGGGAATTTCCACCACATTTTTGAGAATTCGTTTCGTTGTCCAATTACCGCAAGATGTTAATTTTTTCTACAGTTCTTTATTGTGTAATTCACCATCAGACAATTTTGAGCCCAGTCTATAATAAATCTGCGTTTATGACAAAACAATGAAACCAGTATACAAATCGAAGGGATTGGCAGATTTGATTTTTTAAATTCTTTTTTGTAAGGGGGGAAAATCATCTATTGACTGCCTACCTAGGCATGAGGGAGGGAATTGGCAGAAGTGTAATGTAATGTATTAATTCATAACATCTTTAATTAGTTATTTATGGGTTCCATTCATAGAAAGCGAGCCTATTGACATAATATTGGGCAATTTCAGACGCCTTGTTAGAAATAACAAAAACTACAGACTTATTGATTCGGGAATCGAACGTAAGACCCCTTTTCTATCCTTTCTAAACACTGTTATAATTGACTATTCAACCTGCATCTCTAATTAAAATGTCCAATTGTTATCTGAATAAAATATATAATATATAAACAAGAATAACCACTTCGGTTTGCAGTCGAAAATAATCAAATGTATTGTTCTGAAAAGTTCAAATCATTCTCGTCACGTTGTTATGACGTAATTTGCGTGGTCCGACAACCAATAACTAAGCAGTCAAAACCATTTGTGAATTGCTATAACTTTTTTGTAGTGCACTTCAAATGCTCTTTATCATAATATCTAGATTCGATTTGACATGTACCTAGCTTTTACGATCATTGCAAATGTATTAGCAGTCATACAAGAATCTAAGATACTTATCATTGAAACAATTCCGCATTTTAAACAGGTTGCTACGCAGATTCTGGACGATTAAAGGACGAGTGTTTATGTTGGAAAAAACCATAGTGACATCTGATTATTGATGTGTAGGGTTTACCAGCAGTATTTAATAATTATCTGTAGTAATGGCTTGTATGTTACATTAGTACTGAAGCTGTTTAAATAGGAAATTGTTTCCTTTCATACTATATGCATATTCTCATAAGTGTTGAACACATGTTAGCATTAACAAGAACTGCCACAAAAGCAATGTATGATATAGAGATGGTTACGACAACCAATCCCATACTCAGATTCATTATCATTCATTATATTTATTTTATTTGATTATCACTCATACCTGTCCTTTAATTTTTTGGACTAGACAGTCAAAACTTAGTACCTAAGGAACTTAACTTAACTTAGTAACTTAACTTAACTTAACTTAACTTAACTTAGTACCTATATGCCATTAGTGTTAAAATAATATTAATGATTACAGATCAGAACGCGCGGAATGACTGGCCGCACTACATCTACTTTGTAATTCCCATGGGGCTTGTGACGTGCACCAACTTCGTACTCTGGGTGCTGACCGCTCGACACTGCGCGAGGGTCAAGTCCGAGGTTCATCGCCTCCAAGCCGGCTCCGTCGGTGACCGAGTCAAGAGACGATTCCGAGTCGACAGGGCAAAGTAAGTAACTTAACATAAATATCATTAATTCCTCGAAGAAGTGGATATTATTAAACACCTAAATTTAGTCAAACATGTTAAGTTTCTTGTCTCAAATAAACAGATTGGGTTCTGAAGCTTATGATGCCACCTGATCGGTAGTCTCGTTTGCAGTATTGAATTTGCATTTAATATTTTAGCCGATTCGGCATCGAAGTAAGAAGTATTTACTTTTCCGCAATATACTTTTTAACCGTGTCTCGTTTATTCAGTACGCTTTAGCCGTTTTGTTTTGTTACCGTTAAGTAAACGGTATGTTCGCTGGGTTTTTTTAACCAAACTCACAATTATTTTGCAAACCTTATTATCACATTGAGGTTTGTCACCTTTCACGAAATAATCTAGCTCTACTAATGTACGCCAATACAATACAAATATTTAATCGTTTCTCGTCTGTCTTTATTATTTTAAAACCGCGAAAACTTCATTACAATTCGTTAATTTGAAAGCATATTTTTGGGTTTATTGATTCTGTCTGTGGAATGGAGATTAGAAATCCCAAGAGTTCGATATTTTTTATTACTAAGAACCCAAAAGGGTTCAACGTCCGTATAAAGTACTGTTAGGGGAATTCGTAGAATATTTTGAATTTGACAAAATTGCATTGTAGTACGGCGTCTGAGTTTGTATCCAGTCACTACTAACCTTCAGGCAAATATAAACTTAGGTATAGTTTATATTTTAAAATTTAAGTCCACAAGTCGGTTTCATTCAAAACCACCAAAGAAGTATGAATGAACCAATGCTCTATTAATACTACCTCAAGGTTTGTATTGACCTGATACATTTACGCAATTCGTTACAACCCACGGAGCATGAGAGTTGAGATCGTTGGCGAATAATTTGATCGTTTGTTTACAAGTCTACCTGTAAAAAGTTTTGTATAGACAAGTTGACACTTCCGCAGATTATAATCTTTATGCAGTTAGTAGTTAAATGTAAAATTACATAATTTGATCGTTTGTTTACAAGTCTACCTGTAAAAAGTTTTGTATAGACAAGTTGACACTTCCGCAGATTATAATCTTTATGCAGTTAGTAGTTAAATGTAAAATTACATTATGCTTAGTGCTTTAACTAAATGAGGATGTAATGCGTTTAAGCGTGATTAATAAATGAGAACGGTCGGCGGACAATTGTTTGACGTCACGAGGAGCAATTAACTCTGCATTGAGTAATGACATGGTCTTAGTAGTTCAATATTTTTGTTCAATATGATGATATTTCTTCAGTTTTAAACTCAAGAATATACATCAGTTAGTAAACATGTGTATATGTGTAATATTTGGTAGGTGTAGTCTCAATCGGACTAAATGGTACTCATTGCCATAAAGAGTAACTAAAAATACACAGATGATTTACTTTATTAATTCAATGTGTGCACACACTGCTGCTATTGGTGTTTCGAAATCAGGACCTCCACTTGCACTTTTTTCATACGGTATAATTGTTCAAGTTCTTATATTTGATCGCATTTGTTGAACTCAGTTTACAACACCACAAACCAGGGACATTTAGCTAGCAACTTTACCCTCATTCTATTTTCTACCATCCAATTGCATTGTAATGCCATTTAATACACATTATCCATCAGACCTGGCCTTCGCTAATGGCAGTTTAATATATGATGTTTGCGAGCTTGACATATTTTAATTAGGACTCTAGGGACAAAGTGCATTGTGAAATGGTTTATAACAAGGCTGGGACGAGGTCTTCTTTATATAATTAATTAAAATAATGTTATTAATATAGAAGCTAATAGGTATTGCCTTGTTAGTTGACGGTTCATAAATCTGGGTGTGATGTATACCTATGTGAAATTGTACGTTTGTAATCACGATGCAGGATTTTTTTAGTGTGGGCCCTACACTAAACTTTTCTCTTGTGGGGCAACGCTTCAGAAGGATTCCTGAATGTCGAGTTTCGTAATATGCTCGTGTATACGATGAACATTGCGATGGGATCAAGTAACAGGACTGATTTGGATAACATTTGGCGCATAGATAGATTATAGTCTGATATAATATATGGAGTAATTATCATGCCGAGAACGCATGTACGCGGGTGAAGCCGCTGGCAAAAGCAAGTAACATCTAATTACGTGGATGGTAAATATTGTTAAAGTCAAAGTCAAAATCATTTATTTCAATTAGACCAGAAAGGTACTTTTGAACATTGACAATGTTATTAGGTGTAATATCTTTTCATTATACCCTTTCAGTACCTAATATGTACCAACCTACGGGATAAACAATACGGGATAATAACATATGTCGATGGTATTTGTTCAATAATAGGTACAGTATAGGGTGTTCATGCAAGCAGACTTGCATTATTATCAAAAGATATATATTATATCGCAAATATTTATTGTGTTAATAAGCACGTGCTAAGTAAAGTCATGAGAAATATGTCTTAAGTAAATACTTATAATATGTTGCTTGTTAAATCAATATTAGAAGTAATGGATGTTGAAATAACCATAATCTCAATACATAATGAAATATTTACTTCCAGTTGTGCAACAATGTCTAGATCATTTTTATATTTAATTGTATAATTCTTATTATTTGTTTTTTTGAACTCCCCGTATACTAATAATAAGCTACGGGCTTACGCAATAATTTCATTAACTATTATCTATATGATTCGGCCGTGTCATTTCTGTTATGGCTGTAGCTAGGTACGTATAGGAAGGCAATTAATTAACGCGGCGGCTAGCCAACCAATTCTTAATAAAGCTTTCAATAAGAACAATATTGTTGCATATTTTGGGTGTTTTGGACGTCATATTGGTACTTCCACTTAAAAATTACTCAAGTGGGAAAACAATTGTATTGTAACATTCCTAAAGCAGTTTTTGAAAAAAAAAATTCATACCATTTCTCTTCAAAATGCTTTAAGAAATAACTACCTTGTGCCAGCGGCTACGCTTACGTTCCTGTGGGATAAAAGTTAGCCTATAATATATAGCCTAACTTCCAGACTATAATCTACCTCAGTTCAAAATTTGACCCGATCCTTTCAGCCGTTTTGCCGTTATTGAGTAACAACTATACACACTTCTTTTCGATCGCTTGCTTCATTTCTGAAGGTCGTGCCCCTGAAAGGCTTTCATTGCTCTCTGTGTTATTTCCCTCCATCTTGTCCTGTTTTCGGCTTCTCTCAGGACTTTCGTAACAGAAAGTCCAGTATAGTTGGCAACTTGGTCACACCATCGGCTAGGTGATCGGCCACGTGGTTTTTTTTCCTTCCACCTTACCAATAACAACCAATTTGTCGAGGTTATCTGACTGGCGGCGGGCAATGTGACCGAAATATCCAAGCATTCGCTGGTAACATACGGTCGACAGTCTAGTCTTTAGAGGTATATTGAGCTGTTCTAGGATTGACCTATTTGTTCTTCTGGCAGTCAGTGGTATCCGGAGCATTCTTCGCCAACACCACATTTCGAGAGCATCTATCTTTGTGCGATCTAAGGCTCTAACAGTCCACGACTCTGCACCATAGAGGAAGATAGGGAAGACCAATGTCTGAACTAGTCTCTTTTTGGTGTATATTAATATTTGGTGTAATATACACACAAACTCACTGAAATCTTTCAAATTTATAACATTAGTAAGATTTCACTGCATAAATAATTTTCCCTTTTATCAACGTACGATACTGACCATTGCCTCTGTCTGTGCTTACCAACCGACATTAACTAAGTAAATTCGGATTTTCCAAAGAACAGGTAAATTGTAAACAAATACATTGTCGTTAAAGACAGGGAATATTTTTTATTGGAAGTATTTAATATTGTGCGCGTAATTTCCGTATCGATCTGTATTCAATAAGAATATGGAAGTAGGTCTTCTTTAATTAAAAACTACTTTTGTTATATAAGTCTTATGTTCAAATACTCAAACGTCACTCAATTTTAAGTCGCGCTTAAGTATACCTCTAGTTCTGTCACTATAAATTCTTTGTAAACTGACAGAGATGGCACGATATTTAAATACAACTTAAAATTGAGTAGCCTTTCAGTATTCGGGCTTTAACAGAATACATTGAATTGACTATAAGTTTCATTGCCAATTACATTTAGAGCTTAAACGGACATTATATTTATATTGTGTAAGATTATTACATTTTTGGTTTCTTCATCGATAAAGTAGCCATGAGTTGAGTAAGTACAAGGTAATAACCCTGCTTCCCCGATTGAACAAAATATTTTTGAAAATTCTCTATTTACTTTTGTGAAATTCGATACATGAGGAAGAACCCTTCTGTGGTTCGAAACTACTAGAGCTTTTCTCAGTATGTTCACGTGTGTAAAAGTGCTCCCACAAAGCAGTTGTATAACGTTATATCTGGTTATATCATATTGTGTAACATGATAACATTTTGTAACATACTCTACAACATGTCAAGTTACTACTACAAATTTGTTGTAATTTATTTAAAAACGAATGTTAACTCCATCTCAAACGTTATAAAACTGCTGTGCGGGAGCACCTCAACTCGCGATTTTTAGTTAATTTAGTATGTCTCTCATTATTCTCTATTATAAAAACAATTTACCTTTGTATTGAAGAATGGACTTGTAGATCTTTGTCAACGTATTCGGGGAAGAACTGGCGCTATTTTTAATGGATGTTAATTTTAATTAGGTACAGTCACTTCTAAATGTGATAACGCAGTTTCTTTAAATAGTATTTCTGCATATCATGGGACATAATGACTTGTATCATTTGTTTTTTTATAAATGTTTATTGAAGTTTGTTTCTTGTTTGATCGACGTTGACTATCATATTTTTATAAGGATTCTTTGAATCTAAAATTGTTTTTATTGAATTCTTACAGAGTTTATTTGTTTCTCCGAATTTCTTTACTTATCATAACAAAGTAACAGTGTTCATATCTAAACAGAAGACAATGACACACAAGGAATCCATTACAATCTACTAAGTGATAAATGGGCACTTTACATGCAGTTCATTACGTGTCGAACTACAAACAATGTTACTATTATACGCATTTAATGTCTCCTCATTCAATTAAAAAGCTATAAATTGCAACATTTTAGGAGGATGATATCAAGCCTGAGTAGTTAAATTGAAAAACAATTGGCGCGGTCAGGATTTGAAGTTATGACCTTGAACTTCCCTCGTTTAAACGGCATTATTCAGCCACCTTATACAAAAGACACTCGTAAAAACTTCTTTTCTCAATTTAAGTCCCACGGTTTTTTAGATGAGGCATCCGGCGACTTGTAAAATACCACGGCGCCCATCTAATACCTCTATAAAATTCTCGTGTCACAGTTTTCGTTGCCATACTCCTCCGAAACAGCTTGACCGATTTTGATGAAATTTTTTGTGCTCATCCGGTATCTATGACAATCGGCTAACATCTATTTTTCATCCCACTAAATGTTAGGGGTAGTCCACCCCTAGATTTTTTTATTTTTTAGACAAAATTTTTAATTTCTATTTTTTATGATACAACATACAAAAATACATACAATCCTCAATTTTCACCCTTCTACGAAATTATCTATATGGCAAAACAACGTTTGCCGGGTCAGCTAGTTTCCCTATAAACTCCTAAGGGGTGGGTCGCCAGTAAAACATAAAAGTCCCGTCACATAAAATAGACAATCGATTTAGCCCTGAATAGATACTGATAGAGTAACTATTTGTAGATGTCGTAAACTTTGATTTAAGACTTGACCAACGTTTACTAAAAGTATAGACACATTGACATCCATAGGTACATAGAGGTACAATAATATGACAAAAATAATATATAACAACACTGCAAATATTAATACGCGATGACTATGTATTACGTTAACTGGAATGATACAGTGTAGATATACGAATATCAGGCGAACTGCACTGTTAGCAGCTAGATGATCTTATACATAATGTATACTATATTCTTACGAATAAAGTTAAGTTGTAACAATAGTAATAAAATGTTATATAATAGGTACGTTAAAAATATGTAATTTGTGTCCACAGGTACGTGTTGACCGGTAAACTCTGGATAGTGATGGGTGCCGGCTGGATCTCCGAGCTAATGTCCACGATAGTATCACAGCCGTGGTGGTTGTGGACCATCATCGACCTAATCAACGAGCTCCAAGGAGTTTTTATCTTCCTCATTCTGGTTATGAAACCCAAACTTTATTATCTCATCAGAAAGAGGCTAGGTAAGTTAGATAGTCATATTTTTGTTGGTTGGCCCTATAGCGATCCAAGTGTCTCAAGTAATGTACTCATAAAACTTATTTTATGACTGTATTGAATACAAATAGTGAATGAGGTAATCACAAACGAATAACAAAGATATTAAACTACCGTTTTACGCGATTACTTTGTTATAAAAATGTCTAAAGGTAGTTAAGGATTCAATCATTGTGCATTGTGCATACACGTGTTTTCTACAACAATCAATCGATACTACAAACGATGAATGCCAAATATATTTATCATAATTTATTTCAGTATTGTGATTAGCTGCTGTTATCAATATTCAAAGAATTATTTGTCTCAAGTGTGTGACTCAAATTCGACAAATTGATAACGTGTTATTTTTCGTGCACCAATTTCACAATATGTGAGAGATGATTTTATTGTTTTCAGGTTGTTCATCGATACCGAATGACACAAGTATATATTAGACAAATTAATTAATTTTGAACGTTGTATTGTTCTGTTGCCTAATGTTCACTTTTCATTCTAACTTAACACCACTTTCAACGTGGTCCCGCCTAGCTCGCTGTGATGAATTCGCTTAATTAACACACACTGAGCTAACATTACAAGTGTGATTAGGTTATATCTACCTATATGCATTGTTGTTTTATAATTTATGAATTAATTTAGATAGCGTTATCTACTTAATCCGTCCCTTATGTCTAATTAATAACCTTCCAAAGTGCACCCTGTATTATTGTCAACACGACATCGTTTTTGTTTTACAAAATTACATGGTGTTACAAAATATGCACGAATAATTTCGTTCGTGAAGTAAACCTAGAAATATCTAATGATCTATTAAATTCACAGTGAATTGTAAATGTGTTATTCCAGCATTAAATGCATAAAATGATATAATTAACACCATGTATGCATCCTTTCTCAAAAATCTTTCAATTATTTTCACAGAGAGAACCAAGACGTAAGGTTCTATCTACACAATTATTCTTTTTTGTTGTGTGATTTGACTTTCGATTTGCTTCCTTCTAAAATATATAGCCAGTACCTTTCTTGTACATAAAATCCATAATTTTTATTATTCAAACCATTACAAGGCTTTGATTGTAATGGTTTTGTCTTTACGACAGTTTCACATTTCATACTATGAGCTATTTTGAATTAAAAAATGGAGATGTTTGTTATTAAACTTTTTAATAAGGAACGATCGACTGAAAGACGCGTATTAAAGACTTTTTAACTTTAGTCCCTCATTTAAAAAGAGATTTCATCCGCTCATAATGATATGTTTGGTGCTATTAGTGACTAATATTTTACTAATATATAACAGGATTGGAGAAGCCAGATGCTCAGAAGAACGGTACATCATCGTCAGCACGGACGTCTTCCACGTTCCTGTCTCGAGCGCTCAGCACTGACGAGCGCACCAACACGCGGCTCTCTCTACAGAACAATGTCAAGCAGCCCTAACTGTGTGGAGTCACCCTAAATCTTTGCGTATTCAGGTTACTGTGGCCGAAATTATTAAACATGCGTTACATAACTTTATTAATTTTTTGATAGTTATAATAAGTGGAAAAATTGCTATATATAAGACTTCAGGGAAAAATGTACTTGGGATTTTACAATTTTAAAAGAAGCAACTGTTGAAGCTATTTAATTTTGTTTCGGCCACAGCCTGTATATATTATCCGACACAATAATTTGCTTCTGATAGCATGTACTTGTTGGCATCGAATCACCGTCTACATTTTAATATTTTTTCAAAATTATATTAATATTGATCTAGTCATAGATTAAGTGATTATTAAAGTGTCATCGTTCATTTTGTGGACTTGATATGTTTTGGATATGCCTTGGTTGTATGAATGAGAGGCTCTAAAGTCGAACATAAAAATATGATTGTGAGTGAAGTGCCTATGCGAACATGGAGGCTGTTTTGAACAAATCTTGAGTTTTGATTACACATTATACAATATAACTGTTAGTTTTTAAGTATACTGTCTTATTCCATAACTATATAAATGTACATACATAGGTGCGTTAGGTGATTAATAGACAATACGCACATTGTTGATCCAAGTGGAACCTTGGAAAAGTATTGATTTAGGTCCTCACTCGTTTATCTACCTTCCATAGTTTGCCGTTTTAATCATATTAATATTGTTAACGCTTTTTAGATTGTTAAATGAAATATTTATAAGGATCGAGTCATCTACCTCGACTTGTGCATTGACGACCAATATAAACATAAAAAAGGAAGACTTCAAGACTAATTTTAGTAAACAAAACAATTTTGATATTAGTATAATTAAATTTTAACCGGTAATAAATGAGTGATGACTTATTTTCTTATGCAAAGATAAATCTTCAAAAGCTTTGTTGGGATCTGTGATGGAAGTACTTGGATTTGAAATTAATGTCTAATGAAATCAGCTTTTTTCTATGTTAAGATGTTACGGTGCTATACAATAATAATAAATTTGATTGCATTTTTACCAACTTTTTGTGCCTATGTAAATGAATGTGCTGAAGGTAGATTGAATATTCCAGAAACCTTCTATTTAAGCATATAAGCGCACGTTTGTTTATTTGATGGAATTTTAACATGTTAATTTTATTAATCTACCGTCTACACTCGACACTGGCAATATGGTCGACAACACCGTTTTGGAGACTTGGTTGCCAAAGAAGAAAAAAAAAATATTATTTTAGTCAATTTACATTAGTATTTTTTGCACCATTACCATGTTTGTTTATTTTTTACCTAGCAGATTACTAAAGTATTTCTTTAATAAAACAGTATTTCGTTTATATAATAGTACATAGTACTATTGTAATGTAAGATAATGTTACGAAGCTGAGTCCTGTGTAATTTCGCAAATGCTAATGCAATTTGTTTTAGTCGTATTTTTCGTTTTTGCAAAAACAGGCCTCTAAAGTATTATTTTTATGACTTATGGTTTCTGACAGCGTTCGTTAAGACGTTTTTCACAAATAAAACTAGTCTCTAAATCAAAAGAAAAGTATTTTACTTACATTGGATCCCCATTGTGATCAGCTTTGGAAGAACGCTGTGTGACGCTCTCTGACTGAATATTTGAAAATTGAATGAAAAATAATTTGATAATAGTTTTATGACAGCTATATAAAGAATGTTTGTACGTATTGAAATATAATTTTAAGTCTACATTTTCTACATAACCACGTTTATCCTAAGATCATCTCATCGTTAGATTAAATATAAGTTTTATATGTTACACAAATCCAATATATGTGCAGCCAATATTATGTTCCACAATGTACCTTCAGACCACCTAGTTTTAATGGTTATATGCATAATAATTAAATATAAGATTAGATAAAACACTTAGAATGTATAACGCCTTCACGAATCTATATTTTTAATTAGAATAAAAAAATGGATTAGGAAAAGACGAAAATATAAAAACATTCTTCATTCCAATATTTTATTTTTATTTATTTGTTCGGAAAATTCTAACTTGGAATTAACTCCTTTTGGGACGAAAAAAAAATGTAACTAGTGAGTGAACATAACATTATATAACATAACATCACGCCTTTTATCCCCGGTAGAGGTGCACATTATGCCACTGTACAATAACACCCACTTTTCACTACTTATGCTATGAGTCCCATGTAATAGGGGGTTAGCCTATTGCCATATACCGGGCACAATTCCAGACTTCGTGCTACTACTGAGAATTTTTTGAAACCCAGTAATACTTTGCCCGACCCGGGAATCGAACCCGAGACCCCTTGCCCGGCAGTGGCACTTGCGACCACTCGGCCAACGAGGCAGTCTAACTAGAGAGTCCAAACTATTCTTAGACTTTATGGTCTAATGCTATGTTATTGAACCTTTTTCTTTTTTAGTTTTTGGAGCTAAATATTTCTTTTTAAGCGGCCAGTATTATTAGTTTTACAAACTTACGTAACGTTTTATGAGGCTGTTTGGTCTAGAATTTATTGGTCTGTGTCTGTGCGTAGTTTATGACAATAACCGTGACCTATAATAATGGTATGAGCGGATTGTTTACTCAGAGATTGAATGTGAACTGTCTGGGATTCACGCCAAAAACAAATGGTGACTGGCCATGGTTCTCCCTCCCATTTTCGTTCACACAATATTGTTCTAATAAGAAATTATATAGCTCAAGAGAGAATATTTTGTAAGTTGATGTTTCAGGCGGGAAAACAATTAATACTAAAAATAAACGTACAACAATCGAATGTCTTTGTAAATATTTTATTGCTTTTATACTTTTTTCGATAATTTCATCATGATATTTGAAACAATTATTTTTTATATTACATAATATTATAATTTTTTATTAATAGTGTAGAAAACAGACATTGTTGATTTTACAATAACAGTAAATAGTATTAAATTTAATAGTAGAATAATACTTCGTGATAAGCGATGTCTGTTTAGTTATAACAACTTTAGGTTCAATTACGGTAATGTGGTATTATTACAAAAATAAATTGGTCCCACAGTTCACTCTAAAATAATTGAATTCCACGATGCATATAAGTACTTACATAAAAATGTGACTTGGGGTGTTATTTACAAATGATACTATACAAAACTAATCAGTACGTAGATATCCATACGTACATTATAAGGTGAAGAAACATTTTTACACATAATATACAGACTACCTAATTACCTAAAATACATATCGACAATGAGCAATGGATATGCTGCATTGAGCCTTACATAAAGTAATTAATAATTGTTTGTACCGAATAACATTAACATTCGTTCTGATACCTAAACTAAATCGTTTTCATAAATAATAGCAATACTGATGATCACTATGCAAAATAAAACCTATAGGAATAAAGTAGACAAAGTTCTTATAAGTTAAATATGTTCTTACAGCGGTAATATTTCATAGTAAAACTTCACTAGCGAGGTTTTATATAACACCAAATAATTAAGTATACACCTTTATCACATGAACGTTATACAACTACTATATCTTAAACTAAACCCTCTCTAAGTACCTAATTCTTGTAAGAAACAATATCTTCAAAGTGGTGTAAATTGCTTTAGAAATTATTTTACTGGTCCTTTATATTTACGATAGCAGTGTACAATGAATATAAAAGATATTTATAAAATATCAACTTTTTGTATTTAGGTATACCTCGACTTCACTGAGTTAAGTACTATGTCTTGCTCAACATAAAATATTAAAAAAAATATGCAAGTTTAATATAAACGTTTAACGAAAATAACTTTACTTCTCTGTAACTGAAAAGCATCTCTAGGCAATTTATATATTCGTAGGTTCTCTGTACCAATTTCGTAAATGAAGATGAAACCGGACTACACGGCTGTACACATGTTGTGTTATGCTAATGCACAGACAGGCATTTGAATATCTTTCGAACAAAATGACTCACGTCGTTGTAGCGCGCATCCATTACAGAACGGCTTCGTGTGAGCGTCGTCTTACTAAATCCCTGTATCAATAACTTATACGAGACCATTAAGCAGCTCATAGTAAACGTAGGGTCGAACAAGGTCGCAAATGGAATGGCAGCAGTGATCGAAGTGTTGTAGAAGTTATGGCAGTCAAGAGCTGTTGTGTCCGGGCTGCACAGTGATGGGCGCTGGAGTGCTGCTGGCCACCGCCGGCCGGGCCTTCGGGCTGCTCGGCCGCGAGTATTCCGCCTCCGCCTCCGCGTCGCGCTCCGCCACCTCCTCCTCGTCGATAATAGATATGTCGCGAATAGACGGCCGGTGGGATCGACGCCAACCTGTATAAAAAATATTCACACGTTACATACATGAACAAAAGACATACCTGTATAAAGACGAACACAAACAGGAAAATTAGTGCCTATAAAACTCGGCCGCGTACATAGCTACGTACATATACAGCTTGTCAAGAACAAGGTTTAGTCATGATCTCTTGTGTCTATCGCGCATACATACGTTGAATCGTTAGATAAATAAGGTCGAAGTTTATCCGACCACTATTTTGTGAGTATTGTGTATGTGATGTTGGTTTCCAGTAATCATTAAAATGTTGAGAATAGTGCACGGACCCTATACAGCTGTATTAGTGTTAGTATTATGCAGTGGCATTTGTGGATTGAAAATTAACAGAAATGAAGTGAGTGACAATTCTCAACGCGATAATTTGGACATTGTGTCACCTCAACTTGTGGAGCCATTAATAGATGACGAAAATGATTTGGAAGTTGCAGCAGAAAACGACAACGGCTTATTTTTAACAGGCGAAGAGTACCGCGATCATAATGAAGGTTTAGTCAAGAAAACTACTAATGGAGCAGCAGATGACGTAATCAAACGGCATAGACGGCAAGCAGCTCACAGTTACACACCGCTATATCCACAGCTTCCATCAGGGTCCCGTACAATCCGTATCAACAGCAACCTGGTTATAATCCCTATTCTCCAAATCCTCAACAGCCTAGTTACAATCCATATACTCAAAATCCAAATCAGCAACCGACAAGTTATAATCCCTATACTCCAAACCCAAATCAGCATCCTCCAGGTTACAATCCATACACTCCAAATCCTAATCAATACCCAGGTTATAATTCATCAAGCCTAAACCCTTACCAAAAGCCTTCACAATGGAATCCGAACAGTTACAATTCTTCAAGACCAGGTACTTATAACCCTACTCCAAGTCCTTATAATCCGTCAGGTCAAAATCCGTACAATCCTCATTCTAATTACCCATTTTCTAATACTTCAACTGCAGGTTATCCGTACAAACCACCGTATGGGCAACATCCTCTCCAAAATCAAACATTCAATTCTTCACCGTACCCAGGTTATAGACCACCAAATTCTACTTACTCCACTCCTTTAGCTCCTTATAACACTCGTCCAGGGCAAAACGTATACAACTCATCATACCCAGGTCAATTGCCTTACAACAATAATTATCCTTCATCCGGAAATGTACACCCAGTCCAGCCGTACAATTCGAGTGGTCAACGTCCACCGTACTCGAGTCCCGGTCAGTATCCTCCTTATAATAACTCTTCTCCACTACCCATGCAGCCTAACGGCTCTCCTTACGGACCAACTCCATACAATAATAATAATTACAATCCTTACAATCCTACTGCTCCCAGCTACCCTTCTCAAAATCCAGGCCAAAATAATTTCTTCTATTCTCAAAAAAATAATACTGCGTATGATCCTCGTAGAGTGCCACCGCAAAACTTTTCTTATCATTAAACGTGTATTAATTTGTAAACATTTTTAACATTTATCGTTGTACTACCTAATTATAACATTTTTAATCTTTGCTTGTTAGTTTATCGTGCTATTTTGATTCTTATATGTATACATACATTAAATGATTTGTATAATAAAACATGTTCGTTATTTTATGTTGCAATTATCGTATAGTAAATGGAATAGAAGGCATTGAATGGGCTTTATATGTAGTGTCATAGTTGTTTATCCACATATTTTTGTTAGCGACTCATCTTTGTAATTATGGTCACACTGAGAACTTAGCAAGGTTATACCTATGTGTTAAACGAAGTAAAGTGGAAAAATAAATCTTACCTTCCAAGACAGGTGGTTTAGTTGTTCTCGAGAGTAGTTTGGGTCCAGTGAGCGTTATGACGATGGCTCCGATGGGTGCGGTGATCACGATCGACATGATACACACTGTAATGACAGTCTCTGCGTACTCTATCATCACTGGGTCGGGCTCTCCGCCGGCCATTTTACGCACTTCATCCAAAGCAACTGGTCCTAAAGCGGCCTGAAGGAAGAACACTTCGTTTACAAGATTGGTCATAATCGAAAACATTCAGCCTATACATAACATGCAGACATACACTTATGGCTAGTTATGGCACCAGTTCAAGCGTTAGAACTTAGAATACAATCAGAAAAGTAAGTGAATTTAGAGGGACATAGTTTAAGTTATGGCACAATATAAAAGCAATCTATTATTATTTGACCTTAGTAGGGATTCGTGTTATTGTCTTTACCTGTACTGTAGCTTTGGCCATCCAGGCGAGACCGACGAAGATCTTCTCCTTCATGTTGAGGTTGCTGCGGACGGCACAGGTGCTAGTCACGATGGCACGGAGCACCGCACACGTCACCAATATACCTCCACCAATCAATACCAAGTGGGGTTCCAGGTCTGCGATCTGAAAGTAAATTAATTTTCGGCTCAGTATTATATCATTTTCGCTTTTTATGTAAAGATAGTTTATTGTAATAACTACTTTATACCAGTTTGTTATGAGTCCGACTTAATAAAGTCCAAGGCTATTTTTTGGTTGTTGGAAGGGTATTCTTTGCTATTACAGAGTTTCAAAATCGAAAGGCTTAATATTACCTTTGATTGACCCAGAAATGTAATTAGGCATCTTTTACTAAGCGGTCACACTAGAACCCTAGATCAATGAAGCAGTCTTTCACAGACACAAAATTCCTTAAACTTAATATAGACCAGTAGTTTTTTTTTTGTACATAAGACTACTTACAACAACTTGAGCACCAGTTACAGCGAAGAGCATAGGTTCGAAGAACATCCAGAAAATTTCGAAGGCAGTGGCCACCGGGTTGTCTTCCAGCTCCCAGCCAAGATCTGTCCAGTTCTTGCAAGCCACGAACGCGAACGCGATCACCGCCAATGGACCTGAAGTAATGGTGATAATAATAAGTATATTATCATAGAAATAATATAAGTACTACATCAGTTCTATATCTAAATGATAACAATAAATCTGTAAGGGCTGATTTTTCCAACGGTAGATAAATTCGAACTAAGAAATAACTTGACAATTCTTCCATACTTAAAACTTTCAAATGTCAATTTTGTTGTACAGTTAAAAAATAACTGATTATTGAAAAATCGGCTATATCTTTTTTCTTTTTTTTATGGTATAGGAGGCAAACGAGCATACAGATCACCTGATGGTAAGCGATCAGTGCCGCCCCTGGACACCCGCAACGCCAGAGGAGCCACAGGTGCGTTGCCGGCCTTTTAAAAAGGAATACGCTCTTTTTTTGAAGGTTTGAATGTCGTATCGGTTCGGAAATACCGCCGACGACAGATCATTCCACGGTTTTGCTGTGCGAGGCAGAAAGCAACGTGAGAAGCGCACAGTTGTGGCCTGCCAACCATCTATATGGTGCGGATGCATATGCTGTCGTGACGATCGATGGCGAAAAGATGAGAAAATAAGATAATCTATATATATAAAAGAAAGTCGTGTTAGTTACACTATTTATAACTCAAGAACGCCTCAATCGATTTAGATGAAAATTGGCAGGGAGGTAGCTTAGAACCAGGAGACGGACATAGGATACTTTTTATAGAATACTTTTTTTTACTTTTTACCGAAAATCACGAACGGGAACGGAGGGAAAATGGGATTGCGCGTACGAAGTCGCGGGCAGAAGCTAGTCAATAATAAAAAAACATGGAGCACATATAGCACGTAAAACATATCTGATTGTATTTAATCTGTAGCGGCTATAAGAAACTAGGTATCTACACAAAGTAAGAAAATAAAAGTACTTTTCTATTCAAATATCTTTGTATAACAAACCGATTGTTTATAAAATAAAATGAAAAACTATTTTTATGGCTAGAATCCAAAAACAATTTAGAATCGTCACACGATCCGAGATTATATCACCATAACAGTCTAAACATGTAAAGATCTATTAGCTTTAGGCTTCAATAATTACTAGACACATGTATCATAACGCTAAACAGATAATGACTAGTATTTAACAGATAGAATAAATATAAATCATTCCAGTGCACTAAGCAACAAGTAGGTACGAATAACAACAAAGCTAAACCAATGAACACACGAAGTCATGTGATGTAAACAAGTAAATATTAAACAGTGGACCAAATAAATCATGCGCATGACACCCTTTACCAATTCACATTGTTTCCTTGACATTATCAGTTGTCAACACCGCCATTGACATATAACAAGGCATTGTTCGGTGAAAGCCAAGTTACCGTGCTCCGCGAAAACAATCATCCGCAGTTGTTGACTATAGTTTTTACAATTACTCAGTTAATACGAGCAACGTGCTCCTCTTTACGTGTTTGTAAATTCTGCGGAATATTCTGTTGTGTTTTATATGGAGGGAATCCATGTTGGTTTACTGTATGAGTGTCTGTTCCGTACTGTATTTTTTCTTTAAATTAATATTATGATTGCAAAAGTTTGTATTACACAAAGTACGCAATTATAGTACAAAGGCATCTTTTTATCTCGTTCAAATGTACAGTTTCTGTAGGACATCAACATGGACTACGATACAACTACTTACATTATTTCCCTTCATTTGTTTTAATAAATTGAAAATTATTTTTCTTTTGAGGAGATAATGTATGAAGCGCCTAAAGCATTTCGCGAGCATTTGTATAAGTAAACAACTTAAATTCACTAGGCGTAATAGCACTGTACCAATTTTAATAAACTCTTTTGAAGTTAACATTAATTGCAATTTCTTGGTAAATTTGTAGATGTTATGCTTTTGTCTTGGCTATGATAAATAGTGGAAAATTTAAATATAGATAACAAAAGGTCTACTAACCAGCACCACCCCATCCAATTTCCTCAGAGCCGAGCACCATCATCAGTCCACCAGCCAGCAGTAAGATAACTCGTAGGGGCACCAAGAAGGCGTCATTGCGCTCCGGAACGAACTTTACTAGGTATCCGCATAATACTCCCAGCACTATACCACCGATCACACTCAGTGGACCCTGGAAAAGAATAGGAATGGATTTAATAAGTGCAAACAGAGTGCATGATATTTTTTTAAAAGTAACGACAGAATGGGATGAATAGAATTGAAGGGGCGAATAGATTTTTTTAATATATTTGATGGGCCGACGTTTGACCACTATCTCGCCTGGTGGTAAGCGATGATGCGATGTACGATGGAGAACGTCGTCCCATAAGAAACCTATTCACTTGGGCCTTGAAGACACTCAGGAAATACAGACTCTGGCAAAGAATCCCACTCTTTAGCACAAGGAAGCTTGATGCGAAGCGCCTCGTGCGTGTGAGTGGGATATCTACCACAAATCATTTTTACGAAGAACGACTTCTCAGTATCTATTCATTCCTCTTCTGTATTCATACACCCCGTTTTATACTATGTAAGATTATCTACAATTTCTTTGTGGAACACTGTCACGTCTCTAAACATTTTCAAAAATGTTTTATAAACGTTGTAAATGTTTTGATAATTTAAATTTGGAATACTGATATCATTCAGTCCGGGATCGGGAATGAAAACTAACCTAGAGAGCTGTGTAGTAAAGTCACTAATTGAATAGTCTCATAACATTACCTACAGGATGTTATTTTGTTCCGCTATCATAGTGACTGCGTATTGTTGTGATTTCCACACATACTGAACTTGTCTAATGGATTGCAGTAACTTGTAAGATCATTCAAGTGTAGGGATTATTTATTACTACAATGATTGCTTTTGTCAAAACCCTTTGCAATAAAATTGTGACAAATAAAAGCGCAATAGAGCATTAAAAATAATTACATTTCACTGTCATAAAAATAACAGTACTGCTACTTGAAACTCGCTAAAACATTTTATTTAATGTCAATCAAGCCATTATAAAACATAGTTTAATTAATAACTCGTCGAACTTGATGGAACTTGTTCGTTTGCAAATATTCGCTTCACTAATCTATTAGCGATTAATGCAACTAGCATATGTAACAATTAATAACACAAGCTAACAGGTTGTACAGTAATAAAACATAGCTTATGGGTTACGTGCGAAATATTATAGTATTTTATAAAAAAATGATTTTTTCTTTTTCATAGTTAGTTTGTATGAATCAAACAAAATTCTTAAAAATGGTATAACATTATTAAGCTATGCATAATATTTTCTATAATATTAATTTAAATAGATCATGTATTTGTATGCATGGAGGCTGAAAGAAAAATAATATCCCAAGGATTCGCATTTTTTATATGTATTTATTAGTTAACAGGATGGCGTTTAGCCACCATCTCGCCTGGTGGTAAGCAATGATGGTGATAGCCAACTCCGACTATATAAAGAAAAATCTTCAAAGTCATAAAACGTACCTGAATAACATTCATAGTAAGCGAAGCACTGGAGAACATGATGGACGAGACGATTCCGAAGACAGCGACACTGGCAGCATCATCCACGCCGGACACTGCCAGCACCAGGGTTGGAATACCCTTGGATACACCATAGCCCTTCTCACGAAGTCGGAACAAGCACGGCACGATCACAGCCGGAGACACAGCCGCAATGATCGATGATAGAAGAAATGCTGTAATCATAATTACGAGAATGATAACATCACATAATGTTGTACTTGTACTATTGCTACCTATATTCTATCTGATGTGTTTCATTTCAAAAAAGTATTTTCGACCTCAGAATTTAGCCAAAGCCATTTCATTTAGACTAAAGGATAACATTAATGCAGGCTACACACTTTACGATTTAACTGTCGTGTGTTTCTGTCATTCTAAAAAGCGTACACATAATCTGCTTTCTGTAGATCAAGTACTTCAATCAAGTAACATTGATTTAACAGACATAAGCCCATGTTTTATCATTTGCGTGAATTCCCTACAAAATAATTAAGATAATCAAGCACTTTAGTGCCACTTAGCAGAATCAGATTAATAATAATTTTTTAACACATTTGCGTATCTCATGTTATCGCAGTCGGATGTACGATATACATTACACACAGTCATAAACGTTTATATAAACAGATTTGTTATAAGTACTGTAGGGCTCAGCTTACAAAGCTACTGTTACAAATAGTTAGGGCATTCGTTGCTATGGCAACAACATTTGTTCAGAATTGTCCATTGTGGAGATTTAACGCACCATTGCACGTACTCAGTCTTTCGTGCAATCCTATTGTGTAAGGCCCATACATACTTCGTTTTTTATATGTGGTGAGGCTTACGATATTCATAACTTTATTTATTTGAAAGTTGTTTTTAATTTCCGTATCTGATAGAAAAACACCATAAAATTTTAGTTTTAGCGTCGCTGCTACTTAATTTTCCTCCCATTTTGACATTTAATTTAAACATTCTCTAAATAATCAGTCAAGATAGCATTTATGACAAAGTATTTCATAGCATGTAGAATGATACTCACCCCAATTCCAGGGCAATCCCAGTAGGAAGTAAGCTAGGACTGCGCAGAGCACACACTCGAATGTCCAGGGAACTAACGCCAGCTTGATCACTGTTAAGAAGTACTTCTTCATAGCATTCGGGTCTAAGTCCAAGCCAGCTCTCGTTAGGATGATGGTCAAAGCAATTTTTCTGAAACATAATTACAGTTGAATTAAATAGGGATCATTTTTCTAGACTGGAATTGTGAAAGCGATAGAAAGTTTCCTAGATCAGTTATGGTTTGTTTCTTTTTCTTTTTCGTCACATTTAAGAATGGTGTAGGTCCTCTTTGTTTAATGACAATGGGTTGACCAAATGACGTACATAGCTGATATCCATCATTGGAAATAGTGATAATTCATCAATTTAAAATAGATAGACCGAATATTGAATGTATGCAACATATTTACTACAATTATTCAACATAACTACCTGATATAGGAAGCAACGTGTTGATAGGTCTCGTCAAAATTGACGAGACCGACGTTTTTCATAATGATCCCCACTATAAGCATTCCTATGAGAGCTGGCAATGTTGTGATCTTCAGCATGAGCCATCCTCCAAAGTAAGCGGCGATGGTCAGGACGGCGAAAGAGAACAGCTGGCCGCCAGGCGCAGCCGTCTCGCCCATCACTATCCATACGATCACCCACACCAATATGCCTATATCGTAACAAATAACATAAATTTAAGAAAGAACAATTTCCTTTGGCATTCTACAAATATAAAACTACAAGTGTTTTTGTCTTCAGAATTGAAGTTATAAGCCACGCTCAGCAGTTATAATTGTGACCTCTAGACGGCTGAAATCTGTGGGTGCTATTCAGAAGAATAATAATCAATCATTTTTACAATAAATCAAATGCAGTGTCCACAACACAGGTCTTAAGAAATTTACGAGCGTCAATAAATATGTGCGGCTTGGTATACTGTAGTAAAGTTTAGAAACTGTGTTGAAATGACAATGCAAAAAGTTGCAAATGTTAAGAAAATATGAATTTGTTCTAACCCAATCAAGTAATAGTTTCGTTCATTGTTATTGACTTCTTCAGTGGCTTAACGTGGGTTTCCTAGAATAGAACATTATAACTGCAAATAAAATGATAGCTCACCAATGATTAGTACAGCGATGTTTTGTGCGAATTGCCGGTATGAAGGACATAGTGGATAGGGGCAGACCTTCTGCCAGTTCGGTGGTTCCCACGAGGGAATACCGGAGTCCTCTGAATGACACTTCTGACAACACGCGTACCACCAAGATCTGCGGAAACGACATTATAAAGCAAACATTATTTTCATTGCCTACACAAAAGTATATGTATCTTCACCTATTTAATTAAACAATAAAATTCAAGTTTACAGGAAAAATATGTTGGCCCGAATAGATAAACAAATTCGAACATGCTATGTGTTGAATACTATCGCAAAGATGTTCACCTATCGTTAAAACTTGTCAAGGTTTTCAGTATTTTGGTGTGTATGTACATTTTTTACGCACCTAGTTAATATACACATAGAGAGGAAAATATTTGCCCATACGCAAAAGCATGTAATGTAAGTTAGTGCTTCACAAAGTCTACGCAAAATGTGACAAGATTGCTGCTATTAACTGAAATATGGGTTTGACCTACTTAGTTTGGCCTAGATACCTTGTAATCAACTTCTGCGGTAATTAAAGTTATTTTTGTAACCCCTTCTAACAGAGAAATAGTAAAAGTTTTTTTTAATTCAACAATTTTGCCATAATTTACCATAGTCGATTATTTTGGCCTATAACCAGATTGTTTTGGAATTAAGTCGAAATCAACTTTCGAAAACTTTAAAAATAACTATGTGGTGTGAATAAAGTGCAGATACAATACCTTTCAATGTATTCGCTCTGTTGTGATAGTGCCTTCTTTGAGTAAACGGATGATGTCGTGGAATACTTCTTGAATCTGCCCTCGATGTGTGTCTGGCGGTCTGTGTGTCGGACAGTGGAATGTCAGATAGTAAAGGACAGTAAGTGTGACGATCGATCTAATCGTGGGAACCGGCAGCAGTATGTACAAGACACCTGGTGTTTCCACATCGTACCCTCGTTACCGTCTGTCAGCTGACCTTGCAACTGCTTTCATTTATTGTTTATAGTATAGATTGCAGTGTACTTTATGGAAAATTGTAACAAGGTCTAAAAACCTTCCATCAATCTGGGTTATATTGGTTCCGGTCATTAGTTGGCTCTCGATAGTGTTTTTTAGGAGATACTGCGAATATATTGAGGGAATGAATGCCAACAGTTTTAATTGTTAATAATTGTTTTATTAAATCGAGCCTTCAAATCGAGGCGATACGCAGCTGCAGTCACGTTCCTTACAAAGGACTTGAGTAATTGCATTTTAAATTGAACTAAATGTCATTCAAGTGGTTATAAGATAATTTTGAAAGGAAAATTACCCCAAGAGGAGTCCATGTCTGCTGCCATGGCATTGTGAAGGTTGCTTTTGCGGCGCGAAGGCCCTTCCGCTTTTGCTGATACGCTTCCATTCCTGTTGACAAAAATGCACGATATTATTTATCTCAAAGTAAAAAGTTGTATGTGTTATTTATAATGTGAATTGGATATATCAAGCAAAACGTATGCAGGTAAACCGGTTTGCTAGACACGTGCATATTAAAACTGTCACCGCCTGTTTTGAGACATGGTTACCAGTAAACGGGTTCTGTTACAATGCGCTGTAAAAATATAATGGAATCTTCTCTTTATACAACAGGGTTTGTAAGAACTGTTCACTTTGACGGACTTCAAATAAAAATCTCTAGAAATATCTAAAAATAAAACTGGAATAGATTTTAATTTTGCGTACTGTGAAATCGATCTAGATTAAATAATTTGCTTTTCTAGTAATTGGATCAAGGCGACCATTATGTTCGGAAAAAAATGCGTAGGATCTTGTACGCAATTATAAGAATGGAATGTACTGAGTTATTAAATCAGCTGTTGTCTAATATTGGAAAAATATGGTGGCAAAATATATTGATTTTCGAAGTGATATTTTGTCAGTTCTGAGAAAAATATTATAAATCTATATTTAACCGGTTACACATTGTGTTAAAACAGATATATGTGTTTTGAACTGACGTTTCAGTAATAATATGCATAATTCATCCGCGATGGGAAAATTACGACGTGATTTGTTTTTCTTCACCTGTTTTTCAGTGATAATTGGTTACTGTCGGAAAATGACAACTGAATGTAATGAGATTTATGACCACTTCGGTCGAAACAATGTTTTATTAATATTTTACAGATTATCGTTAGAATTTCGAGATTTCTGGAGCTTTCGTTCAACTCGTGGAACATAGATGATCTATTGGTTATTATATTATCACTAACTGCGACTTTACTTGCGTCTGTTACTATAGAATTTGATTTTTTTGTAATTTTAATTTAATTAAATAATTTAAAAAAATCTCAGTTGTAGCACGGAGTCTGGGTTTGTGCCCAGTATATGGCAATAGGCTCACCCCCTATTACATGGGACTCATAACATAAATAGTGAAAAGTGGGTGTTACATTGCACAGTGGCATAATGTGCACCTCTGCCTACCCCTTCGGGGATAAAAGGCGTGATGTTATGTTATGTTTAATTAAAATTATTATACGTCATCAGACAACATATTTCAATCTAGATTTATTAGCATCTAGGCTATCATAATTTAGATTCTTACAACCAGAAAGTAAAAAACGGGACGTAGTTTAAATTAAACCACGCAGATTCGCTGCAGTTTGAAGGATACATATTGCTTTTTATTTCTTTTTGGGGTTACGAAGCTTGCCTTTGTTGTTTCGGAGAAAAGTTGAAAAAAAAACAACAAAATAAAATGGTTGGCTTGTCTGGTTTTGATCCGCGACCTACGTCCTACGTGTATTGTAGCGAGGTCGTCACCGCTGGGCACCACTGTTCAAGTTGAAGCTATCGAGTTTGTCCTAATACGTGTCTGTTTAATCGAGTGTCACCTTGGCAAATAATTTATTATAATACAGCGATTACTCATTCGTATAAACAATTGACTTCACTAAATGATAATCTGTTCTTAAGTCGATTTGTAGGAGGATCACGTTTTTGGTTTGAAATACAATTAATGTTAATACTCCTTACAGAATTTCTTTTATGTCTAATGTCCATATGGTTTAATGATATCAAACACACGTGTTTCGATTGACACATTGTTTGAATATTATCTACGTCAATTTTATAAACATTGATTAAATAAAATTGAAGTTAAACACGTAACAAACCGACTTCTGTTACATTGAAATGGTAATAGTAAATAATTAATTATGTCACTGTGGAAAATTTTGACTTTAGGTTATTCCAGATACTTATACTAATGTTGCTTTAAACAATTTTTCTAGTATCATATAAATGAACTAAATAATAGTTTACTCTCGTAAATGTATAATAATAGTTATAGGCTAGTTAACTCATAAATTGATATACCTATTAAATAGGAATTATACTACCTAGCTTAGTACAATTTAACTTCCACGAAGACCTGTAAGAAGGATTTATATATTTTTTCCCACGATCTGATTTCACATGCGCAGGAGGTAGCATTTACTACAATGCCATTTAAATTTTCACGACACGTTTAGTAAGATTGAAAATATATGAAATTGTGACACGCTCCTATTACTAGATTGTACAAATACATTTTTAAAATTATCTACTCATTTAACACTAAAATTTTTAAGTACTTAAGAAAGAATATTAGCGATAGACTACTTCTGAAAATTCTCACACTTTTTAAACAAATATACTTCTAAAAGTTTCGTGGAAACAGATTCAATTGTGAATGAGTCTTTACAAATAACAGACGCTACTTGGTATTCATGCGAGCGACTCAAAGACGTTGCGTTACGTTACAATTTTAACACATGCGCTGAAGGTAATATTATAATACGGACATGCAAATAAAGTAGTCTGTACTACTTTTAATAATAACATTAGATAATGTATACATTGATTACAAAATAGCGGTACCAATTTAACATTAACAAAAATTTCGTCTACAAAATTATATAGACGAACATTTTTACATCTCCCCTTTTTTACAATCCTATATCACAGTAACAATACGTATGCTAACCATCTACATAATTCTGTTCAGTTGTATATAGGACGTTTAAATTAATTTGCGATATATTTGGTTCCGCCTGTAAACTTCATAACGTACGCGTTTATTTATATTGAATAAATATTGTGCGTGATAATAGAATGTTTTCAGGCAGTGTTGCTAGCACGCTGTTACAAGCCACGTGTCACTGTAACGTGTGGAACACAAATTACACAGTACTCCGTGTATTGTTTAATCAATCCATGCCGCAAGGTGAGTTCATGGTAAAGACTTTATTGACGGCAAATTACACGCAGAGCACTGGGTCAATGTTTAGTCACTTAAATGTAACAGCCAATTGTTGGAACTTTACGCTTAACCGGACCAATGCTAAACCTTCATTCCATTATTACCGACTATGTACACGAACCCGAAATAAATTAATTCCGACGATGATTATTTCGTATTTTTGCTTCTCAGCAATCTTTTCAGGAATCGGTCTAACACAAACATTCAACGATTAGCAAAACATCCTTGTTATTACTAAAAATTACATCGTATATTTTCCCTATATCAAAATGCTGTAACTGTTTATACGTTACTTCTGAATGTTTATTTAATTTTCAGGAGTGTAATCAAAAGTTCGCTTTTGACATAATCAGAACTAGATTAATCACTACATGGTGACGAATTAAACAGTGGTGATTGCAAGAATTTCTTTTTACCGATAAATCTGTGACTTACGCTAATTAAAATGTCAGAAAGTGATCCATTCAGTGAAAGTAAGTACCTGTTGCAGTTGGTAACTTAAATACGGCGTACGGTGCGATGCGGCGTGACAGATTAACAAAGGGCTAATAATAAGTGATTCTTTACAAGTATATTGTGACAGAAATTAATAATAAAGCATACCGAAAACATGAACCTATTGTGTTTTAAAAAGATAATAGCAGTCTCATGATGACCGTCCCCTCTAGGGAGTCATACCGATGTCCATATATGAATAAAAACATGTCGGTAGTGCAGTCCGTATGTTAACATGACGCGGTGTCCGCCAAGATGTCAAGCAATCTTTATACGATGGATTGTTGATAGTAAATGTGGGTCATATATAACTAGAAGTATGCGTTTGCGACGACCTTAGCCATGGCTTCGATTTTATATAGCACATATTAATGAAAATAATTACGCGTCTAGCTTTGCAACGGGCGGCGCGGTATCACACTCAACTTAGCTCAATATGTTCGTGAAAATTTCAGTAAACCCTTCTACAGTGTTGGATGCGTTATTGTGAACAGAACCTTTTCATGTATTTACTTGTTAGAGACGAGAGTATTTTCACTCATAATTAAATTGACTGAAGGAGTTTATGCATTGTGTTCACATGTAATGTGAATATAAGGGTGACAATAACTTAGATTCCAAGTAACAATATTGAAACTTAGTTAGATTTGCTTATTATTATAGTAGTTCGTTTTACAAAATTCGCCGAATTTAATTGACAGTAATTATGTGTTAATAATATTAATTTTATACGTAAAACTAGTTCATTAATTTTAACCGCACAATTTCAATTAAAATATCTTTACCAATTTTTAAGGTGACTCGATAAAATTACGCCCTTGTACTAATTTTACGTATTTTTCAAATGTAAGTTGATTAATTTTCTGAAAGTTTCACGTATTTTTGTATAAATATGGGTGAATTTGTAACTTACCAATGACGGTTGAGTGCGTCTGTTTCGAGAGATGAATCTGACGGTAGGTAGCTGTCGTAGTGACAACTTAAGCTGCTGTGAGACATCCTACATGGTACTCAGAGAGTCTTATTCACTATAACTAGATTAGCGGGCGAATTTGAGGACTGGTTTACGCGGGGGCATGCCGCTCGGCTCAGCACGCTCCACACCTATGCCGCGGCGAATGTGCATCTTATAAGAGAAGGTTCGGCTGCGAACGAGTCGGCCGCCGCGCCTCACCCCGGGCACGTGACTGCCTCTGTACGTTCAGTTTCGCCGGCCGGCTGGCCGGTCATTGGCCGACGTGCAAAAATTTTCCTAAAGAACAACAGTAGGCCCACTGCCATAAAAATGCGTTGCGAACTATTGCACAGGGCGCAGACTCGGTGATGAGTGACTAAATGAGCCCGAGGCGTCGCGACCGTGTTTATACTACTCACTTCAAACAACGCTCGTATAACAGCGGCACCCGCGCCGCCCGCACTACCCGCTGCCTCCGATTCTTCCGCACGCATCGATACAATGTGTGCAATCGCGATTAAAAACAGCCAAGTGATTTGTTCCATGTGGTTTTATATGTCGTCTGTTAACGATAACTGCATATAGGTATGTGATGAATACGCAGAAGTAACCCGGGTACATAAAATACTACGTTGGCTGTTTAATTAGTACCTATGTACGTGAGGCTGCGTGTCATTGCTAAACTCCTTGATTTTATTCAAGTGTTGTAAACAATAATTAATATTTGTCACCTGGTACCTTCAACTTTGTTAGTTAAAGTCGTAGGTGCATTGTATTTGTATATGATCTATTAATATTAAAGTAATGCGTAAGAGAACAATAGTTCCCTGTGATAGGTATTGATGTTTAATGTCGCGGTTTGAAAAAAATAAACGATTGTTAAATTGCTTGTTTCAAACATCAATATAAAATGAGTTACATCGTCGTACGTTTACAAATTATAATAAAAATTCCTTGTGTAAATATAAACCATATCCAATGTGTGAGTGTGACGAATGGCTTGAGTACGACATAGGTTGAAACCTTTTGTTAGACGCGTCTGGTTCCTAATTGGAATATTGTGAGCATGACATCTTGTTATAACGCACGGCTTTAGTAAATGTCGCCGCGTTGTCTGGATTGTTCAAAATAGTCGAAACTTTGCGAGTATCCGTGCGTGTATGAATAAATACAATGTGTAGGTAAACATGTAACGGTACCTACAAATACTAGCACATGGCAGCAGATGTGATTAACAATAAGGAAACACTAAAGCTTCATACAGGAAGGGAACTGTTTTCCTATTAGATATAAGTAATAGAAGAAATGAGATAATGAAGAGGAAATATGAATGACACTTCCAAAAGTATCGTCAATTATTAAGCCTTGTTAAAGATGGTGTTTAATTCGTTTTTACAGAGAGAAGATATATTGATGTTTAATAATGATGAATGTATTATGTAAAAGGTGCTAAGAAAGGCCAGAATCCAGATTGTTGACGACTCGACGTGAAGACATCAAGGGACACGTAGTACCATCATTATTTCGGTGACCTAACTGATTATGCAGTCTTCACTTCATATGTAAAAATTTCTTGCCTATATCGATGAAGGGGAGAAACAACTGACTGAAACATAAATTACTCTTCGTTACGACAAACTGAGAAAAATTGTGGAAAATTCTTACACCTTCTACAATAATGTTAGATTACTAACTTTTATTATTATTATATTTTATTCGTTATATAATGAAGTTTCCATAAATAATTTAATGTATAGATTTTATTATCGTAATAAAGTTTTATTTTGTTTAAATAGAAGCCGTACTATTCTTTCAATAATGTTCTAGCTAGAGATGAAACGTCTTATTTATACAATTTATTGTTCGAGTGTACTCAACTAGTTTCAAGCTGCAACTGGGGCTTATAAACCGAGGCAACCGATGCATGAAGCTCAAGTTATATCGATGCATGAAGCATGCTCAAGTTATAAACCAATAATCAGTTTTCATAAGTTCATTCTATAGGTACCAACTTATGATCTCAAGGTTTTATAAATAAAATAATAATTACGGTCATTACGTAACAGAAAAATAAGTACTTTTATTTTATTATAACTTATTAGTCACGCAGATATTGATCGATCAAAGGCTCGACAAATTTATTACATTTAGAAGAATCGCTACGAAGTAGCACACACATCATAAAAATAAAACTTGTTGCAGTAATTTAGGCTAAATTACTGCATGATCATGGACGTAAAATAAATTAATAAAATATACAGAGATCGTATTCGTTAACCCTATCAGAAATGTCATAGAAGTTACTGGATATTTATGAGTACTTCTAAAATCGTATTAAGTTGAAACTATTTCTTTAATTAAGTTCAGTACCTGGTTGAGAACCTGCAGTACTTTTACTGTAGGTTCAAGAGAAAATTCCAATATCATTTTATGACCCTTTACTAGGACAGTGGATACGTGAGGTTAGGTGTTGATCCCCCCCTACCTCCTACTTCCATGCGGCATTGGTCTATTCCTCGCAAAAACTGTCAAATTTATCGTTTCTACTTAACCCATAGTTATGAAGTGTGACTAACGTGAGGCATTGGCATTGTGTGCAGCAGACGTAATAATGTCGAGTGCACAATAGCTACGCGACCACGCGCACTATTATTAAACTATAGATATCGTCAGATTTTCCATTTAAAAAACATTTTTTTAGTTAAAAAAACAGTTCTAAAGGAAAATTTGCGCGCTATAGAGGTCATTACCAAGTTCATTGTTATTTCTTTCGAATGTTATTTAGATGCTGAACGGTGGAGGCTCATCTACATAAATTCGTGAGGTCTTTGACACTGAAGTCCAAGATTTATTGAAAAGGTGTTTTAGTACCGTTTGAACAACAAGTTATATTAATTGAGTCTCATTACGATCATGTACGTGGGCCTTTACAAAAAGGTGTTATGCAGATGTAACGCCACTTAGATATATTATATTATGTACGGACAAACGGGAAAAACGAACGTGGCTGCCATTTGTTGTTCTGTAGGTTGCACTGACAAGGTGAACAGGCGCTGAACGTTTTATACTCATTTGTTTGTAAGCAATTAATATCCATTTATCTAACATTTTCCATTTACAATAGGTAATTCATTCAGAAATTAACGACTAAAGGAAAGGAATTTTCTATTCTGTTTCAATTTGCTTGTAAATATAGGTACGTGCACTGGACACGTAGGTATCATTTTTATCTTGAAAACAGCTGGACCGATTTTCAAGATCTTCGACTTTTCAGATTACATATTTTATATACATATTTTTAACAATATGGGTTTTTCATTTTGATTATAATTACCAGTTCAAGGTATTTTAACTGAGAACGTTAATATACAGCATTTTAAAACTAACAATGCGAAAATATACGTAAAGTAAATATAAAAGTTGGCTCAACTTAATTTAACCTAGAACATAAGTTATTGAAATTAATTACAAGTTTTCTTAATCTAAAAATAAAGTTGGCTACGGGACTGAAAAAAAAATGTAATCGTTATTACATTAAGAGTCGAGGCACGTGACGCCTATGTTCCTATCTATCATATTATTGCAATACAATATTGTTTGGACGCCAGTCATGTGATACCTACATACGTCTGGTTCCGACCAATTAACTTGACCTCTATTATCCCCCATGTATGTTAATGAAAGACAACAAAGGGATATGATATGAGTCAGCAGGGTTCTCTTGTGACTGGCCACGGTCTATGCCTTTCACAAACAAGAGTCACGTGATGAGCGTAAGGAACTGTGTTACTTATTATAATTGTATGTATTGGGAGGATGTATGCTGTATGAGTGAGCCATTGCTTAGTGAAAGGTATACAGACATTAGAAGCACTTCGAGCCTATCAGACGTTGTTTGCTCAAGCTTCTAGCGCGGTCGTTGCTTGTGTTGCGAATATTGATAAAATATCGATAATAATCAAGTATTTGTTCAATTTCTAATAACATTTATAATTTAATAACACTTATAATTACTTATCCATACTAAATAATATAAGTTAAGTGAAGAAATATGATAACGCAAGCTCTGAACTAAGAAAGTAAGTATTACGAAATAGGTCAAGAATAAAAGACTTCAACGCTCATGAAACAGTAATGTACGAAATTGATATTCTTTAACGAATTAAAACATTTGTAATTAGTTTTGTGGTTGATTTTAGAGTTTATTTATAAAATCAATGACCCGATAGCTATCTGTATTCATTATCTCTTCGCTCAGCCCTTATCCCAAGTTTAAATGAGGGCGCTAAACTTTATCCTAATTTTCCTGTTCTTCCTCTAACTATGTATAAATAAAATAAAGTAAATAAAAACGCATTTTTATTTCAATAAATTTCTTACTTAAAATCTATTAAAATATTAGTTTTATTTTGTTTATTCTAAGTACCTTGTAATATGTTTATATTTAATATATTTATTCAAATCTACCGGAACCTTAGAAAGGGTAAAGGCCTTCTCCAGTGATGCCTACGTGACTTTGTCTTCTTCAGCTACTTATCTCCTCTTTGGACCAGGTATTACTTTAATAAGAAATATATCTATGTATATTTCTTTTATTAAAGTACAAATATGAAAGTAAGTATTTTTTACATTTAACACCACTTTCAAAATAATTATTTTATAAATTAATTTTAAGAAAACCGGCTTTAATCTCCTGTTTATTGGAAGTCGGTTATTTATTAATAATATACCAAAACCTTCTCCCATGGACTGATTTTTCCAATGCAAGTTAAATTTTAACTCAGGAACAACTTTGCACATTTAACAATTCTTCCACATTAAAAACTGTCAAATGTAAATTTTATTCTACAGTTAAAAAATTACTGATGATTGAAAAATCGGCCCTAAGTGTAACAACTTTTATGAAACCGCATCAAAATCGGTTCAGCTGAGCGCGAGATAATCTCGTACAAACATACATACATACACACCTTTTTTTCTTTTAGAAGTCGGTTAAAAAAAACTTTAAGTACTCAAGCAACTTTTTTTTTGCGAACATACTTACTTGGAAGTGCGAAGAAGGATATTTAGCTTTTATTGGAAAATCCTAGAATGAAATTAGTTCATTATAATGTTAGGAAGGATTTTAAGTACAACGGTTTCGTGGGCAATAATTATGTATATCGACTCCTACTTTACCCGTTTCGAACATTTGTTGAAGTTCTGAAATTACAGTTTTATTTACTTCAAAGCTTTGAGTAGTTAATGGGTCGTCGAATAGATATAAGGTAGTTACAGAGTAAGGTATCGTAGGTTATATTCCCGTACAACTTAACCAAATTATTACATTTGTTTGATTTGCTAAGTTAATAGTAACTTAGGTATAGACCTATAGGTACTATTGAATTTGTTTGACATAATTTTAAAACAAAGTTAATTACTTTCCAAAGCAGTAGGCAGACTACATACATATGTCCATGTCGATATTCTTCTATATAATTATGATAAATATTAATCCTATCATAGTTACGTATTCGATAAAGCTGTGCGTCACACATAACGCCATCTAGTAAAGATTGTAGTAAACTATACTGGACACAGTACTTATTCAATGTCAATATACCTTGTTTGTTTACCGTACTATGTACTTGTAACATTAAGAGCGCATGGTGTAAGTTCTATCTAATAATTGTAGGTGGCGCTAGTTTCTTATATTTGTATTTTTAAGGATTTTTCATAAACCTCCAGAGAATAATTTGTGGCACGGGACATGTTAGTACAAAAATATTATGAAATTAATTTTAATTACGGTGTATATTTTGAGAAAATGAAATAGGTATCTAAATACTTATTGTTTTAGGCCTTACTATATTACACATAAATTACAAAGATGTGTTTTCTTTGTTCAAACTCAACCTCTATTCATAATTAAAAACTATTGTTTGAAAAATCAATACAGACTTACCTACTAGTTAATACGATTTAATGGTGACTTTAATACTGTATTGAATAGGCGTGCATATCACAATAAGTTTCTTTTCTCGTTTATTATAAACGCAAAGGTACCAGACGGAATTTCGTACGGATTTTACCAATCAATAAATACCTAGTAAGATTGCGCAGAAAAGTTTAGGTGTACCTATACCTAATTTATTATCTATATATATATACCTATATATAAAAATGAATCCCTTTTTCCATTGGTTAAGGCATCAAGCGTGAATGGCTGGACCGATTTCACTAATTCTTTTTTGTAGTATTTATTATTATTATTCAAGGTCGAAACGAATTAAGGCTAAAATCAAGGAATCAGTGACAACCCTATATGTATATGGCTACAAGAGGTAGAAAGGATAAAAAATAACTTTGGAACATACCTATCCGATGGGAGGTTTTCTCGGTCCTTACTGGATTCATCAGCCATGATAGAAACTTTTCTTTTTCCTTCTAATGAGGGGACAGAGACGCGAGGTTTGATCGACGGTGGGTTTGGTTGCGCTACCGTAGGTTGCGTCGGCGCAGGTTGCGTTTGCGCAGGTTGCGTTTGCGTAGGTCGCGTGTCACCGGCGACGCTCGGCTGATTTTGTAAATCACTCAAGTCGAAGGGATATTCCTTTATAGCAGTCATTCGGATGCTCGTCTTACGAACCTGGAATCATAAAATAAATTATAAGTATAATTTAAATTTAAAAATAAGTATAAATTTGTATGAAATTACAACAATAACTTTCTAGATATTAAAAATACCAAGATGCAACCAATTATAATTATTTTGATAACATCATAATACATATTTAAACAAGTGCACGAAATTATATAAAGCTGATCAAACATTTTCTACATATAAATGTTTAAAAATCTAGATTTAAGTGTTGCATTCATTAACAGAAATATTGTAGTATTTAATAAAAATGCATTTTTATTACGTAAAGAAGTTTTGAGATAATAATAATATATTAGAGAAATAATACATTTTAGGGTCTGGGTGTCATCACTGCATGTTAAAATTATACTCTGTAAATGCATGTGGATGGTAATGCTTCTAAGAATTATAGAAATAATATTCTTCATGTGCAGAATTAGCAATAAGGTTAGAATTTATTTAAATTGTGGGAATTATATATCTAAATGTTAATTAAGTATTAAACAAAAATATGTATAACAAAAAACTTGTCTAAAAATACAGGTCCCTTGTCTGTTGCACTAGTAACTATAAGTATTGCAAAACATTAAGTACCTAATTGCAGTACAAAATTTTTACGTCACAGAGTTTTAGCAATTATCTTCTAATTATAAAAAAATATATAAAAACGTAATGAAAGCACAGCATTAAAAAAGGAAAAAATTAACATTTGATCATTTTTGCACACACCCCATAGTGTCAGTAGTCCGAAACATGTTGAGACAATTTACGTTGGAATAGGTAAACTTTAGAAAGCGCGCGATTATCGGATAAAAGCTGCGCCCGCGTCGGTCAATGTCTGACAGTGGACTGAAGAATAGCGCGACTGAAAATTTCAATTTCAGGCTTCAGCAAAGAAGCCTCCGGAGACTTCGCGGATAAGTTCTAAGTGGCGATGGCTCAATGCCTCGTGAGGACGTGGTTCCGTGGCTGTGCTAATAACTTGTTTCATCATAAACATGTGCATTATCATCAATGGAGATATTAAAGGTGCTGATTGTTTGTATTGTGCTAAAACACTCCACTGATTTGTTGTTCATTACTTCTTATAGTTGTTATTCTTGGGAGTCGGTGGTCTGTCGTGTAACTGCACAATGTGCGCAATGATGTGTGATTGTACTGCAAATGATTGGAGCTACAGTTATAGGTTGACTCTTGTGCAGTCTAAGGACTATAAACTAGAGGCGTGGCTTCTCTGTATTCGTTATACTGTGTATACGTCATTTTGATGGTGGTTTAGTATTACCAATTTGTAACTAAAATCAAGTTGACAAAGGGTCTCAGATATATAATTGTGGGTGTGGTGTTTGTGGTTGCAAAAATTGTAGATTTATTTTTCCAAAGGTCCCTATCTCTGTTCTCTTTTAAAAGATGATTATGTAATCAATTTAAAAGATTGTAATGCTCCTAACGGGTAACCGGGGCTCCGGCTCGACGTGCAGGAGAAGGAACGGGGTGGTTTTTAGTCAGTAAGAGTCTAACACTCCCTTCCGCCTCACCCAGGCGGGAGCAGTCAATCGATGATTTTCCCCCCTTAAAAAAAACGCTATATCGTATGCGTAATATATTATACACAGGTCAGCCATTTTGTAAATTTAAATTGTACAAAAATTTAAATAAGATCATCTGTTTATACTTAGGTACCTAGATTTGAATTTACTTACATTCAAATATGTAGTAGTATTACTAGTGTTTCCTTGATATTATGAGAATAATAAAAAAAACGAACAATGGTTCATTTTAACAAAATGTTAGCAAAATAAGAAATGTTATTTTATTTTTCCGTTTTTGTTTATTTTTGGTCAATGTGACCTTTTGTTTTATTTTGTTAGTAAGTTCACCATTTTGGTAGAAGGAAAACAAAATTATGTTTGTTTATTTATTTACCTACCTCAGATAGATTCTTACTAATTTATACTCTAGTTCAAATTTTGTCTATTAAACTGTCAAATACCAAGCGGTCACCGGTGACCGCAACCTATTGTTCTTTAATTGTGTCTATAAATACGGTACTCGACGAGTTAAGTTCAAATTTTGTTTCTCTTTTTTATCATAATTTCTAGCGCAAAATCAGAAAGTATATTCAAAGATTCCTCACCACTAATTAACATACAGATTCCTGTTAAAGTAATTACTAATTAGAATGACAATTAGAAGCTCCACGACCAAGCTTTGCATATTAACCACCCATACGAGGATGACATGACTAAAAGATATCAGTACTGATAGAAATCTCGACCAACCTCAAGGGAGATAAGGCAGGACAAACAAATATCACCTTCAAAACTGATACACATAACAAGATTGTGTTAATCATGACATTTTGAATCATATCATAAGTGCAGATGGAATTTTTCATTCCAATCAGGTCTCCTTACTCAGATTAAGTATGTAGATTGTATAATAATATACCTAGAGTCGTGGTCGCCCGGAGATTCAAGACGCCTGTTACTCATGCATAAGGGTTCGAAAATAAGCAAGTACCTTCTAAGATTATTTAGACACCATTGATAAACGGTGAAGGGTAACATCGTCAAGTAATCTGGGCTTATAATTTCATATTATAAGTTTGAAATCGCCAACCGGCATTGAGCAAGCGTGATGATTAATGCTCAAACCTTCTTCATGTGAGAAGAGGTTTTTGGTCAGCAGTGACCACTTGTAGGCTGTTGATGTTGATATATCTATATAAAGATACCTCAATATTTTCCGGAACATCACTTAGTTGCCAAGGAATTTCCCACAAAATGATTCGAAACTTGCCATTGTCAATAGTGCAAATTCCAGCAGTATTTACAAAAATCATCTGTATTTGTCTGATAATTATGTTTACTTAAAGTCACAAGGATGATAACATTACGCTAATAGGATTATTGTATTTTTTATAACCTGCTTAGGCATGTATATATAGAGATTAACAAATCTATACAGATTTTGGCTATAAATAGTAGAGCAAGTCGTTGGTCTGCGAATTCACTTAGTAACTTACTTTTATATTTAGATTAGATGTTCCAGTATAATCTATACTATATATATTATATTTTTGATATTATAATGTACATGTGTAGGTGTTTAACTATTATTGGCATAGCTGAAGAGTTGTTAGTTTGAACGGACTAATCTCTGAAACTACAGGTTTGATTTTTTTTATTGTCTATATTAATCTTGGACAGTTTATTTAAGTCCCTTATAATACAAATAACATAATTATTGTATATCGTTATCTTAAGTGTTTTTGCAAGCTTATTCAGGTGGGTGGGCGGATAAAAGTAACATTTAAAATAAATTTGTATTTAAATTATTTTGGCAAAGTGCCTAGTTGCTTCAGTGGCCATGCATTTACGGAATACTGGTTAAGTGCGTTTTTGGCCATGAAATTGTCTTATTTACATACATAAACAAGTGGTTGTCATATGTTTTTATAAATAGTAAAGTCCGAAGAAGTCTTACTTCACATTATTGTTTTATTAAATTGTATGACATTTGTGTTGCTAGGTTTTAGTGACTGCGATGAACAGATTCGTCGATAGAGCTAGTTTAACAATTAAATCAGACAAATGACTGGAGTAGTCGTGTGCTGGAGGCGTAGATTAAGTTAACATCGTTCTCGTAGTTGAGGCTCGAGTCGCGACCCATTGAATTATTTAGGTGAGTGTGTCTTAAGCTAATTGTCGGCGGGCAGCGGTCGCGAGTGTCAGCAGTGGCGTTTATTTGCTTAAGTGGTCTCATCACAATCACATGATCACTCACGAGAAGGCGACCACGAGTTTCCAATCATGTTCATACGAACGTATGCGACGATACGCGCTCCCGCAACGCTTATCGCTTCCAAACAATTAAACGGATTGCTCACCCAATCATCCACGTGACGTAGTGTTATGAGATCTTAATTAGAAGGTAAAGGACAATGGCCTTTGTGGACTAGCAATGAGACGTTGTAACCGGCCCTTGGGACTCTGTAGGTCAGCGAGGCCAAGTATTCAGTTCCATTTTTTAAAATATCATTTATGAGTTTCCTGTGTTGAATACGAATCGCGTTATTTTCCTTTGTACATTTTCCTTAGTCATTGAAATACTATAGTCAGTAATATGACGAATTTACCGTGTTCAAGATTTTTTTTATTTAGACAAATAGTTTACTGTCATAGTATGGTTTAGGAAGTGAAGTGGCGTCACGGTTCAAATGGCTTGATACTAGTTGATACGTAGGTATTATGTGTCAAGCCTAGGTCTCGTAACTTGTTATTATGAACTGAAAATTTCATGTCATCTGTATAATATCAATTTAGGCTATTAGGACATGAGCTTATTATGGACAGATAAACATTACACATGAATAGCCATATAATAATGTTTAAAGAAGCACGACACAACATTTATTAGATTGCCATTCTGCAAGATGAAACGTGTGGTTGCATTCAGTGACCAACGTGACGTAAAACAAAGTTATGAGTTTCCAAACATCATCACTTTGAATAAAAACAATGGCGTATTTTTCGTTAATAGCTCATTAAAAGAGTTGTAAATATCTATATTACTGACAGTCTTTTAAATAAAGCGCTAGTAATAGCTAATATACTGAGACATGAAGTTCCGTCATTTGGCTGTTGTGTGTGCATAAGCAATGTATTTTTGCACAATAAGTACATGTTGGAGAATAATAATGCATGAAACCGTTTGTATTTGAAAAGATAAGCTTTCTGTTTATGTCACTAAAATCATAAAATACAGAAAACTCCATGCACACAATTAAGTTGCGTAAGAAAAAGTATAATTCTGTTAGAAAAACAGGGGCAATGTTATGTTATGACAGTAATCAACACATTGTACTGAACTTCTCTAATGACATAAGTATGAGACAGCGTTTGATACGCTTGGTTATCACGATCATTGTCTCCGAATTGCGTTTATTATTTTTTAGAATGAGATCTGCGTTAGACAACTCGACTCGACGACGACGAGTCAGA